AAAACGGAAAATGTGTGAAAAAATACGAGTGAGATAAAACAAAGAGAGTGAAAGAGAGGAGGAGGGTTAGAGGGAGTCTAAGACTGGTTCACAGTTTCTAGTCAAAAGCTGGGTCAAATATTGCGCCACAAAACAAAGCAGCAGCAGCAGCAGCAACAACAACAGAAACGGCAGCTAAACGGTTCGCTATTCATTTTACACCTTCCACGAAATCAACTACACCAGCACCCCCTCTTAATCCCCTCCCGTTTTCCAACGAAACGTTGTAAACAAATCAAAAGGAGGTCAAACAATAATCGCACACAACAAATCGGGACTGCAGTCAAAGCAAAGAGCAAAAACAACAATAACAACAAATATCAAGTACAGTTTGAATCTGCGCAACGGGGGAGCTGCCAACTTGTCGATAATTGCAAACAATTCTTAAGTGCTGCCATTTGCCAAAGGAAGGGAAGAGAGGAAAGCACTTAACAAAAATGTACTCAAACTGATTTTTCGTTTGATGCTTTCAAATGTAAACAAAATGTTATTTTTAACGCAATTGCAAGAAGCAAACAAATATGGGGGGAAGAGTGAGAAGGGAGCGAGAAGGGGGGCTGCTGATTGCTGAGTTTATGCTTATGCAAAGTAAATGTTGCGGAATTGATTGCTGGACTTAAACAGTTAAGCGAATGTGTAAATTATCAAGAATTGCCCAAGCACAATTCTTAATGAGTCATGCATCGCTAAGATCGCCAGCCAGCCATCCAAGCAATATATAAAAGAAATCTCAAATCAAGAATAGTAGAAATGAAGGGTTAAGTGTGAATATAGTTGAAGTTTTATAGGCACTATGAGATTCAGCAAAAAGAAGCTTTAAAAAAGATTTTTGATTATAAAGAGGGTCAATTCAAAATGAAGATTTAAGTAACTGTGGTGTAGCTACGGACCTGTATACAGATTGTGTAAGAATCTTTACTATAGATACAAATTTAGATATTGTGTAGATATATATAGTTATAGATATGAAAAGGATTTTATTCCCCTAAGAAATCGATTGATTGCATAGATATATATATATATATAGATTTAGTAAACAAATGGAATTTAGGTATTAATATACATAGACATAGAGATAGTTTAGATTCTATTTGTCTAGATTGCAAGTTTATTTAGATATAGTAAACACCTACTCTATACATATATATTTTATTATACATATACTGTAAATATAAATACATTACAGATTGCATTCCCCTAAGAAATCAATTCATTGCATGCTCACCTACATTTATTATATACATTACTCTATATAGTAAACTTTCATTCATTTAACCCGCACACATTTTCGATTGAAATCCACTTGTAATGCTTATCTGGAGATACTTTGACCCACATTAATACGTCTCAGCTTGTTTTCGTCGAGTGTTTTTGTTTTTCTTTTTCAAACTCATCGATTTATGGATTAAAGTCTTTCAAATTCTCACGCATCATCTTTTCTCCACACACATAATTATAGATATAAGAGATATACCAAAAATATGTATCTTAAACCCATTTCAGTTGCAATTAGTTGCCACTTCCTGTTGCCGCAAGAAACTCTCTCCAAAAATTCAATTGATGAACAAAATCGATTAACAGCTGATGAGAAATTCGATTATTCCTCTTATTTTTGTTGGTCAAAGGGTTAAAACAGGTGTCTCCGCCTACGCCCAAAAAAGTTAAGAGGTTGCCGCCGCAAAAGCTAAGAAAAAAACTCGTTAATTTCTTAGCAATTTTGTGTAATTGCCTTTTCAGCTCAACATAACGTGCCAGCAACTAATAAGCCATTAACACGTTTATCCGGCCCAAAGGCACAGCCAAGATTGTGGGAGGGGAGTGGGGGAGGGGTGAGTTCAGGCAGTTCAGCACTGAAATTTGGCCACGCACATCGAAAATATTATTGTGCATTTTATTTTTTTTTTTTCATTTTGGGTCAGTGGGAAAAAACTATGAATTTCCTCAATTAGAGTATTGCTGCAAGGCACGACGACCTCGACGAAGATAAGGAAATGCAAATAAGAAATGAAAATAAATAAAATTGCTAAAAAAAAAATAGCCAATAACAGCTAATAAAAATAAAAAACAAGAAAACTTCGTAATCTTTATTAAGCACAACAGCGAAAAAAACATGTATTTTTAACAACCAAATTTCTGGCTAATAAACATGCCGGTAAATAGCTATTAAATAGCTAAAAATTGCAACTCTGATTGCAGTCTGCAAAAGGTATTCCAGTCGCGCTCTCTCTCACTCTCCCTCGTACTCTTGCGCTTATGGTATTGTTGCAATCGCCACAAACGCTAAACGAATCTCTTGTCTGCTGGGTCAGCAGGTCAAAAGCGAGGCGCCCAAAGCGACCAACAACAACAACACACATTCAAAATACAAAGCAATAAACCATGCATTAAAAACCGTTAAAAAAAAGCGCATAACAAATTCATCTCTTTGAGATTCTTTTGGAAAGTGACTCGACACTGGAAGTGCTCTCATGCTCCCATTAGAATAGGGCCAAGAGAACAACAAGTGTTAGAAGAGTGCAGCTCACTTGCGTTGCTCAAGTGTCGCTCTCTAGCGTCTGCTGCTTAAGGCATCAATATATGTAAATATATTATGCAAAAACATAAACAAACAAAAAACTGAAGCGACGCAGCTGGAAAAACAAATAGATAGGAAATATCACAGCAGGATTGTTTATGAAGTGAAGAGATAAGTGTGAAATGATGTGGGTGAACAGAGCAGAGTGTGTGTGTGAAGAGAGCACTTAATAGTTCAATTATAACGGCATATGGTAAAACAGATAATAAATTTGAATTTTATTTACTTGTAGTGAAAATGCTTTAAATCAATTATATAAAAAAATGCATAATGTCCTTGAAACTATTGTCACATAAATAATGTAAATATTATCGTGCTGCTTCTCTTTCACTTTCTTCGATTTTTTCATGAATATTTTATTACATTAACATTTACATCAATCGCTTGCTTCAATTGCTTTGTGGCCCACGCAGTGTTTGCAGCTGATATCAATCGATAGACACACACACAACACATGCACAGATAAATAAAGCGCAGCCCACGCATAACAACAACTGCCGTTGCACAGTTATGCGCAAACATACACATACAGACACACATATAAATGCAAGTGTATGTCTGAAAGAGAGCAAGCGAATAATATTATCGCAGTCGGCGGTCGGCGGACAAATTCAAAGTTATTACGAAATCGCAATCGAACATAACGGTAGATAGCAAACGCAATACACACACATATACACACTTGCAAAGATAGACAAAACGAAATAGAAGAAAACGGCTGCGTTCAGCAGACCAAATCTGTTTGATTTGTGTGGAAAATCAACAAAAACTTCACAAAAATATAATAACTAAATATTACAGTTTAAGTAATCGCGTTATTTTTTGTGATTTTGCTGGTTGTAAAAAAATAAACAGAGTACATTTTGCCAGCTGAATGCATCCAAATATGGATTAAAATTCAATGCAATTGCACCAGAAGAAGCAGAAGCAGCAGAAGAAGCAGCAGCAAAGCGACTGCCCAAGCGAATGCTAAGACAATGGCGTAAAACACAAAACAAGCGAATAAGCGTAACTGGCAAAGTAGTCAGAACAAAAAAAGAAGAAAAAAAGAGTTGCCCGCAAGCAGCGAAATAGAAAAGAAAAGCCAAAGAACCAAATGCCAGAGAAGAGTAGCAAGCAAACTAAACATACACACACACACACACCACATATGGAGTCATTTTTTTTGCCACTGCAGTTGCTATTTATGGGAAGTGAATTATATTTGCTGTTCTCTTTTCGCAAAAAGTTCTTTTTTTAGCAAGTGTTTCAGTTTTGCTTACCTTATTTATTGCAGCAGCTGCTTCGTTGAATTACTTAATAATTTCGGCTACAAGCAACACGAGACTTTTTTTTTTCAATGCGGCGACGCATGCGCAACCAGCAAAAACACAAAACCAAATTCAAATTGGAATTTGAACCCCGCAAAATCAAATGCAAAAATAAAGCAAAGCAAAGCAAACTTCTTCTGTGCCTCTTCCTCTTCTCACTCACTCACACACACAGACACAAGCACAGAGCGAATTTGTCGCACTCACACACACGATTACACGCACTGCATTTGCAGTCGGTTTTTTTTTCGAAGTATGTGTGTGTGTTTGTGTATTTTCGATACTTTTGCTTTGGTTGTGTTGTGGATTTATGCTTTTATATTCAGCTTAATGCACACTATTTATTTAAACACAAAACACAATTTGCACAGATTTTCACATTTGTTTTACGCTTGTCGCTTGCGGCACTTTATTTCCTTCCGTGCACATGCACTTTGTCGACACTAATACACTCATAGAAACGATAACTTCAAGAGACACACGCACACACACATATATATACATATGCTTATGCAAAAGCAAAACGGCTTTTTGCATTTACTGGGATTTTAAATTCAAAATCAAGGATTTATCAAGAATTAAAATCTATACGTTGTCGAACATTTTTGCATTTAAAAAAACATTTAACACGCGTCGGCGGCCATTTGTTTGAATAGAAGACAACAACACATTTCACGCGAATTACCGTCCGCAACCGCGTCCAACCCGTTTGATGTTGTTTTTGTTTATGGTAAAAACTAGGGATGTTAACAGCGCAAGCACATCGATAACTATGCCAAGTGCATGAACTGTAAGTAAACTATCGATAGCAGCACGATCGAGACTAACTCAAGCTAAAAGCGTGTATAATGAAGTGTAAACAAAGTGAGCGACAATGTAAAGACTATAACATATTTACTCACTAAAACTAAACAGCAATAATCAATTTTTTTGTTTACCATTATTCAGTGCGATAGTCGTTAAATTGGTCAAATGTGTGACACTGAACCGTAACACAGCGTTGCTTCTGACTATCGATAATACCAACGATTGTTTTGATGTTCTTGCATTGCTTATGAACAACACACACGAAAAAGAATAATGTAGAAACATAATTAAAATTAAATAAAGTACAACGACGGACATGTTTTAAGCCACATTGTAAAGAAAACAAAACGAGAATAATGCATGGGTGCGTCTGGCGAACGGGTGTAAGTCAGCTAACATCCAGCATGCGTGCAGCTGCAGTAGCAACAACAGCACAGCGCCAAAAAGATGTTCTATCGAAATTACATAAAGCGCTCGAAGGAACACAATCGCGGCGAATTAATCAGCTGTTCGCACACACACATACGCAAAGACATTCACGTTTTTCTGCAAGCACAATTATGAATTCTTTGCGCAAGGAGTTGGATTTGATGGTCTACGATATAATTGGCTTCGATCTGGATGGGACACTGTTGCGCTACGATCTGTTTGAGATGTCAATGCTGATTTACGATGCGCTCAAACAGTATCTGGTGGAGAACAAGAACTATCCGCCGGAACTGTTGGAGCAGAAGCTGGACATGGATTTCCTGCAGAAGGGTCTGATGTTGGATGGGTCACGTGGCAACATACTCAAATTGAGCAACGAGGCGTCTATTTTGCGTGCGTCGCACGGCACTCGGCGGCTCAGCGACGAAGAAATCGTGGCCATCTATGGCAACGAGAGACGCTGGGATGTTGCCACCGCCTTCTGCAATGATCCGCTGTCGACGTGGAATGGTCCCGCTTCTAATCAGATGCGCACCCTGCTCGACTATTTTGATATGCCGTCTGCCATGGTCTTCGCCCAGGCCGTGGATATTGTGGACAAGGATGAGGGAGGCGGTGGACGCAGGGATTATAAGGTGTGGCCTGATCTGCTGGATGCCCTCATGCACAACTACACTCGGGATAACTTTGCCAATGATCAGAGCTTGTATTTCAAGGCGATGCGTGCCGAGCCGCAACGCTATGTGCTGCCCAGCAGTGGCAAGTTGCTCGAGTGGCTGCAACAGTTGCGTGCCATGGGCAAGAAGACCTTCCTCTTGACCGGCTCCAACATTGATTTTGCCAATTTGACAGCGACACATGCACTGGGCCCAGACTGGCAACATCAGTTCGACTTCATTGGGACGTACGCCAAGAAACCGGGTTTCTTTACACAGCAGCGTCCATTTCTACGCGTCGACGAGGAGGCCAAGCAGGAGTTGCCGGGCAGCGAGATCAGTCTGCAGACGGATCTGCAAGCGGGCCACATTTACTCCCAGGGCAATTGGCATCAGTTGCATCAGACGATGGCCAAACTGTTGGGCAAGGATGCCAGCAATGCTCGAGCACTCTATTTTGGTGACAATATCATCCAGGATATTTATACGCCGGTCAAGCATCGCGATTTCGATACGGTTGCCATCGCTGAGGAGTTGTTTCTGCTCGAGCAATCGGATTATCAGTTTCGCTCTGTGTTGAACTCCAAGTTCTGGGATTCGTATTTCATCAGTGGCAACACTCCAACGATTTGGTCCGGTTTCATTGCCAACTATGCCCAGCTCTGTGTCAGTTCCATGGATCAAATCGCCCAAAAGTCGCCGCAGGAACGCTTCATTTGCACCAACGTCAATGGCTTCTATCCGGCTCCGCCAGAGCAACTGGAGTACAGCAATCTCACCAGCAGCTGGCATGGCGGCAATGTCGGAGCTTAATCCAAACAACAACTACAAAAAACATTCTCAACAAAAGAAAATCTCAAAATTTGACACACAACTTTCAAAAGTACAATAATACAAAAATTAACAGTTCGAAATTCTATATATATATACATATATATAAGACCATATAGATATCTAAAACTGTATTCGATTCGAAAATCTCAGAAAACACTCTACAAAAGATGCAAATATTTAGAAAATTGTCAGTTTTCCAAATAAGACAGCAAAATTTTAAAAGTGCAATAAGCAAAAGATTCTAAATTGTTTATATATATGTATATATATATATATATATATATATATATATATGACTATACATATGTCTAAGATTGTAAATGATATCCAAAGAAAACACAACCAAAGAAAAACACAATTTAAGTTTTTCAAAATGGGATATGCAAATTTAAAAAAGATTTTCAATTTATATAAAGTATAAAGTAAACATAAATTCCAGTTGTGGTATTACTAATATTAACTAATTAACTAAACAAGCCAAAAATAAATGCGGACAAATACATTTGTAAAAATCGCTTGTTTTTCCATTTGTTGAAACTAACTCGTTAAACTAAAACCAAATTGTTAATAAGTGAAATGCATTTCAATAAACAAATAAATGCGAAACAAAACTTGTAGCTTCAACGTTTATACAATAAACAACAAATGTTTCTAATATGAGTTATTTATTCATTCTAATTGCCAAAGTCGAAACCATTTATAAACTTCACTTTAAATTTATAAATTCGATTTAATATTTTAATCAGATGCTGATCATTTATTGTTATCCATCAAGATAGCTTTAAAACTGAGAGACCAGCTTAAAGAGAAAAACAGATAGAAAGATAGACTAGTAGACCTGATCACGAATATATATATAATATATGATTATAGACATCTCGAACAGTGTCTTATAAAATTAACGACAAAATTATTATATCCTCTGCAAGTGTATTAAAAACAAATCTACTTCGAATTTAATTTAAATGACAAAAAATATTGCACAAAATAAGAATTTTTCGATTAAAAATTGCAGTTACTGCTCGACGAGTGATCACTGTACTTGAACGCACTAAACACAGTGCTAACAAGTGTAAATTAAACCAGTTCCAGTTCAAATCAAATTCATATTTTCATATAAATTTATAATACACATAAAAATTGATTTATTCATTCACATTTTAATAACCAACACCGTTTTTTACATATTTAGAAGTTGGAAAACTTTTAGATAAACTATAAAGCTGTTCATGGCGTATTATTGTCGTATATAGATGCTATTCGCTACTGAATTTGAGACATTTACAAAGAGTATAAATTAAATTAATATTTGTGACAGAGAATAATACAAGAAAGAAACCCGAATACCAAATGGAAACTTTACATCAAAGACTACGGATATATATAGAGTTATAGCTCGATGATCTTTGACTGGTTTAGAGGATGCGCTCCACGGCCAGGGCTATGCCCATGCCGCCACCAATGCAGAGGGAGGCGATGCCACGTCGTCCGCCGGTGCGCTCCAGCGCGTAGAGCAGGGTGACCAGAACACGGGCACCCGACGCACCAATGGGATGACCCAAGGCGATGGCGCCACCATTAATGTTCACCTTGTTGGCATCCAGCTGGAGGCACTGCACCACGGCCAGCGATTGAGCGGCAAATGCCTCGTTCAGCTCGTACAGATCCACATCGTCGCGTGTCCAGCCAATCTTGGTGAGCTGAGGACAAGAAAAGGTTACAGGTTAGAAGATGTTATGACTCCTCAACCTTCTACTACGCATACCAATGCCTCCACAGCGCTAACCGGACCCAGGCCCATCAAGTTGGGTTCGAGGCCCGTTTGTGTCCAGCCCACAATTTTGGCCAGCGGCTGCAGATTGCGTTGCTTGAGCTGCTCGCCGGACATGAGGAGCACGGCCGCGGCGGCATCATTAACGCCGGATGCATTGCCGGGAGTAACGGTGCCGCCATCCTTAAAAGCGGAACGCAACTTTTGCAATTGCTCGATGCTGCAGTTGGTCTTGATGTACTCGTCCTTGGCAAAGAGTTCCGTGCCCGATCGATCCCTGATCTCGACGGCGACAATCTCCCGCTCAAAGTGGCCAGCCAGCTGGGCCTGTGTCGCACGCTGTTGCGAATCCAATGCGCTGGCATCCTGCCTCGTTCGGGAGATGTCATACTTCTCGGCCAGATTCTCGGCAGTGATGCCCATGTGTATCTGCTCCATGGCATCCGTTAGGCCATCGTTGAGCATGGAATCGACCAGTGTGCCGGGACCCATCTTGACGCCCTGACGCAAATGCATCACGTGCGGCGCCAGCGACATATTCTCCTGTCCGCCAGCAATCACAATCTGTGCATCTCCAGCACGTATCGCCTGATAACCCAACACAACAGTTCTGCAACGGAGTATTTATTAATTTCCATTTCAATTAGCTGCATAGCTGGGTGTACCCACTTGAGTCCGGAGCCGCAGAGCATGTTGATGCCGTAGGCGGGCACGTCTATGGGCAGGCCAGCTTTCAGAGATGCTTGTCGCGCGGGATTCTGACCTTGCCCAGCAATCAAGGTCTGGCATAGAAAATAATAGATAAATTTATAATTTAGCTATGCAAATAATATGCAAGCGAGCGATGCGCAATAAGATCTGCCCCAATCGAACGAAGAGAACGGACAGGATACCCTGTAAATATGCATTTGCCTAGTAACAAATTTTGTGAAGGCTCAACTTTCTCATCGAAATTTATTGATAACGATAAATAATCACAAATTATACGGCATTATATGTCTATCTCAGATAATATAATGAAATGTATGCTTATAATGCTCAAATCCCGATCTAATCGATATTTATCGATAACGAAAAACTAGTGAATTGATGGAAATTAATTATTCCTAGGCGAAGTTTAAACGGAAAATAGACACTTAAAGTATATAAAGCCTCTAGCTCATTTACATATCGCCAAAAAAACAAGAAATCGATATTTATCGATTTTGAACATAACAAGAACGGGGCAATTTGTTCGATTACTCATTACTCAACTGAATAGTCATTATTCTACTCACTTCCCACACTGTCAATATACCCCATGCCACATAAGTGGCAGGGTATTAAGATACTTGACAGACAAGCGGAAAGCAACAATTGAAACTTATTGTGATAACTTTATTTGCTTACCTGGCCCATGATGACTTCGTTGACTTGTTGAGCCTCGACCTTGGCCCGTTGGAGCACCTCTTTGATGACGACGCTGCCCAGATCGGATGCCTTTAGTTTGGAAAGCGATCCATTGAAACTGCCTGCAAAGAGAAAGTTTTTAGAGCATTGTTAGATAAAATGATTACATCAGCTTTTCAATTGCTTAGCAAGTGTTTACCAATTGGAGTACGGGCCGCAGATACAATATACACGTCAGACATGGCGAAGCAATCAATTTTTCAAGCAAATGTTTATGTTTTAAGTGATAAATAAGCAATAAATATAGCGCAGCCGAAACTATGCCGTTGTTGCCTCGCTCAGCGCGCTGAAACAACTGCATTCGCCGATGCGGCGAGCATGCTGCTCACAATGATATTCGCCGCAACGATAGGTAAATACGGTGCAGCAATCACAGTGGAACATATCGATTAAATCGATTAGAAGTAATAATAGTATTTAAATTCAATGTTGTTTTAAGTTAAAGTAGAGCAGCCAGAGAAGTCTAGGGCAGCCGTAATTTTAAATATTTCAATATTTTCATATTGGATTATTGTTAGTATAATATGTTTAAGACTTTTCTTTGTGCAATATGTAATTGAAAACCGTTGCGTACTCCCATTGCTTGTTATTATTTAAAAATGGGAATACCATAGATACCAAAAACATATGTTTTCACATTTCTTTTGATTATTTAAAAATGGGAATACCACCAAGCAGTTTAAATAAACCCATATCGATGCTAGTAAATGCACACCCAACGAAATCGATACTATCGCTAAGTGGCAATGATTAATTCGCTGAAGGTATCGTTGGGTTATCGATACGATATCAGAGTACACAGAAAATTATTTTTTGCCTGACAAAAAACCAACAAAAAAACGCACAAAACGCGCTTCGCAAACGCAATAAGAACAAACGCGCGACGCCTGGGACAAATAACCAGAAGCAATAATTAGCACAAGATTAACGTTGTTTGTACAAAGGAGCCGACAGTGCAGCATCAGCAGCTCAGCAGCAGCAGCAACAGCCCTCGCCCAACAACAACAGCAACGACAACAACAACAACGCCAACACCACCACCCTAATTTACAAAAACAAGAAGCAAAGCAAACGCAACAAATATGCAGGCGATTAAATGTGTTGTTGTTGGCGACGGTGCAGTGGGTAAAACCTGCCTGCTCATCAGCTATACGACAAATGCATTTCCCGGCGAATATATACCGACCGTATTCGATAATTATTCGGCAAATGTGATGGTCGATGCGAAACCGATTAATTTGGGTCTGTGGGATACGGCCGGACAGGAGGATTATGATCGTTTGCGTCCATTGTCGTATCCACAGACGGATGTCTTCCTCATCTGCTTCTCGCTGGTGAATCCGGCCTCGTTTGAGAATGTGCGCGCCAAATGGTATCCGGAGGTGCGTCATCATTGTCCGAGCACACCGATCATCCTTGTTGGCACCAAGTTGGATTTGCGTGACGATAAGAACACGATTGAGAAGCTGCGCGACAAGAAGCTGGCACCCATCACCTATCCCCAGGGTCTGGCCATGGCCAAGGAGATCGGTGCTGTCAAATATTTGGAGTGCTCGGCACTGACGCAAAAGGGTCTGAAGACCGTTTTCGATGAGGCTATCAGATCGGTTTTGTGTCCCGTTCTGCAGCCCAAATCCAAGCGTAAATGCACATTGCTCTAATTTTAAGAAGCACACGCACAGCACACACACACCACACACATACACAGCACACACACACACACCAAACACACACACACAACACACCCACGAAGCATTGTATTTGTATTTGTCGTCAAGTCTATTTAATAACGTAATATTATTAACTAAATAACAATTATGTAACTTAAGCCAGCAGCCAGCAGGCTGAGAGAGATCGAGAGATAGAAAGAGAGAGAAAGAAAAAGAAGGAGAAGGAGAGAGGAGTCCAGTTGTATTTTTTGCTTTGTTAAAAAACTTGCCCAACTCGAAGAAAAACCCGAATTTTCGAACTCAAACATTTCTCTAGTTCTTCTGTTAAATTGTCATTAACTTTTTGATTGATTGTCGTGTTTGTCTTTTGTTCGTTACGTGTGTTTATTGTTTATCAATAATATTAATAATAATAATAATACATATTTTTGCAAACATGCTTTTCCCCCATACTAATTTCAACCATGTGCATTAATTTGAACTAAAAGTTAATTAAAAATTAATGTTGTAAAACCAAAAAAAAGAACTTGAAAAGAACTTACAGTGGTTGCTCGAAGTGGAGAACTCTATGTTCCACATGAAATTATAAAAAGTTCTCTTTCACCTTGTTTGTTATCATATATCATAATTTGAATTAAGGGATTTCCACTTTGAGAAAATGTTTAATTGTTATAATATGTATTTTTGTGTAAAAATTGGTCGATTTTCGAATTTGACAAAGTTTAAATAACTCAACACATTTTTGAGTTGAGCCAATCAACGAATCCATTTAGCGAGCGATCACTGTAATTGAATGAAAATTGTATATGTAAGGAGCCGATAAGTCGCAACTGCATAAATACACAATGTAGAGATGATTGTGGCAAGAGGAAGTCGCAAGCAACTCGAAGCAGCCAGTAAAAACGTTCCATTGCACTTACAACAAAACCAAACCGAAAGAAAAACACAGAAAAACTCAACAAAAAACAAAAAAACTTTTGTATTTAGATGTTGAATTGAATCGAAGGATGGCAAAGATTAGGTATGAATTGCAGCTAAATAAAATGAAGCAGAAGTAAACAAATACACAAACACACACACATATATATATATATAAATATATATATATTTGGCAATTTGATGTATGACATGATGCTACATTTCCTAAAAGGCATCCAAAAAACCAAAATAATTCCAATAAGAACAAAAAATACTTGCGGAACGAAAAGAACTTTTTAAAATTGCTAGTTTCAGCAGGTGCATACATACATACAAAAATACATACATACATACATATACATACATATATAAGATAAAGTCCTTCGTATACTATGTACATGTACTGATTTAAAATACACAAAGAGAAAAGAAAAATGAAAAACAAAATACAAACAACTGAAACTTTGAATACTTTTTAAATATTCAAAAACGGGCAAAACAAATTAATAACAAACATATACATAAATGTGTCAATGGAAGTCAAAATAAAGCATAAAACAATATATAATAAGTCTTTACATGTTGAGTGTTGAGTACCCCTATCAAGCAAGCTATATATATATATATATATATATAATAATTATATGTAAATTCATACTATATATATATGTATATATATATAGACATGTGCGATTTTCAGCGACCTCAACAGGTCTACGTTTTTTTCTGTATTTTTAGATGCGCTTGCTGAGAGTCTTTGAATTTTTGAATTAAAGAAAACATCGCTCGAGTAAAAATAATTTAAAATATGTATAATAATTATTATTATATATATATTAATATGAAATAATTTAATATATATATATATTTTTTTTTTTGTTTAGCGTTAATAGCTGAATTGATAAGGAGATAAGGCATATCCGACTATTCAGCTAACTATGTGAACTCAGCCACTATGCAAGATATCTTCTTGAAACTTGAAACACATACGTCTTCTACTTTTAAGTAGTACATATGTGAAAATCAGTCAAATCGGAGCACTAATTCATATAGCTGCTACAACTATCGTTCGAGAAATGAGTTCTTGTGTGAGAAACTTTATTGTTTTCATTGATATCACAAACAAACTCATTTATAATGCCTGCGACAATTAGCAAGACATCGGAAGACTACAAAAATAATTGAAAACTTTCTTTATTTTCAAAGTTAAAACTCGTATAATGCTTGGATAAATACATTATTTATTGGGTAAGTAAATGAAGCATATTTATAAAGAGTATCCGAAGTTCGTCTTGCTTTGGTTGGGTTGAATTTCTCATGTTGGTTTTCAATTTCAGCTTGGGGCTATCATTGAACAAAAATGCTTATCACAGCAAAAAAGAATTGAATACCAAAATGGAAGAGGCAGCAAATCAGTTCAGCTGCTGCTGCTGCTGCTTCTTAATGATGGAATGTTCTCGCAGCTGGAAATTAATCGGGCACACAGCCGAACCAACAACAACAACAACAACAACTTAAAGCATTTCTATGTTTATGTTCCGCCAGTCCGAACATGTGTGTAATGTATGCAAGCAAGTCTGTGTGTGTGTGTGCGAGTGTGTGTGTGGGTCGTCTACTCAGATGACGTGTCCGTTGAAGAGAACGACCCCGCATGGACCAATCATTAAAGAGTCTGCCTGTCTCTCATCTGGCGGCTGACGTGGTTGTTTTCCTACGCACATCAATTGAAATGAAATTAATACGAATTCCGTTTTAAGTTAAGTCTGTGTTTATAATGCACTTTGCTGTTGGTTTGAGTTAAGTTGAGTTGTTTGTCTGTGACTTAAATGGCTAAGAAGTATTACAATTTATTTGGCATTCGAGTTGCGATTTTGTTAACTATAGCTTAGAAAAAAGATTGGTTCGCTTTTTTTGTTTAGAACTCATCGTGGCGAGCGAGTGCCTCGCCAAAGTCCGTCACCTGGGAGCCGACGAAGACATCGTATTTGTCGAGTATTTCCTCTTTGGTTAGCTGCTCATCGTGGTCCACATCCGCCTCAAAGATCAGATGTTTGGCCTCGCTCTCCGCATGATCGAAATCATTGGGCGATATCCATTGACGGATCTCGTTCTCGGTCAGGTAGCCATCGTTGTCCAGGTCGCGATGCTTGGAGAATGACTCGCGTTCGCTGAGCACCCATTCGGGTTCCTCCTCATCGGGTTCGGAGGGACGATACATGTCTCCGATGTATTCATCCACAGAGATTTTGCCATCCTTATCCTTGTCGAGATCATCGGTGGTCTCCTGCAGCACCACATCACGCATGGTGGGATGGTCCTCGGGATGCAAAAACGCAGTGAACTCCTCGATAGTCAAACTATCATCCAGATCCCGATCGGCGACAGCCCAGCGACGACGATCGCGGGCCAACATGCTCTTGTACGAAATGCCTGGCGAGAATTCTGATTTGTTAATCGATCAATTCTATGAGAAGATGCTGCAGCTGCTTACCCTGCTCCTCGTGCTCCAATTCCTCCTTGCTTAGCGTATCCATGAAGCCGTAGATGCTCTTGCGATAGACATCCCAGCTGATGGTTTTATTGTTATCCGGATTGTGTTGACGCCAAATGCGACTCACATCCTCGTCGATGTAGCGACGTTGTGTGTACTGAATCCACGCCTTCAGCTCAGCTAGTGTTATGAATACATTCTTATCTGCATCGATACGATCCACAATCAGACCCAAGCGTCGCTTGCTCTCCTCCGGCGTCAGTTCGTCAAACTTTTTGGCTTCATCGGCGCCCAGAAATGATTCGTGATCGTATTGCGAATTGTGTTCACCGGCATCAAAATGCTTTCCATGCAGCGAATCGTGCTCCAGCGGATTATGTGGCAATTCTCCATTACTATCCGGTATGCTTGAGGCAGCAACCAGACTGATTATCGCTGCGGCAGCAACAAGTACAAATGTTCCAGTTGTCATTTTTGTGCCGGCTCAGACTTCAAGTCTATTGCCGTCCGAACGCTTTGAGTATTTGAACAAGAGTAATTTGAGCTAGAACAAAACTCATGCAATGAAGCCTCAGAGTATCGATAGCTTTTGAGTGCATTGTCCAAGAGTGCTTATATCGATACGATGTATCGATGCCATTTTAGATTTATCGAGAGATAAGCAAAATAACGTATCTTTATTTTGAATAGTGAAAAGCATTTGAAATAAATGTTTATTAGTATTATAATATTATTTATAATTGCGTAATAAGATTTATTATTTTTCATCTCTATTATTTCATATCTTCTGGCTTCGTGTGTCAACTTGTTTATTTCATTTGGATAAAATACTTAAAAGTAATTATTTTTATAATACAAATAAATATGTGCAATTAAATTCAAGCGTTATTTACAATTTGTTCTTAGGTGCAGGAAGGACATTTACTTATTATTTGTTGGCTGTCCGGGATCATTGACATCCTGATTGAGTGAACTAAAGTCACCCGTATTGCACGAGATGCTTGGAATATCGAAATTGGAGAATCCCCGATAATTGGCCACCTCCGGCTTTAAGGGGGATGGCAAAAGTACACCCGTGGCGGGCACATCGCTGTCTATCAAGCTATCCAACGTGGTATCCAGCACACTGGTCTCAGCTACAACGGGTGCTTTTGGAATTCCGCGCTGCGCAAGTGGATCAAATTCATCCAAATTCAGTTTTGGATCATCGGCAACGCTATTATCGCCACTCTGATCGGACAAATCGAAATCGTAGTTGATGTTCGTCAATCCACCTTGGAATTCGTGGCCCAGCATCAGGACATCAGCATGCTCCGAGGATTCCTCCAGCAGCGATACAGCATCGAAGGGCGTATAATTGTTGAAGAGGGGCGAGGCGAACAACTGATCCGTTTGGGCCAACTGATGATGCAGCGGCGACAGACGACCCACAGAGCTGACACTCGTATCCTTCAGCGAGAGCGTATGCGACGCCTCCAACTGGGCTTCCTCGACAGGTTTCTCCTTCTCCTTGCCCTTAGCGGCTATCAGCGAGTGCTGATTGTGTGCGCCACTCAGCAGATTGGACGAATAATGGCCAACGGCTGCCTCAACGCCATCCTGTGCCAAATGAGCACGCGCCTGGGCAATCAGATGAGGCGGCGTCTTAATGGGCAGCAGTGTTAGTGGCGCCTTGGCCATCACAGTGTCCACCTTCTCCGTCACCTCACGCTGAAACTCAAGCAATTCGCGCTCAAAGTCCTTGATCCCGTTGCTAATCGCCGTATTTCGTTTCTGCAACTGTTCCATGCACTTCATATTCTCCGAGATGAGATGCAGACTCTCGCAGGCGAGCAACGCACTCTCCCAAGGCGTGCTAAAGGCCTGGGCGCCCGACATTAAAGACTCAAACTCATCGGCACCAATGCTCAAGCTCTCATTGTTTAGATTCTCAATGAAGGCAATGGCCGAGCAGAGATTGGTGAAATAATAGCCACCCTCGCCGCTCATCACTCGCGACGCAATCGTGAAGCGATTCACAAAATTCAAATTGCTGTGCAGGCGCACCGGATTCGCTTTGAGCACCACAAAGATTAGCGCTGGCAGGAAATCATCAGCACTTGCAGGTCCGCCCTTGGAGCTCTTGAGCAGCTCGAAAATGTGGCGACAACAGCGAACGGTGCACAACAGTTTCTCCTGCGGCGAATAATACGAATCGATGCCCACCAGCTCCGAGATGGCATTGTAGACCAAATCCCTCGCCTCCGCGTTCACCTCATCAATGCTGCAATCGAGATGCTTCGATGTTATCCAGCTCAGTTGTCGTATGCGCTTCTGCACCTTAATATCGCTCTCCTCATCAGTGGTAAAATATGGACTGAAGAGCAAGCTGCAAGAGAAGAGATATCAGTTTGTCTGCAAGTTTGAGCAGAGAACTTTTGGAACTCACTTGTGATTCTGTGTCATGACGACCTTCTCAAAGAAATCGATGGCACTCTCGCGATCCTCGTTCGTTGCGATCTCGAAGCGTGCATCATTATGCACAATGTCCGCGAAGCGTGTGTAAGCATTCTGGACAAGATCGGACAGTTCATCGACATTCTTGCTGCTGTGATTGTTCATGTATTTGCGTATCTCGTGATCCAAACGCTGTATCTCGCTCTTCAGCTTGCGCTTGGCATCGTCCGGCAGACGCAATTGACGCAGCTGCAACATAAACTGCGATTCGGTGGCACTCGGAATGCGAGGCTGATGTTGTTGTTGTTGTGCAACAGCAGCAGGAAATGTATTTTTTAGTGTCTTCTGGAGCACAGCCGGCACGGTGAACTTCTTTCGGGGCATGGTGCTAGCTGTGGCAACTGGCGAGGAATCGGATTCGTGCTGCTGTTGCTGCTGCTGCTTCTTTTTGACACGGTCCAGCGAGAGCGAATGCTGCGGCGACCTGCGCTCGATCGATCCACCAGCGGAATTGGCAGCTTCATGATACTCGCTAGCTCTCTCTAAGGATAGAAAGGGGAAGCACGAGAGTGTGACTAATTGTCGTGTCTAGAGATAAATCGAGTGATCCACGCTTACGCTTTTTCCGCTGCTTATCGTTGCGTTCACGGAAACACTTCGAGCAGAGTCCATCGAACTGTGTGTTTCCATAGTAACCGCAGCCCTGGCGGCATTTCAGATCTTGCTGACCGATTCGCAGCATCGGCGCACGGTTCGCCATGATTACAATTTACAATTTACTTTTTACTTGAATTTTGTACGAATCGGATTTATTGCGAATTCTTATTTGGGGTCCAGGCTGATAGTCGATTGATGATAAACAGCTGATAGCAGCGTTATCTCAACGATGTATCGATGTCTTGCAGCTCAATGGGGCGATAGTTCGATTTACTACTCACTTCATCTTTGCAGTAGTATCGATACCTTGGCTTTTGAAAAACTGTTATAATTGATTTGAATTTGAATTTTGTTTGCGAAATAAATAAACTACACATTGTCTTCTACTAAAATTGTATTTTAGTATATTTTATTGAAATGAGAAAACATTCAAATTCGCAACTAAGAGTTATTAGACATTTTGAATACATTTTGTAAAATCGAAGTGCTTTAGGAAAAACAGCTCACATATATCTTAAATCGTATTTTAAAATCAAACATTTGCAAGCTGATATACATATAGTTTATTATAACTTTCTTTTGTTTTGATTTAGGACGGTTATACACGTAGAATGCAACTTCTGGTATGTATAGGCAAAATTGGGTAGATTTTTAAAAAGGGGTATACAAAGAATGTTGAAATTTTGTAAGCTAAATATGATTCACAACAACAATTGGAAAAAGCTCAAAGAAACATTTAAATGTTTGTATCGCTACGAATAGACTACAATTTTTCAAGTTTGACCTAACTGCTCTCCTTCTCTCTTTTCTTTTCTGTCTGTCTTTCGTCGATTCATTGTTGCTAACATTTTTTTTGTTGTTCCCATTAACAGATTCGGTTTTTTTTGCAGTCGCAAAAGAAATACCCTTCATATTCTAACCAGCTTAATTGACGCACTCCGCAAATGCATATTACATACACTATTCGAATCTCTACAAAACTTCTCTATTAACGCTAATCTATTTCATTCTAACATAGTCGCTTTATTTTTGTTTGTTTTTTGTTTTTTTAGCAGTACAAAGATTTGGAAAAACCACTTGTTCTTGTGTTTTTTTTTTATTTAATTAGTCTCACAATTGCTAATACATATTTATCGAAATGCAACCTTGTATTCGTGTGCTCAGCTACCGTTAGTTACGTATACTTCTCAGTTTTCCTACATTTTCCAATTCAACCGTTTCAATAAAGTCTCGTGAATAGTTTGTGTTTTGTTTTTGGTTTTTTTTTTTAGCTTAGTTTCTAGGCTACTTATGATGGATGTCTTTGGCTTCCGTTTTGAACTCTTATTAGCTATAAAAAGTGTAATTTATCGATAACACGTTTTCAACAGTTATTCCAATTTGGTTATAAGTTTTTGATTAAACGTTCTTTTTTTTGCTTTTGATTAAATGTTGTTGGATTGGTTGTGATTTTTCTAGTTTCAATTCGCTACAAAAGATTTGCATTTGGTAAAAAATTCAAGTCTAACAATTTGCTTCAATAAATTCCTTATTCCTTATCGGAATCTGTTGGCCTGAAGAAACTGGTTCTTGCTTGGATTTCAGTGTACCCTGTGTTTTTTTGTTTTAGTTTGTTTTTCTTCCTTTCGAACTGAATAGTTTGTGTTACACATTAAATAACATTAAAATAAACACACAAATTAGAACTTAGAAGAGCTCAACACCTCATGGAGCACTATATGAAAGGCTGTTAAAAAAGTCAGCAAAATCAGTTTTAAAAATCCTTTCCGGCTTTTTGGTTGGCTTGTTAACTGAAATATTTCAGGCCCGCAATCAACATAAACTTCTCTATGAATAGCTCAGAGTCCAGCACCTGAGGAATTAAAAATAAGCAAAACATTTATATTAATAAATGGTAAAAGAACTTGGTCCAAAGTGTGAAACAGGCAGAAGATTTTCGGCTTTGATTCTCGGATACACATTTTGAAACACAGGGTATCTACTAGTTTAGTTTTCTCTATTTCAATTACCGCAATGTGAGCTGCTCTGCCAATCAAAGTGTTGGCCGTATGGGGCAGCGCATGATGCACATCAAAGCGGGCCAAAGTCAGCTCGGGTCTGGCCAAAATCGGTGCAATCACATTGTGCACCATTTCCCTGTAAATTGTCGCTAATTAGTGGTGTAGATTAACAGATTAATCCCTAAGCCAACCTGTAGATTGTGCCCAATGAGGAGCCATCCCGCATGGCAGCCTTGCACAGCTCCAGGCGCGCCGAATGGGCGGGCACATAGCGATCCTGACTGGAACCACAGAGCAGAATATTGCTGAAATGATGCAGAGTACTCCGCTGGCTCAGCCGGTAGAGAAAGCTGTTCCTCATGTCCGTGGTGTCCCGCATGCAAAGCTGCAACAGCGAGCCAGACTTTTTCCACTTCTGCATGAACCACATGCCTAGCAGAGAAGAGACTTGAGCAAGTAATCTTTAACAACATAGGCAACTGTTACTTACCCATGTTGACCAAGCCGCTGGTGTTGTAGAGCGTGCCCAGATGTGGTCCCGAGAGCGAGAGAAACGTGTGCAGACGTGGCAGCAGTGGGCGCATCTGTGGACGCGCCAAGGCGCTGCGCACAATGATTGTGCCCAGGGAATGTGCCACAAAGGAAATGCGTGCCGGGTTCAAGCCACAGCTGTCAATGTGGTAAAGGATCTCGGCAACGAGCCTGCGAGAGTTAATGATTGATAGGGTTATAGATCAAAGGCGAATAATTTATATAATTTATATCTACTTCCAATTTGAATTCACTCACCGATCAGTCATTGTATCAAAGTCGGAGAAGGTATCGCCCTGATTGCGCTCGGACATGAGAAACTCGAGATTGACCCCGGGCAGACCCAGTTCCAGATAGGTGCGCACCAGACGCAAATCAGCCGAGTTGCCATCGAGTCCATGGACACAAATAACCAGATGCATGCCATTCGGCGAGAAGGCGCGATACTCGTCACTGATATAGAAATAGGGCAGCTCCGATGCCAGCTGCACATAGTCCGAGTAGATGCTTCCCTGGTATTTGATTTGTTTGCGAAACTCCTCGCGACACTTTTCGAATTCCAGTAGTGAAATGCTCGGAGATGCCTCCGGTGCGCTCAAAGCCTGTTGATTCTTGCGCTTGGTGTGCTTGGTCGTCGAGCCATTTGATTGCTTGCCACGTCCGAGAATTTGACCATTGGCATTCTCTTTGTTCTCATCCTGTTCCGTGGCGAGTATATTCTCCTTGCATTGGTGCTGCGATGGACGCTTCAGTTCGGCCAGACTGTGAGATTTGAGTACGGGCTTATTGCTAAAGATGGCCGGTGTGGACATGGGACGCAGTGACTCGTAGATGTGATAAACGGGATTGTCTATGGCGCCAATGGGTTGGCGTTCCTTTAGGGGCGGTGCTGTTGCATGCACCACATGGCAGGGCAAGGATTTAGACTTGGCTTTCGGAGCAACAGCAGCTGGAGTTGGTGCAGCTGCAGCTACAGCGGCGGGAGTTGGTGCTGGTGTCGCAACTGGTGCTGGTGCTGGTGCTGGTGCTGGTTCTGGTTCCGGTGGTGGTGGATCGCGAAACTCATCGGGTGGCGGCGGTGCCACCACAGCGGACACTTCCTGTTCCTGTTCCTGATCTTGGAACTGCTGTGGCGGCGGCAAACAGACTGCATCCAGCGGTTGCATATCCTTCAGACTGGTTATGTCAAAGTCGGACTTCGATTTGCTGGCGGAGGCGCCACCGCCACCCTTGTGTCGACTGCGACGCGGCGGCGGACGCTCCAAATCCTCCACCTCGGTGGATTCGCCGTTGGGCAGGTGACGCAAACGATCCAGCTGGTAGCGCGAGCGCTCCTTCTTGATGGTCAGCGTCACCGATGAGATCTTCTTGTGCAGCTCCTGCTGCTGCTGCTGCTCCTGCTGCTGTTTCGCCGGCGTTCGACTCTGACTCGAACCAGCCGATTGTCGCTTCCTGCTGGGCTTGTGTGGCAACTGCTGCTGCTGCTGCTGTTGCTCCAGCAACTTCTGGAGTCGCAGACGCAGCTGCTCGCCATTTAGACGCGTCTCCAGGCCCATGCCCATGCCCAGATTGAGTTGGGTGTGCCGCTGCTGCTGCTGCTTCGAGTGCGGACCACTGATGCTTGTTATCGTATCCGGACTGGAGATGGCCAGCGAGCTGCGACGACTGCTCACCCAGCCGCTCTCCTCGCTCAACGACGACGTCGAATTGCTGCGTTGTCGGCGCGAATCCGAATCGAACTCTGGTGGCGGTGCCAGATTGGGCAGCGATTCACTGAAACCACTTGTATTGGGATCACTGCTATTCGTATTGTTCTGACTATTCGCTGTCGTTGTGGTCGTCGCATCCAGCCGGAAGGGCACACTGCTCGAGCTGAGCATCTGCAGCTTTTGCATCATGTCGCTCTCCGAGCTGCTCGACTCTTTGCGCAGCGCGCCCGATGCCCCCTGACTGCCGTGACCCGCCTGACCGGGCTGACTTTGACCCTGTCGCAGCATCTCCTTGATGTCGGAGACGCGCACCCTTGCAATCTCCACGGCTCGTGGTATTTGGGAGCTGCTGCTTCTGGGCATCGTTGTGTATTGGCTGGGCGGTGGCGGCGGATAGGAGTTTCTTGGCGGCACCATGCTCTTGGGCAGCGAGTTGTACACTGTCAAAAAAAGATGAGGAAAGTGTTTAAGGAATTGTTGGAAAGAGGTGAACGTTTGCCCAACCAGATTTGGCCTGAGACGAAGTGAGAATGTTGCCAACAGAACAGATACGAACAAATTCTTTTTAATCGATACTTGAAGACGGTTATCGGTTTGATGGTAATTTACTTCATAGCTGTAAATATTTTCGATTTTGAATAGGCGGAGGTGGGCGTGGTCGCTGCTGATCTTTTAAGGATACCTCCAACCACCTAACTACCAAATTTGGTGCCTCTATCTTGACAATTGTGAGAGATATGCGGTTTTATCGATTGCTGCCTATCGATTTTTATCGATTTTCTAGCAGTTCACAATTGTACAGAAAGACAGAGAGCATGAGAAACCAATATACACCTCAACCTTCTCTAACAGAGTATAAAAATATGACTTTACTTAAAAATTTAAGACTTACATGTTATTTGTTTAGTTCTCTCAGTGTAGCCAGACTGCTGCTGCTGCTGCTGCTGCTGCTGTTGCTTGGGTGGATTCAGCAGCTTGATCTCGTGCAGATAATCAAATTTGCTGGCATTGCCATAGCGCTGACGGAACTCGCAGATGTTGCGCATCAGATCATCGGCTTGGAGGCGTGCCAGGCCAGCTGGCAACGTGTTGTAGCTCACCTGCCGCGGATTGCAGTTGGCCGCCAGCTGGGGAGGCGTCTCTGCCGTTGTCTGGCAACCGTCCAGCTGATCCAAAGATTTGCTGTGACGCGTTGGCAGCGTCATTGTCTCAGTGCCATCCACATCGAGATCTTCGAGAAGGCCCGTCACCGAATGCCTGGAGAGATTGTGACGCAGGACGAGCGAAGGAACTGCTGCATCCTTGATGTTGCCGTTGCTGCTGGGCGTTATGGTGAGACTGGCCTGGAGCACTTCGCCTCCCAGAGCGAAACGGGGCGTAACCACGCACTTGGCATGCGGATGAGCCGGACCAGTGCCATTGCCCTGCGGATAGTCGTAGTCAAAGTGACAGGCGAGGCAATCTTTGGTGCCATTCAAACTGCTGCTCGAGTGCGTCTTATCCGCTGGCAGCGACTTCTTCCTGCCCCCCGTTCCCGTAGTGGACGTCTCCTCCAGTTGTGGATCACTGCCCGATCGTCGTCTCGCATAGCTGGCACCTGGCACCACATACCGATCCTCAAAGATCAGCGGCAGCGATGCCGCATCGCCATCGATGGGTGTACAATGCACAGGCAGTGGTGGCAGCGATTGCAAGTAGCGACTCCTGCGCGCCAACTCTGCAATTCCCGCATAGCCCTGACAATGACCTGGACTGCTGTTCGCCTCCTGGCACCCAGCGGCTGCGTGTCTCGGCTGCTCCAGCACAAAGAAGCCCTCGGCAAAGCGACGCACGCGCAGAATGTGATGCTTGCGGGCGAGGAGCGTGTGCACCGCCGTCGAGGATCGGGAGGCGAGCAGCACGCGACGCCACCAGAAGATGCTCTCGGCGCACAGCTGCGCAATGTCCGAGTTGGCCAGCGTCGCAAAGTCATCCTCAGCCTCGAGTAGCTATGAAAGTATGGTGGATGGGTGTAATCAGTAAGCGTGGCTTGGTTTTAGTCTAGCGATCAAACCGAGTTCAAAAAGCCTCGTTGAGTTTTGAAATTGGAAAGATTCGACTCAGACTCTGGAGTCATTTTTGGGAACTAGAATTTGTATATGACTATTGAGTCCGAATCTTATTTCAAGCTTTGAGTGTAGCATTATTCTAGAGATCAAACCAGGATTTGACTTTGAAAAAGTTATGGAAAGTTTAACTTTGGCTTTCCTTCTTTATTCATGAGTGAATGAAATGGATCTTACAACCCAATTTAAGCTCAGCTTACCTTGGCCTGTTCCATCAGTTGCTGCAGCCGCTCTCCCATATCGTTTTCTCTGAGTGGCGGCGAGCCAATCTGCGAGTTGATGCTGGGTGGCAGCACTGTGCTGAACTCGTTGAGGGTCGCCTTCAGTTGCTCGATGGCGCCGAGCAGCAGGCAGCAGATATCCCGATGAATTTGCCGGGATTGCAGTAGTCGGCCATTGGGGCCACCGCTGCATTTGGTGGTGCCACCGATCTGTGGGCCAAAGAAGACCGCCTCGAGTGGACCCGGTGAGGTGTTGCCACGACAGCTCAACTTGCTGGCGCTCCACGGCTTCGAGCTGCGCGGTGCACTGGAATAGAGATCGAATGGGATCAGAGATTGAGTGAGTCAAGAGTCCTCAGCTAAACACACACAGACAGAGACACACACACACACACACAGACACAAACACGCACAGAAAGCGCTGCTAAAGTGGCGACTACAACCAACTACAACGAGTGGAATGATAAACAGACACCGAAACGGATGTTAATCTTACCATAACTTGATAAATGAGAACATGCTTTTCCTGCAATCGGGTTATTGGTGTCGATGTTGGTTTTCCATTCGAAACGATTCAATTGATTATTGTTTGATATATGGGTTTAAATTGATTAAAATGAGATTAAAATGTAATGAAATTGATTTAAGGCAAATTAAGGTTATGCTTAAATATGTTTGAATGATTTTTAAAAGGTTAACTATTATTGTTGTGGGAATAAACTAAATAAAATTGTTGTGGAAATGAGTAGGAAAAATCTTTAAAATACTCTTGCTTTTAAACTGCTTAGAAAGGGTATAGTTTAAAGAAAGAGTAAATGAAAATAACATTGAAACTAATTATTATTAATATCAAAATCTGTTGATTAAGGGCAAATTACAGATTTATTTTAATGGTCAACAAGTAATTAATAAGTCAAATTGTTTATAAAGTGAGTTCAAAGTGTGGTAATTGAGATTTCTTTGAAGAAGAAGTTAAGGTAAATAAGTAAATTCTTAGAAAGGGTAAATTAATATGGCTTAAGAAAACAATTCAAACAAATTACTCTTTAAATGAAAATCGTATAACATTCTAAACATATTTGAAACTTAAAGTTAAATCAAATAACTACATAACTACATCTAATTTAAAGTTAATATATATGCTGAAAGCAACTTGCAAGCCAAAAGCAGAGCTCATTGAATCCCTGCTCCACACTCAGTGATTCTATTTCAGTTTTTGGGGGCATGAGGCGAGATAATCAGGCAATTTACAGTTGCCTCCAGCTGATGAGGCAGAGAAATGTAATCAACATCAAAATTCGGAGACGACAAAGGGCCAAGGTCAGCAAGGAATTTCAATTCCAATGGGCCAATCTATTATTCATTTGGAGAATGTGGAAATCTTTGGCAATGAAATCCACCCACGCAATTCCGGAGTCAACTTAATATTAAGTAAGTTCTGCCCCAATATATAAATTGTTTAATATGTGTGGGGCATTTAGCGACAAGTTTTAGCGTCATAAAACAGATTAAAGAATTACAACAACCACGTTTCCTAAAGTGATTGAAGAAGGGGCAATGGTTGCGGGGGTTGGGAGGCATATACAAACTTTTGCTGATTCAAATGGCGTAAAAATTGACTGCGACATGGCTGAAGAAAGTTGTGAGTAGTTGCTGGATGTAGCAAACCAGATGCCACGCCCCCGCCCTCAATGCCGCCCAAATGTTGCAGTCTGTTGCAGTTAAAGTTGCAGTTGTGTCGCCAAAGTAAACGCGGTGCGAAGAGGAAGACAATTGAAATACGAGAGTCATTAAAATGTATGCACACACAAGAGCTACACTCAGCGAAAAAATGGGCAACTACAATTGAAGTGCCAATTTAATGAAATTCTTTATAATTTCTGGATCAAGCTGTTTAAGTTTTGTTTGAAGACGATTGGGAAATCTATTGAAAAAGTTGTGTTTTAATAACAAAAAATAAAGAGAATAATCGAAAATAAATTATAACAAAATAAACAAAATAATACTTTCCCGACAGTGCACTTGATTTAAGTACAAAATTCTCTCTCTCTTATATATATATGTATATTTCTTCAAGTGTATCGCCTGGGAAAAAAGGCCAGTTGCCGTGGCCAGAAGAGATGGGTGGGTGGCTTTTGTATAATAGAGACGGGAAGGGAGCAAGGGGATTTGTTGTCTGTGTGCAATTTTAATGAGTTGGAAATGATTTGTGCGGGTAATACTGGCCCCTAGAAACGGGAGAAACAGGAGAAGCAGGACAAGCAGGAGTGGGAGCTGGAGGAGCAGTAGCTGGAACCGGAGCTCCCAGTTCAGCACAGCAGGACAGTGACTGCAAAAAAAATATATATGACTATCAACGTTGACATTAGAGATCATGTTGTCAACTCTGCTTTGCATAATACATTTGCAACCCGAGCACCACCCAACACCACCCAACACCACCAGCAGCACCAGCAGCACAACGCACTCACTTGATGTACGGCTGATGGAGGGCCACAAGACTGGCATGAATGCCCACACTGATGGCCGCCAAGTGAAAATAGTCGAACAGCACCGGCAGATGATAGTGCAGACCACGTCCTGGATGAAAATTGAGCTGAAGATTGCGGCTGGAGGCCAACGACAAGTTGCTGGTGCCATTCTGTTCGCCAAACCACAATTCCAATTGCAATGAGAACTCGGCTCGCTCTATGGACTCCTTCAGGTGACGGCTGTCAACTGCACATGGAAAGAAAAAGAGAGAAAAACAGAGAGAGAGAGAGAGAGAGTGTGTGAGAGAGAGAGAGATACGAATGGGGTTTAGTTATAAGTTTATTCAAGCCAGTTCATGTTAGTCATACAGTCACAGTATGTTCAACTCTCGAGCGACAAATCCCCAAATACGAAAACACGTTCTCAGTTTGAGGCACTCGCAAATCTTGCGTGCAAACATATTTCAAGTGTTTTGCTTGTGTGTTGTTCATTCGTTTTTGTCCTGCGAGGACACTAGTGGTTGTTGTTGACCTTGTAGTTGTAGTTATAGGCAGTTTGCCGACTCCAACCACATTGATTATTGGTTTTCGCTTAGGCTTGATTTGTTGATGGCGGGATAAAACCATGTCGAGTCAATTCATTTAATATTGTGATAGCTAAACTTTTGTATATATTAATATTGCTTGTACACAAACAGGGTGTCAAACCAAAGCGTATTTTGGTTCCGGTTCCGGTAAAGGTCATCAAATGGTTACACATTATTTTACTGTTGTGCTGTTGAGACTGAACTGTCGGTTCATGTAGATAATGGGGTTCTTGGACAATAAAGTCGACTCACTTAGGCTATTAGACTGAGACCGATAAAGTAATATGAATAGAGAAGATAATACTTGAAGCAACAAAAATGTGCTCAAAATAACTATTCTTATTTCAGGACTTATCCTAATTTCTGTTAGTACTTCTTAACTAGTGACTACTGTACTACACCCCTATCTATTTGAGCAGTGTTGTTTATTGGTCTTGGCTTGGCAGCCAGCTCTGAAATGGGTTAACAAAGTTAGTGTTGTGACCGGCAAGGTGAGCTAATCAATATATTTCGGATAAATTCATTAGCAAATTAAGAGGAACAGAAACAAATGCTTAATCTCATTACAAATACAATTTCCTTATGTGGCATGTTGACCACCATTCACTTGCCACATATCCTTGCCTTGTCATCTGCCTGCCACCATCATTTAATCAAATTCAATTCACTTCACACGTCGATGCGCCCTGATGGCTACCCAGTCAATACACCGAAGTGTCTTGGCTGCGACTCCCCTTCTCCCCTGCTCCTCTCTCCCACTCTACTCTCTCTGCCCCCCTCTTTTCTCCCCTACCTGCTGTGCCACATAAAATTCATTTGTTTTCATAAAACGGGGATTTGCGGCGGCTAAAGCCTCGGCTGACTTTACTCTGTGGCAATCAAATAAAAAGGAACAGAACTTATCCTGCCACCAAAAAGTCTCAGATCTGCGCTGGCCCTCCTTGGGCATTACTCATACGCCTCGTGTGGCAGTTGCTTGACGGGTTTTTCTATCTCTCCTTTGTCTTGCCTTTACGATTTTTATTTTATTTCTAGTTGAATATATTTTAAATGCTGGGTCTTTTTGCGTCGCGTGCATGGCAATTCGAGTCCCTCGACATCTGCCAGAGCTCTTAGGTCTCAGCTCTCAGATCTCTCGGCTTTTCCAGTGACAATTTGCAAGACGTATCTACAACACGGTGGCAACAGCAACAGCAACAGCCACAGCAACTTCAACCTTTGAGTTTTACATGTGTAAGAAAGACAAATTGTAACCAAATAAGGTGCTGACAACAGCTATTTTGCAGCAAACAGAGTAATGTGCAAGTGCCAAAGGAATTGTCTGACAATTGAATAGAATTGGGTTATTCATGGTGTTCATTCATCAATACAGTTGCCTTGACAAAAAGTGTAACAACGTGTTGCATAGCCCGATTGGCTTAGTTAAATGAGCAGCTGGCCAAATATTAACAATTAGTTGCAGCTTCCAGAAGAGATTAAAGCTCTTGTTGATCTGCAGTAATTAAAAAGTTTTCCAAACACGATCTAATCCTTCATCTGTTGACAGTTATTCGATCTGATCGGATCGCCTGCCTTCAGTAAAAAATGGATCTAAGCCTCGTTTGGCCAAGGGAGATGGCTATATTGACTTGGCTAGTGGTACTTACATATATATATATACTTAGCGAGGTTTTGAGACATCTCCATCAAGACAATGGTTTAATAAGCTTCTCGGCATGGATATTAAAAAGGAAAAAGTTGCCTCACTCAAACGCCTCGAGTGACAGTTGCTTGACAGCGTTTTCTTTGTCTTTAGCGATTTTTATTTTATTTCTAGTTGAATATATTTTAAATGCTGCCTCGTTTTGCGTCGAGTGTGTGGCGAGTCCCTCGCCAGTTGTCAGCTCTCAGCTCTCAGCTTTGCCTAGGACAATTTGCAACACGCAGCGTTGTTGCAACAATATCAACTCACACCTTTGAGTTTGCACACGTGTAAAAGAGATAAATTGCTTAGCTACTCAAAGTAACTACTAGATAGAGGGCTGGCGGCATGGGTGAGGAGGGTGGTTGCACTTTATGGGCACCCTCGAAACATCAACAACAGCTGCACAAAAAAAGCTGTCAAGTAAAAGAAACTTTTTGTTTTGCTGCGGATTTGTGTTGCCACTTTACATGTTTGAGGTTGTTGTTGTTCTTCTGTGTGTGTGTGTGTGTGTGTAGAAGTCGAAGGACTCTCACTCACAGGCCCTGGCAAAACTTGTCCAAATGAATTAATCACTTTACCCAACAGCCAAGTGGATGATGTTGTTTTCATTGTTGTTGCTGCTGTTGTTCTTGTTGTTGTTGTTGTTGTTGCCTCTGCTGCTGTTATTGACTTGTTGTTGCGCCCCAACAACAACAGCAACAACAATGTGTCGTTGAACATGAACGGAATAACCAAACACATCGAAAAGACAGCAGCAGCTCGGATTTCTGATGAAGACTGGCAAGTGCTCATCAGCAGCAGGCTATACTTATATGTTGTAGTTCAAGGAGGGGGTTGGGGGGATTGGAGGAGGATTGGAACTAAGTCAGACAATAAGATTGAAATATAGAGTAATCACTCAGCCGCACCTTGTTAATGCGTACAGATTGCTGTGCACCAACAACAACCAGCTTATGAAAATAGTAGTTATAATGCTGAGTGTTTAATTATAACCAGACGAATTTGTTTTATATTTGTGTGTGTGTCTTGTAGTATGTAGATATGATTGCATATGCTTTGAGCATATGAGACATGCTTTACACTAAACTCACAAACAGTTGCTTCAATTCACATTGAGGTTAACTAGGTTTGGTTAGGGAATGCTCTCTAATAAAGTCTGAGAATTTGTCGGCAGGGTAAGGAAGCAGAGCATTATGATTTTTGGCTCATTGTTCTACTGCACAGAATTTGTGTCCCTTTGGCAATTTTACTCTTGCAGTAACAAAGCATCACTAATTTGAGGCCATGCCGTAGTTTGAATGAACATGGCCAGATGATTGGATACCGGATAGGTTTGTTATGTCTGCAAGGAAGTGAGAAGCCCATATTTTGATTCATTTCCTACAGTAATAAGGAAAATGATGAATCAATTCGACTGTCGAGCACTGGACAAGTGATAAAGAAATCGATGAATCGATTCTGCTGCTTCTGCTTCTGCTTCTGCCAGTTTTCAGTGATAAATGTTGTCACTGCAGTGTTTGCTTGGTGCTCGACTTTTGGTGCATGGACATTTTCCCATGCTCCTCTCTTTCCTGAATGACAGATGAGATGGTGTTTTGCAGAGTTTATTTAAGGCAGAGCCAAGTGATTTTACGGCAGGTTGATTTTTTCGTTTAAAACTAACTACATTAAAATCTATATGTCAAATTCAGCTGTTTGGCTTCCCCAGTTGACCTTGACTGAATACATAAATGCTTTTCCTTGAGAGTAAAATAATAATAAAATAATAACAACAAAGAATTTGTTTCGAAATGTGCCTAAAAGCTTTTCCAACTAAATTTCAATCAAATGCCAAGTATTTTATATTAAAATCCCACAGGTCGTATTTATTTATTACTGTTTTCAATATTCAACAAATTTAGCTATTGCTATTTTTATGCTTAATAAATTTGAATGCTAAACAAAATATTTATATTAATATATAGAACTTTGGCTATGCCAAGTTCAAATTTAGGTTTCATTTTATTACACAATAAATAGAAAAATGTGTGTATATATATATAAATAAATAAATACATATATATTTGGCGCGTGGAAATTTTTTATCTTTTCTTGTGACGATTGCAAACAAAATATTTTGCCAACATTTCGCTTTTTTTTATTTTTTTATTATTGTCATGCTCCCATTTAGATGCGCCTAAGGGCACGCCCCGTCGCCCCTTTGCCCGCACCGAACCCTGAAAATTGACTTTCAATTTGTTTTGCATTTTTGCGCCTGGTTAACTTTTTATGCCATTTTCATATTGTCTGTTTTTTTTCTGCTTTTATTTCTCATTGAGCTGAGCTGTTTTTCCTACTTCTTCTTCTGCTTTTATCTCTTTGAAGTAGTAACAATTGTTGTTGGGCGGAAGATGCCTTCAAATAGGGTCATTGCAACTGCTTTCTGTCCTTATTCGTAAATTGAATTTTGAGGCAAGAAATGGGCAAAAGGCGAAGGGGAAACTATTTTCAAAAGAGCTGCCAAGTTGGCTAACTAATTGCCTTTGTCTGTGTGTGTGAGTGTCTTCAAAAAAATGGGCGTGGCTATGTAGTAAATGCAATTAGCGCAATCGAAGCCAAATTGAAGTTGCCTCTATATACTTGTGGCATCTATATATATCTATATCTATATCTATATCTATATCTATATCTACAGATTGCTACTCTGACAACGGTCAACAACATTTTGAACACTTTGGACAGTCGCATTTCCCAAATGCCCCAAGCTCAGTAAAACTTTTGCGCCTGTTGACACGCGACCAAAGCCATAAAGTTCGTGCAGCGTCAGGCTTTTGATTTATATATATCCAATTGAGGACCAAACTTTATCTTTGTGTTCGCACAAAACTTTGACGCCCACTGAAACTCTTTTGGCTACTGTCAGCAATGCGACAGTTGATGCGGCAGCACTGCAAAAAATCTCTACATACATACTGAAAACAACAAAAGTCATTCGTTTTTGTAATTTTTTAAAAAGTTCGCTTGCCCATCCATGAAGATAGTATAATAATAATAAACAATTTGGTTTGCTCTTCCAAAAGCATATTTTTAAAATGCGCACATTTTAGAGACAGAAAATGTAAATTGAATTATAATATTTATATTGAAAAATATATATATTTTCGTAATATTTTACTCACCCAGCAGATGACTGCGAAAGTGGATGACATCGCGCAGTGGCACCTCCTCGTTCCGGTAGAGTATCTGAAATATGCGTGAGGCGCCACTGCCATTTATAATGGATGCGGATGTACAACTGCCGCTGCCCAGCGTTACATGCACATCATCCGGCGAGCCCAGCTCTCGTTCCCGTTCCCGTTCACGTTCACGTTCACGTTCGCTATCGCTGGCCGTGTCGATTCCGGCACCAATTCCGACTCCGATTCCGACTCCGACTCCGATGCCGTGTCCGTTGCCAATCGGTTTGCCATTGGCCTCGGGTATGCTGGTCTCCACCTGGACGGGCAGGCGGGGCGACACACGCAGTCCGCAGCGCACCTGGTAGAGTCTGCCCAAGGGGGAGACAAAAAAGATGGTGGCAAATTAATCATCCATTCATAAATAACGCATACGCAGCGTGATGCGCATAATAAATATTATGTGTTGATTGGAAAAGTTCATGAAAAGTTTCATTTGAAAAACGTTGTGTTTCATGAAATGTTTGTACAAAGTATTTAAAATCTATTTTATTGCTATGATAAATTTCCCAATTTGCTTGGCAATTGCGCTTGCCAAAAATATTGAAATATATTTGCAAAGATCAAATGTGATTTTCTTTTTTTCCCACACAAAAAACAATTGTTTTCATTTTCAGTGTTTTTTTTTGTTGCTTTTTATTTCGTACTTTTTGTCTTGGTCTCTGTAGGATTGTGTTGTTTATATTTGTGCACAATTTTCATGCGAGTTTCTTTTGTTGCTTTTTTGTTGTTGTTGTTGTTTCATGTATTTTTAACACACGAGCTGTCCGGCAACCACTGCAGCCCCCACTCCGCCCCTCTGCTAGGCCTCTTTGCGTATTGCGTCGACTGTCGAAATAAAAAAAAAAAACGACTGTTTGAAATTGAAATCCAATAAACGCTTGGCTGACAATTAGTGAGTTCTACGGTTACTGTATGAAATGCCACGCCCCCTCGCTTGATTGCCCCCTGCACACACACATACACAGAGTCTGTGTGTGTGTCTGTGTTGCTTTATTGCATTTCGTTTCCGTTTGTTTGCCCAACACTTGCACGGCTCGCACAATGCCTTTAAATATTTCAACAAAAGCTAACAAATTTTCCGTACAGGTGTGGAATAAATTTCATATGGCGTTGGCGTATTGAGCAAGTGCCAGGCACTTGAAAGTTCACTCAAGTGAAATGGTTAATAGATATCAAAGTTTTGACCCAGTTTCTCGGTATTTAACATTTTTGCCAACATGTGTGAAACATGTGTAATAAGCATATTGCAAAAGCATTTGCATTTGTATTAGCTATTTTAAAACGTTTACAACGAAACGTGTTGCATGCTACACATGTTGCATGAGTTTATGATCAATTGCCATGAACAACCCGAGGCACACAATATGAGCAGAGATAAAAACAAAAGTTAATTGACTGCTTTGAAGTCGCTTATTAAATTTGAGGTATATAAACCATAGAAAGCTTTTTATTGCCATCCGTTTATATTAAGGTTTGATATTTATAAACATAATTTTCTTGAATTGAGTTGCTTAACTTACCCGCGCTGAAAGAGATCCACATTAAAGAATTTGTGCAGCTCAACGGAAAACTCAATGGTTGCCTGTAGGTCGCCCATGGCAACTGTCGCAGTTTCGCCTGCTCTGCTCCTGCTTCCTGGCTCCTGGCTCCTGGACAACGGCTGCTCAAGCTGTCATTCAGAGTCACTTGGCTGTTGCGGGGCTGTGCGGCTGCAAGAGAGAGAGAGAGAGAGAGAGGATGATGGAGACAGCTATGAGAATGAGAGAGTGGCTCGGTGGGTTGGTAAGTAGCAAATGTTTAAATATGTGGCGCACAAAGTTGGCACTGGACTTGTGGGCCACTTGAGAGCCAAGTTCGATTAGTTTTGAGCACAAACCGCGCTCTCAATATTTATTGCACACTATTGGCAGCTTTGGGGCCAATTGATTGCTTCGTAATTGTGCAGAAACTGTGCCAAGTGGGACTTGGTCGGAAGGGTTTGCTGCAATGGGGACAGTTGTGGGATTTTTGGGGGTGGTTAGCTAACTGCAAGTCAGCAAGCGACTGAGGTTAGCAGGTCAGCCGCGAATGAGGCCAACAGCGAGGGTAGACAATGACAACAGCAGAAAAAGAAGAAAAAAGAAAAAACTGTCCACCTCGATGGATACAACTTTTAATCGCCCCCAAACAACAAAAGCATCTTTCCCTGTTGTTGTTCTTGTTCTTGTTGTTGTTCTTGTTAATGTTGTTGTTTTGCTTGTTGTTGCCAGTCAAGCGTTAAACCCACGCAGCGACGCCCACAATAACATTAATGTGCTGCAGTTAATGCCACAGTCAGCTCTTGTTCTTCTTCTACCCCTCCACTCTGCTTGCCCCGTAGCAGCAGTGGGTCACAGGCTGCCCTCGCTCGTTGACACAATGGTAACGGCAAAAGTAAAAGACGTTGATGAAAGAGGCGCCGTGTCTCACTCTCTGCCACTCTCCCTCTCTATCTACCTCTCTCCAGCTGTGGTTGGGTTTGTGCCAGCTCCATTGTCAATGTGGGTTAACCAGACTGCGCCATTTTCAAAACAAGCAAAAGAGTGCTCTAGTCGAGAGTGCTCGACTAGGCGTTGCCGTGTAAGCAGCTATGATTGAGAATAAGTTGAGTTAATCGCGATTTTTGCACTTCAATTTCGTGTTGAAATCAGGTTTTCAACTTAAAATGTGGTGTTATTTTAGAGATCAAACGGATCACTATTGATGAAGTTATGGCTCTGTTCAATTTTGACCCATCTCCATCACTTTTGACAAAGTAATCGCATTGGAAAGTTTAGACCTGTCTTTGGGGTATAATTATAACATGAAAATTAAGTCGGAATCACGTTGCCAACTTTAAATGTAATAATATTCTAGAGGCCAAAGCATGGTGAAGAAGCCCTGGGCTAAGGCGCATTGCTTTTGAAAATCAATTGAGTTTTAAGAAAATTGTAGCATTAAAAAGTTAAAACCCTTCCCTGCATGCACTTTTCTAGGGTAGAACTTAACATGACTTCGGATGTGTCTTCCTCAGCATGTTACATGCATTAACACAGCCTCGTGATGAGCTTCAAACCCCTTCTAATGGTTACAGGGTATAATGAAGTACATTAAAAACAGAGTAAGAAGAAGGAGAAGCAACTGTGGCAGTGGCACCTGCCTGAGTGAAAGTGATGACAGCATTTGTTAGCAGATCCTTAGACACAATTGCACCCCTAGTTGCCACATGTTTTTGGTTTGGGCTGCCATTAAGTGAGAGCCGCCTTCATCTTTGTACCCCTTTTCACATACAAATGAGTACTGCGTACATATTTGTTCAGCATGAATTTGAAATTTTGATGTGACGAATGTGAAATTTTGTGGAATTTCGCAGTGTTGCCATATTAAAAGCAAATTTGTTGCAAGTTAAAAGTTGTGCAAATCGTTGAAACTTGCCTTGCACTTGCGAAAATGACGCTTTTAACTCTTGCAACGAGCACAAAGCAAACATTACCCATACGCAGTGTTGTCTGCTGTCGGATGTGAAATGTGCATAAAGTTTGTAACTGGGTCAACTAAAGTTACCAGATTGAAATGAGTATAAAAAATAAAAAATAAAATAGAAGAAAGGAAAACAGGGAAAAGCATAACAAAGGCCAAGCCGAAATAAACTTTTTAAAAGCATATCCTGCTTTTTGTAATGGGCAGCGCCAGTTTTCGAGTTGAGTGGGGCCCTTTTTTTCTTTTCTTTTCTTTTTTTTTTTGGGGCAACAATTGAATACTTTTTTGAGGCTTATTATGGTGGATTTTGTGGGGTAAATAAGTAGGTAATCCCTCGAAAGCCTATAATGTTGATAGTTTCAAGTGATTTACGCAAACTTTTTAATTGCTCATTGAGTTTAAAGCTTAGAAAGCAGATAAAAATTGTCATCTTTTTTGGGGGTTGCTATATTTGAAGAGTGATTGAAGAAAACTCTTTATTTGTAATGAAATTTGATTGAGATCGGTTATTTGGATAACAACTTCAATGGGATTTTCATTGACTACATAAATCTTAGCTACCTTTTAAAATCGTTAAACTACCTTCATTTTTATCTTCAATCATATTAAAGGACTCTAAAGCATTTTGGCTATCCGATTACCTAAAAACTCGCTAATTGCAAGTATTTTAATGGTTTCTGCAGCCCAAACACTTAGTGCAGAAAAAGGCAACTTGTGTCAACGAAAGGAAACAAAACAAAACACTTGCCACAACAGAGGCAACAGATACAAGAACAACAACAACAACAACTGAAATCAAATGGGACACAAAAGCGTCAGCACTCGATGGCAATGAACAATGATAATGATTAAGATAAGGATAATGGCTAACGGTAATGATGTTGCTAATCATGACAAAGACATTGACTTCAATAAGGATAAGATAAAAATGAACCTCTCCAAAGGTTTCTCAAAAAGTCCTGTGCCGTCCTGTCCTGTCCTGTCGATGACAACGAACCCATAAACGGCAGAAATCAAACCGTTCGTGCTTATCATCATAATGATAATGATGCCTAAAATGGCCATGGCCCATCATCATCATTATCATCATCTTCAGGATGCTACCCACCCATTCAGTCACTGTCTCGACTTTCATTCCAAGCTCTCCTTCTCCAGCCCCGTTTCCTCAATCGTTTCACGTTTCGTACACCCCAAATTATCGCCCTTTTCTTTCTTCATTCTTCGTTGTTCTTTTGTTTTTGTTTTTGTTTTCGTTTTTTATTTTTATTTTTGCCGTCTGGCAGCCGTTTTGAGTGAGAGTCTTACGTGGGTGATTTGGGCGCTGAGATATTTGTCTACGTATGTCCCCCGTCAATGGCAGAGGCTCTCGCATGTCTGCCCCTAGATGCCGATAACTTGTGTCCTGCTCCGCTGCCCTGTTTTTTGGTGTGGCACGTTTATTTGCTTTATTTCTCGGCCATGTTGTATTTTTGATAAATAGTGTCGTGAAGCAACCTTAATGCCTACACTTGCAGAAAATTTGCTGAAAATGTCCTTGAATGAAGCAATTTAGGTATGCTTTTCACTTGATTTGTGTATAAAAAGTGTTTTTCTCTTTTTCCGAGTGCACCTCAAACACACACACCCACACACACACACACATATAGCGATCTGTAGGGACAATGTGTGAATGTGTTAATGTCTAAGGTCATCGTCATCATCGTCCTTGCTGATGATGGGCTCTTGATAAATGGAAAAAGCTTTTATGTTCATATTTTCAATTGAATTCGGTGTGTCGGCTCAACTGTCCTAACAGGATTCAGCAGCAGGCTTTTCCATTTCAGCTGACCAAAAAGCATGGGGCTATAAATTCAATTAAATTTCCACTTTTTACATTTTTATTGTGAATTTTAATTAAAATTTTGGCCATAGCTGGTGCATCAAAATCTAATCAATTTGATGGAAAATTGTTTGGATTGCACGAAGATCGGCCACATGAGAGGTAGACCTATCAATAAAAGAGTCAAATTGTTGCCTATGAGGTAGTATTCAATTTCACAGGCTGCTGATTTGGGCCACGTTAAGTTCCTAGAATTTCGTTAGATTCGTGGTTGTCTTTGTCAAGGCAACATTCAAATGACTTTTATTTTTATTGTGTCTTTTGATGTAATTTGAAACACGTTTGTTAACATTTGCTTATTTTTTTTTTTTTTCTTTTTTTTCTTTTGAAAAGAAGCCCTCTTTTTTCGATTGCCCCGCAGCGTTTGTTATGACAACGGTCGCAAGCCAGACAAAACAGGAAATTGACAATTTGTGTATGGAAAGCGGCGACAAACATTTAAAACGGGGCACATCTCCAATAAGCAGATATGGCTTTTATGGCTGTAGCCAAAACGATCAAACTGGATTCATTTTAAATAATTTAAAAAGCCAAAAAGTTTTGTGCATTTTTCTGTTTCCCAGGCATGTCATAAAGAATGCCCTCAAGTGCTCGCCCGTCCGTGAGCATGAAAATAATTTCCTCTTTTAGCCACTTCAACAACCCCGATACTCCCCCAACCACGCCCCACAAAACAGCACAATGAAAATTGCCAACAGTTGCAGCTGTCGGCGGCGGCGGCGGCGGCAAAAAAGGGTTGCTGGCGTCTTGGCCAAGTGCATCGCGTGCTTCTAGCCATGCCAAAGGGCGCAAAGCTCACGTGCCAGCTAGCCAAAGAGGCCAAAGCCAGCAAGAACAACAAAACAGCAATCAACTCAAGTGTGGCGGCAGAAAAAACAACAAAACAGCTGAAGGAAACAAGAGAGCTGAATGCAATTTGGTACGAGAACGTATCAGAGCAGAATTGCAGACGTGGATTGGGCCAAAAAACTTTTGACGGCTGTGTCGCATTACATGGTGAGAAAATGTTTACTCTGGTCACGTGGTCAGGAGCGGCTGGCAGTAGAACTGGAGCTGGAGGGCTGGAAGCGCAGTTTACGAGCTTAATACGAGACGGAAATAGTTACTTATTTATGAAATGAATGCCCAAGTATATATTACACAGCAAACGGAGCTCTTTTAGGCCAGTCGTAGACTAAATAAAAGTTGCTCGATACTTGTAGTCTGGTCTCACAAGTACCGACATATTCAATTTGTGTCTGCTTAAGCTAAAAGCAAAAAATCGTGGCTTGGTGAATTTCAAATCAACAAGAGATCTGATAGAAAATTTATAAGATTTAGAAATTGGTTGAGTTGTTTGTCCTTCAAGAAGCGTATAGAAAATATGAAGAGAATGATCCAATTAACAACTCTTCTAAATAATCTCCACCTTCTTTTTGAAGAGTTCTTTAATGCAACTAATTTATTTTATTAATAACAATGGGAGTAATCCACAACTGACCTATCATTATCATAGTATTATTATTATTTTTACTACTACTTTTATTATTAACTCATCAACTCAGTCCATTCCTGCCTATTCTACTTTATACAGCCCTATCGTGTGCAGGACTGCAATGATTATTCCCTGAACACATTTCGCTCATATCTTTAGCGTTGTGCTTGCAATTGAATCATGGTAAGTAATAAAATACGTTTAAAACGACCTTACCCAAGGGGAAGCTCTGCGCAAGCAGCTTTATCCATTAAATGTGTAAAAATTGCGACATGGCATGGATTTAATTATACTTAGACATCGCAGAGCTTAAAGGGTTGCAGCTACTTACTCAGTGACACTGCAGTCAGCCAGTCAGCAGCTACTCTTTAAGCCCATCAGGACTCGAGTGTAACAATGCAAGACATCTTGGCATTGTGCGGGGCATGCACCTGAGCTGACGCTGAAGCTGAAGTTGATGTGAGGTGGGTGCAACTTGAATTGGCAGCAGACCGAAAGAGCGGAACGGGACACAAAATTGAATTGCGACTTTTTATGCTAGCTGACATCTACATGTTAGAGTAACAGGCGGAAGCAGGGATGGGAGATGCGGCATGGGGCATGGGGCACGAGGGAAAGGCTCATAATGGCAACGGGATATTTCATTACATTTGTGCATGCATGACTGCTGAGTGCTGCTGCCTGCCTGCCTGCATGCCTCGTTAGGTAAGGGAAGGGGGGTGGTTTGGAACACGCCCATAAGCACACACACACACACACACACACATACACATACATATACTTATGCAAAAAAAAAGGCAACATTGTTGAAATGTGCAAATATTGGCTCAAGTGGCGGCAATAAAAGAGTCCTGACTACTGCTCCTGCTCCCGTGTCTGACTGTGTGTCTGTGTGTGTGTCTGTGTGTGTCTATGCGCGTCTGTGTGTGTGTCTGTGTGTGTGTCTGTGTGTGTACGTTTGCTCGTGTTCTTGTTTCTATTATGTGATGCCCTCCAGTCTAATTGAGCTACACTTGGAGAAAGGCATGCCCTATATCACTTGTAATTTTGAATACATTTTTCTGAATTTTTAGAAATTATTTTTGAATTTGGGAAAAACATCCTGAAAATGGGATAATTGCGGTTTTTAGAGGCTATAAGATCTAGAGACTTCCAATATGGAATATTAAGCTACTGAAAAAATTGCATTAAGATCGGAAACTTTTTACTTAACAGCTGTTTTTAGGGTATCTTCTAGTCGAGTTCTCTCTACTCTTGCGCATGCCAACATATTTTTTTTGTATCCAAGTGTACCTCGGAGGACTCTTCAGTTTCAATAGCAAGGACAGTTGGCTTTTGAGGTGCTCACAATTTAACATTAAATTAATCATGAATGCCGCCGCAGCAAATTTCCATTGATTGACAGTTGAATTCGGGGACTCGAACTTGGGTAACCTTTTTGACTGTCACGCCCACAACGCCCATTTTCGGGGTACGCCTCCCTTTTGCATAATTGCATGCTGGCAAATATGTCGATGCCATATCTCACTGGACTGTCATGGATTTTGAATGGATGCGCATAAAAATACAACATAATATATACCCTGCTTAACCCATGTCTGCGGCCCCAAACATGTTTTGCTGCGTTGCGCTTGAGGGGGTGGTTGTGGGTTGTGGGTTGGTGTGTTTGTTGGGTTGTTCTTGTGGTTTCGTGTGGCAGTTAACTTTGCCGTGACATGTGGCAAGCATAAAAGAACCGTAGAACGTCATGTTTGCTGTGGGCCGAACATGACGTCGAGTGGACAACGAAACTCAACGATGATGATGATGATGACGATGACGATGACGACGACGACGACGACAACGCCGACGATGGCGGCTATGACAGCTACATGTGACTCACGCGGTTGGCTGTGGCAGCATAGCCAGCAGGAGCAGGAGCAGGAGCAATGGCAGGCGGACAGATGGACAGGCAGTGTGGGAGGTGCCTGTGTCAACACATTGGTAAGCTACACTATGCAACATGGATTCGAGCTGTGACTTCGTTTTGAGTTGGGCAAGGTTAGGCTGGGGTGTGGCTCCTTTGCCTTGCGTCTTGACTGCTAAACGAAGGGCTTTCACTTTTCCTTTTGACTGATAAGCTTAAATTTCCCTTTAGGCTGTTTGAGAGCTGACAGCAGACAAACGAGATAACAGCTATTAGACAGCTATTAAAAGGCTTTCAAAATATGAAATATAAGAGTGAACTAAATTGTGGGTTTCCAAGCGAATATAATAATATATATAATATAATAATATTTTTTTGATTCCGGTTGGGGTTCGTAAAACTTAAGGGTTTCTGTAAGCTTCATAAACTGATTTCAAATTATTTCCGATCAGTTCCTGCATCAAGCTCTATAACAAAAGATTTCTATGGTTAAAATAGTGTTTCCGGTTCCTGTTCTTGGTTTGCCTATTTCAATTAGTTTATAATATAAATAATTGTCTCAAAGCAAGCCACGTTTCATGCAACATTAAACATTAAAATCTTCCATTTTGCTGTTTAGTGTTTTCATTGTTTGGGGTGGGCTTAACAGCTTGACCGGCAACAAATTTTGCTAATGACGGTCAGTTTGACAGTTCGGTTGACCTTTAAGTAATATGCTCAACTGTTTCACCATTAAATTTGCCAACTTTTAATTAAAAGTTTACGATTCGTTTTTTAATCTGAGAAACGCACTTCACCAACACATTTCACATAACGTCACATTTTTCATTAATTTTTGTGCATTTACATTTTCACTCAGCATGTTCGCATTTACAATTTGGTTTTCTTTTCTTTTCATTTATTTTATTTTATTTTTTTTTTTGAATTGCGTCCCTACGTATTTTATTTGCGACGATGCTTTTGCTTTGGCAATGAAAAGTGTGGAAAATGTATTTTTAAAATGTCACAAAAGCAACAGCAACAGCAACAGCAACAGCAAGAGCAACAAACACTGCCCGGATTATCTGTTTCTGCTTTCTTCTCGGTCCACTCATTTTGAGCTTGCTGCGTACTTTAAATTTAATATTCTATTAAATTTTCGGTGTATATTTGGTATGCGTCGATTTAAAAATAATTGTAGCTGCCGCACACATTTTTAATGATTTATTTGTGTGCTGTTGATAAATGTAATTTAATGTTGTATTTAAATTTGGCACGCGTAGCTGCTGCTGCTGTTGCTGCTGTTGCTGCTGATGTTTTTTTTATTGTGAGCGGGCTACTCGAGTACTCGACTGAATTAATTAGGCTGTGTTGAGGAGGATACTTTAAGCGCGGGCGTATCACACACTCACACACACACACACACACACACACACACACACACACACATACACACACACACTAACCTTACACACTCAGACTAACACACGTCCTCTCGCAACGATTGACTCGCTGCTGCAGAAGTATTTTGCCCTAATTTTACTTTCTGCGATGTTATCAGGACACGCCACACAGACACAGAAACAGACACACACACAGACACAGAGACACAGGCGACAAAATCCCACACAAAAGCGCACGAGCAACGAAGCGATTTCCTTTTCCTTTTCCATTTTTTGTTATTTTTTTTTTTGAAATATTCCCTTTGCTTCCCTCACCCAATCAGCGACCCAAAAAACCATGTCATAATTTACGCACTTTTTTCATTTATTTGGTCGTTGCTAAAATGCGAGCCATGGTTAACATTTTGTTTGCTGGCCGCGTCCTGTTTTGCGGTCGCCCTAATGAAATTCGAGTGCCAACCTCAACCGAATTTTGTGGCCAGTGTCCAAAAAAGAAGAACCGAAAAACTCCGTTCACCGACTCGACTCGACTCGATTCGATTCGACTATTCTCAAAACGGCTGCCTTTTGGGAGCGCGCGTCCGTGCCGGGAAAATGTCTACAATGAACTGATGACAGCGTCGCTGCTCGGCTAATGGCCAACGGACTAACGGGCTGCCTGCCTTGCGCCGGACACGGAGCACGTCGAGCACGGAGCACGCAACACGCAGCACGGAATGCGTTGTCGTCTTCATCGTCGTCGTTGTCGTCGTCGTTGGTGAGTTCATTCGGGTGCCGTGCGTTGCTGTCTCTATCGATGGCTGTGGCTATGTTTTGGTTAGCTCGCTGCCTCTTACAAATTGTTATGGCCAAAGAGATCCAAGTGTAGCAGAGAGAGAGAGAGAGAAGGTTGAGGGTTCTCTTTGGAATTGCACAGTGGGCTGTAGACTAACTATTTTGCACACTTTTTCTCTTTACATAGTTATGAGTTAGTTTAGTAAAACTTGAAATGTTATCTTTTTCCAAGAGATTACAAGAGTATGAAATATTCTCAATAAATCAGTCGCACGAGGCTTGTTTCTTAAAATCGCAGCAATTGTTCAAAGGATATGACTATATCGAATCATCTAGAATCTATATACTTCAAGGAGTCGGAAATCTCTCCTTTAATGCATTGCATTGCTGTCAGTACTTAAAAATATCTGTGGATAAAATATCTTAAACATTACCTTCTTCAATCAAATGCCATTCAAAATTCAGAGTAGGTCTGCTTATAAAATTTAGTTGTCCTTCTTAGGATAATTCATATTTCCTTCTCCTCTACTTAAATAACTTTTACCTGTCTAAATTTTGGAAGCGTTTAACTTTCGACATCTGCCATTTAATTTCTCTTAGCTTTACTCTTTGGCCAGCGCATGCGTTGCTCTCTCTTCTCTCTTCTCTCTCTCTCCCTCGCTCTCTCTCTTTCTGGCTGCCTTGTTGTCTCTGGCTTTTTTGAGCGCATAAACAACAAACAGTCTGAACACTTTTTTTAAAGGCACGTTTTGCCATTTATCTGTCTGTTTGTCCCAAAGGGGGTGGGTTCGTGGGACTAGCCCTTGCCGGCGGCGGCAACGGCGGCAACGGGCAGGTGGGCAGCAGCTCAACAGCTGGACAAATGGAGAGATAAACAGACCGTTGCACGACTGCCTGCTCTCTCTCTATCCCTCTCTCTCTCCCTCGCTCTCTCTCTCTCCTCTCTTTTAATCATTCTCTCTGCCTACCTCTGCTTCCGTGTGCAGCTTGACATATATTAAAACTTGGCGGATTGTCAAGTTAGCCTCAGTTGATTATTACTTTTAGCGGCATTGGTTTATTTATTTTCTGTTAGTTTCGCTGACAAACGACAGGTGGCTGCAATCTTAGCAGGATTAAGAAAAGGCGATGAAGCGAGTGGCAGGCAGTGCATGAGAGTCTCCACTTGCCAGAGAGTGCCCAAAAAGAGAGTGCCACCGCACTTGTAGGGGGAGAGGAGAGGAGGGAGTGGCCAGCTTAAAAGTTTGTCGACAGGCACTTTCAATTTTATTTGCGCGCATTATGGCCCAATATGATTATTGAGCGCATTGCTCATACGCATCGTTACCTCATCTTTGCAGTCAAGTAAATAAACCATCTGAAAATGGCCAACGATTTAAGTTTATAACGTTTTTTGCGTTTGAATTTTGTAATGATTTATTTTATTTTTACATGAGTAAATACAAATGCCTACGATTTATAATTTAATTTGTTTCCCTAAGCTAAGCATTCAACATGAACTTAATCAGATTTTGTTGTTTAATTTTTTTCTTCTCGCAATTTTGGATTCGTATGAAACTTGAATTTAAAAAAAAACACAAACATACGAAACACAGCAAGGCAAAATGTAATTGCCATTTTCACACACATACTTTTATCACCTTAGTCAACTAAACACATTAAAAACTAAATTTATTTCATGCAATGCTAAACTACTATTTTTTCTTTGTGTGTGTGCCGCAATGTCGCATATGCCTGATATATATCCTATATCTCGAATATATCTACATATTTAATGGGGGGGCGGGTTTAACTTCTTCAGACGGGCTGCACCTCGCAGACAAAGTATGTCTCGAAGCTGCAGGGTGAATCGTTCCATTTGAGTCCTTTGCCATCGCGATTCCACAGCTCCAGACAGTTCTCCTCCTCACCGTTCTCGTAGCGGAAATTGTTGGGCTCGCCAGCATTCCAGTTGGTGAACGTGATTGGTCGTCCGGTGGCCATCCAAAAGTAATTTCCCTCATCGGCCAAATCTGTGCCCGAAATCCAGAAATGCTCGTGGCCCAGGCCTGTTAATGTATGAATGAATGATAATCAGTGGGTGTGAGGGTTATAAATGCATATTTCAAACAGCTTAGGGCATTGTGGGCGTGGCAAGGCAGTCCAACTGCCCTCTTGCATTCATCGCACATTCACTTTTTGTTGCGGCTGCCGCTGCGGCTGCGGCTGCTGCTGTGGGAAAGTGCATCGAAATTGAATGCTTGGCCGCAATTCAAGTCGACCGTTGGCCAACAAAAGCCGTTGCCAACTAGTCCCCCCCTTTGTCTTTTGTTAGTTTTGGGTTACCAACAACTTCCGCGTATTATGCACGACTCGCAAGTCAAAGCTGCCCCCCAACTCGGGGCAACTGCTTATCGAGTTCAATCGTACATTCACTTACCAAAGTCGCGTATGTGTTTCTCCAGTCTATCGTTCTCTTCCTGTGATGAAATGCTAGCCAAGTGCATACCATGGTAGCGACAATATTGCGTGGCTTTGAACCAATTCGCCTGTAAAGTTGAAGAACAAATACAAAAAATATATGAGTAAAGTGGCAAGTTTTCAAAGCTAAAAAGTAAACTTTAAATAGCTATGCAACGAAGTACAAGTGCTCTTCGTAATTTGTTTATTTGATTTAATAGATATATAGTATATAGATATGTACTACAAAGTAATTAGGGTAATAGTGAAGGTTCTATAAATAATTTACATGTTTATAATGCAGATAAAAATATTAAAAATCTTTTGATTATTATTTAAAATGTATAAGCAGCTATGTGACAAATTTTTATTACAGAGGTGTTTTTCTCTAAGCAGTTGAAAAATAAAGAAAACTTTACTTTAGAGAATCATAATTATGCAATTTAAATTCTTCAACCCACATCAATGGTTCAAAAATATCTAACTAACAAGTTCCATTTGAGTTTCTTTATATCTGTGTAAGTCAAACCACACAAAGCCAAGCCGCAGTAAGATTTTATGGAGCATCTAAGTTCATAAAAGTTTTTGGCCAAGCACAAAAGAATTTGGCTATATCTTGGCATGTTTGCATGAAATGCACGACAGGTAAACATGAACCGTAAGCATGTCGCTTGCCATTAAGGCTGGCCCCCAGACCTTGGGATGGGGAATGGAGAATGGAGAGCGGTACTTTTCTTACATCATGTATGGCAAACTAATTGACTTCTTGGCGTCAGTGGTGCGTCCTTTTACAGCCCAATAAACACTTTCAGTGAGCGTGCCACAAACACAATCAAAACAACAATAGCAATAAGAAAAGCAGCAGGAGCTCGCATTAAACACTTTCTCCACGTCATTGGGATGCCGCAGACAGGATGCCCGGATAGCCAGCCAGCTAGCATGGATGCTATCGGCAGGATGCTGCGTCAGTTTGCGCTTTATTCGCGCACAATTACGGCTAATACAATTAAAGCAAAGTTAATGACGATGCCGATGCTGTTGAGTTGGGCGGCAGACCGCAGAGCCAAAAGCATGACGAGAGCTCCACGAACAGACAAAGTATGTGGAACAGGAGTCGGAGAAAAGGTAGCATCGGCTGAGAGGAGTTGCGCCATATGTTACACTAAAAAAAAATCTAGTTTCTTTTGAATATATAATTGTTTATAAATTTGCAATTAATTTCTTGAAAGTAGCAAATCAAATTCCAATTTTTATTTCTTTTCTGTTTTCGCTGCAAAGTCTCTGCGTTTCTTTCTCTAAGTGTAATTGCGTAATCGATTTAGATGCGCATCACCTGCTAGTTGAAAAGCACTCACATGGCAGCGAGGACTGCCAGAAATTGTGGTAAAGATACAAAAAATATTTCTACAGCCACATGATAGAGAATCAACAGGCAGACAACGGGCTTGTAGCCCGGGGAAATTCAATGGTTTGGCTAATTACATACAGGTTGATGCATGGGCTTAGCTGGTGTTAACCAGAAGCCATTAGTGCTAATTGAATATCAAATTACACTTATTGATAAACCGATAAATAGACCAAATTTTGAAAAGTGTTGACAAACTAAATTCAGCAAATGGTCGGCTGCGATTGGCATCATTAAAAGGTTTTTGGCCAACTTCAGGCATTCGCTAATTGGCAATCATCAAAATGAGAAATTCCAATTGCGTCGCTAAGGACACTGGCACACTCAACTATGCCACCAACCAAGCAACACCCACTCTCAACTGCTGAATAATTCAAAATAAAATATAAAATGCTGTCGACTTTTATTGACATTTCTCACAGATTTTTTACAGCCAGCTAGGTAAAAGATTGAGAGGGAGACGGGGAATAGAGAGAGAGAGAGGGGGCAGGGTAGGGCACACATATGAATGTGGCAGCTGTGACATGCCGTTTAAGATCTGGATCAGTAATGCACTCGAACTGTGGATTGTCGAGTTGAGTCGAGTGCAACATCGTGACATGTATGCCACATGTGGGCAGCAACAACAGAAGTAGCAGCAGCAGCAGCAGTCGATGTAAGGATTGGCGCAGAATGAGATTGAGTTGGGAGAGTTCGATGGATATTACACAATTATTATGTATTACGTAAGAGAAAGAGCGAGAGTGTGTGTAAATATAAAATGGTTTAACTTCAGGCTTTAAAATGAATTAAAGATGAGGAAAACTAGGCAGAAAAATGTTCAAGAAATGTTTAAGAAATTATGCGCATACAAATTATAGAAATGGGAAGCAAAATGTGTGATTTTTACAGTCTGGACTTAATATAAATATATATATACACTTTGACAAAATATTGTAGTAATTTAAATTCGTTCAAATTATTTTTTTATTCACTTAATTGAAATCCAGTTTGTAGTGTCAATATATATTTGGACAGAGTAGGCTAAAAGCAGCTACTGATTAACGACCAACAGCTCAATATTCTTGTTTCCACAAATGTCATGCAAATAGAATTTATAGCAACTCAATTAGGGGGGGACAACATAATATTTGACAATTTTGTAAGTGTTATTAACACAACGAATACTACTATGAACATAATATATACATATATATGTATATATATGAATCGAATGAGTTGCTCAATCGTTAGCCTCTCCTCGCATAATCAACAGCAATTAGTGTCGCATTAAAAACAACATCGACAGAGTCCACATCAATTTGGCTGACTGGCCAAGTAAACTGCCTGCCCGCCTGCCTGCCAGTCTACTGCCTACTGTATGATTTTTCTCTGGTTATTCGTGCCGCTGGCAATTTAAGTTAAGAGGGTAATTTTCAGATACCCTTGAAGAGACAATTATATATTTAGTCGATGAACTCGTAACGCATAAGATATTTACCAGCTGAATTGATATAGCCAGGTGTCTTCAGCTTTGAAGCTATCTTGATAATGCTAAGTATATCTTCGATTTTTTGCTGCAGGCAGTATATGAAGTCAGCCGGATCGGTTCTCTATACCATATAGCTGCTTTAGATCTTTTGAAGATGTGTTCTTGTTTGGAACAAGATGAACAAGCTATCCAATTAAAACTCTCCTCATATTTGGTACAAAACTCATCCAGATTCAATTACGAATGATCAGTCGAGAACTGAGTTCTTGTGTAAAATCTCCTTTCTTTTTTTTAAGCTATCTTAATCAAACATTCTCAATAAGTATATTTTAATGAGCATTACATTTGTACATCAAATCACTTAGCAGCAATTCGGTCTGCCAGGGTATCTAGTATTCGTAGTACCCAAGATGGCAGTTCTTTCCAGGTCGTTTTTATTTTGAATTTGGCCAACCGCATTTGCATTTTGCCACACGACTGCAACGCGATTGTTTACAGTCAAGATTTCGCAATGCGTAAAACACGAAACACAAACTTTAAGTTGATGCTTATTTATTCATGGATTCTTGCAGTGATTCTTAATTTTGCGGAGGAGGAGAATTTGGGGAGGGTCTTAAATAAATAAATAAAATGGCAAATTTCTAAAGAAGTGACCAAAAGTTATGAATTTCTATTATACAAAAAGACAGATGTTCAAAAATGTATTCATGAACTGAAATGTCAACGTTCGACTTGGATGGCTACAGAGATGGCTACAGAGTTGTTTTTACCGTTATGTTCTCTTTTTTGGTTAACATGTTTTTTTTTTTTTGTTTTTTGGTTTTTTTGATATCATCGCAAATTGTTTACTAATCAGTTGTGGCTGCCGCTCTTTAATTAATGTTCTAATAATGAATTCAATTCACAATATCAAGCTGTCGGCATGCTCACAATAGAATTGTTTTATGTACCACATGTGTGTGTGTGTGCCACCGACTACCCCTGCCACTAGCCCAACCCTCTTGACTCAACACTGGCACTGTGTGTACATAAAACAATAAAACATGTAATTACTTTTTTCGTTAGCTTTGTTGTTTGTTGGGCATTATTTGGAATTGGGGGTTACAAATACCACATAAGTCAAGCATCGATTTAACGAGCAACGTTAAAACTTTTGAAGTTTATAATCGATGGGCACACTGATTACTGCAAACAGATTAAAGAGTTGCTGTCAATTTGCATGGCTAACTTGTTCAAAAGACATCAAAATACGTTTCCAACTAATTGAAATTTCGGGCTTAGCTCATTCTAATCACTTTCCATAGCTTACACTAAACTATTCGGCATTCAAATGAGTAATTAATCGCTTAGCAGTTAATTTGCTAATTGAAACATCAAGCTAACCGCATCACTTTTCACTTTCCACAGCTAATATTGAGTATGCTGCACTTAAGCGAGCAATTTATCGTTTAGTATTTCAATTCACTCGTTTTGCTTTATCTAAGCACCTGTTGCTGAAATTAATTGACAGCCCTTTGCAGTGATAAATCTTTTGCAGCACATGAGAAATAAGTTGCAGCTGAATTGGCTATAAATCTTTTCACCCTCTCGACATGTCAAAATTTTAATTTAAATTGTAACTTCAAATACATGAAATTAAAAACAAAACAACTTCCTCTACAAGCTCACTTATGTTGCTCCGTTTCGAATTCAATGAATATTTGTTTCACTCATTTACATCGATTAGTTTTCAGTGGCTGTCCGTTAAATTGTTTTTTATTAAATGAGCTTTTGGCGTGGTTTTAAAATTCAAGGAGAATGCTAAACACGGCATCGCAGAAATTTATAGATATTATTATGTGAATACAGCAAACCGTTGTAAAACATTTGCATACTCGTCTCTCAGCGAATCGCTTTGGCGCCGCATCGTAGTCGCTAGCGTTTTGGGCGCGTTTTTTGTGGGTTTTCTTCACTAATATGATTTTAATATGAATGAATAGCTGCATAAATTATGAAAAATCTCGACAAATAACAATGCCGCAACGTCACCATATTAACCAAATGTTCGATGCGTGTCCAAGCACGTTGCCCGCTGCCATTATTCAACTTTGCTACAATTTTGGCATTGATATCAATTCTGAGGCTAAAGATATTAAATAATTAATGATATCAAGAAGGTTGATGGTATCGCAGGTGTGTCTAACTTAAAAGAAATAGAGTTTATGAATCGAATTCTTTACATTTTGTTATTTGTTTATTATAATTTTAAATGTCGATACTTGGAATTTAGCAGGTTGTTGGACTTTGTTGCAGATGTTTGCAGTTTTTTGGTTAAATTGTTGCCAAAGTAGAAATCTTGCATTGCATTAAAAGTAATTGCATTGTCTATTGTCGGCCATTAATTTTTATTTATACTTATACTATATAACTAAAATTTTAAATTTTTATAGTTGCAATTTATTTAATAACTCCATAAGACGATTTTTATTGGTGGTGGTTGGTTTTTGAGAATTTTAACTATACATTATATGAAATCCGGCTTAGCATCTTGGTTAAGTTTGTGCTAAAGTACACATCTTGCATATTAACGCCATATTTATTATATTGTCTTAAATGTTGTCGGCATTTAAGTATCATATATGGTTGCATATGTGCAATCTGCCGTTCAATTTAATGGCAAGTAACCGAACCGGACTTGCAGAGGGACGGACTTGGAGGGGCGGACGAGACAATTGAACCGTTGAGCGGCTTAAATGTATTTTTTCTTCTTCTTTTTTTTATGGTTGGCAGAATGCCGCTTACCTTGAAGAAGATGCCGAGGTAGTAGCGCTTCTCGCCCAGCTTCAGCAGCGGCATCGTCCACTTATTCGGCGTGTACTGTGACTCGTCCACGCAGTTGGGGCAGTCTAAAAATAAAAAATAAAATCAAAAAATACATATCAATAATTATACTTATCTCCCGCAGAAAGGTAAACAACACAATAAAATACTTAAGTCCATTATTGCAGAAATTTAAACAGGGCAACAAAAATACCAAGGTCGATTTTTGAAATTTGCATATAAAAAAACAGCTAATAAAAAAACCGATCTTAAAATATACAGTTTGTATTTAAAAACTCGCATCCCGTTATGAAAGCTATACTTAAAAAATCCATAAAGTTTAATTTTCACAGAATTATAAAAACGCGTAAGTTGAATTTTGAACAACTGCTCTTTGCTGGATTCTCAGCTTATTATGTGCCTTAATTGATTAATTATCCATTGCGAATATCGACCATAAAAACCATATTTAAATTAAATAAATTGGTATTTGAATTGAATTATGAGTGTTCATCTCTATAGTCTGGGAATTCCAAATAAAGTGAATTGGATTGTCTACAAAACAAGTTCAACCAGTCGATGGACTAGAATTGTTGACAATAGTTTTATGATAAAACCATGGTGGGGGAATTTACAAATGATAAAAATAACCAAATCAAGGTCAATGCCTTTTATGCTAACTTGTTCAGACAATGGGTTCTGAGTGTGTGAAGGTTCCTTACAACATCTTAACAAACATACGTGTGTTGGCCAAGTTAACGGCGATTTCTATTGTTATATAAGTCACAACGAACAAACACAAAAGGCAATAAAAGCGACACCCAAACAAATATATGGCAAATATTTCACGAATGCTGTTAATTAATCATCCCAAATGGACGTCATTATGGCAGACCCAAGGTCTGCAGAAGGCGGCACTAATAGTAATTATGAATGTTGCTTTTTTTAAGGTTAGCATTGTTTCTTATGACGGTTTTTTTTTTTTTTTTGGTTTATTGCGTCTTCAGTGCTGGCGTTGAAGCGAGCCATTCAAGTAGTATTTACATGAGTTAACACTGAAAAGCTGGTAAACATTTTGACTGCATCATAAAACGTGTAATTTATTAAGAAATAATGCGAAATGCCGCCATTTGTGTAATGAAATGAATGCCCTGAATTGGCCACACAAAATGTCAAGATTTACATAAAAGAGATATATATATATGCGAAAATACAATATACAAGAGAATCAGATCTTTCCTTCTAAATATAAAAATAAAAATTATAGATAGCTGAAGAGTTAGATAAATAGATGGACAGACAGATAAATAGATAAATAGATGGATAGATAGATAGATATATAAATAGATAGATATATATTCATATACATAGATATATAATTAGATATGTATATGTGGATAAAAAGATAGAATCGTTGCTATGTCAGATATATGACAAAGTGTTCATCTCAGAAATATGTACTGCCTGCAGCAAGAAGACCGATAAATGCGAAGTTTCAAAAAAATAGCAGCAAAGTTGACCGACTAGTTTGCATAGAAACAGATAGACCAGCTCAGCTGGTGATGCAAATTAAAAAAAAAATATATATATATATATATATATATATGTATATATATACTTTATGGGGCTGTGGATGTTACGGCATTTTTCACAGTTTTCTATGCAATGCACCATACGAATTAAGCACGCATTGTTAATTTCTTAACTTATCTATATATATATTGCCAGCCAGTCGACTGACAAATTAAATGTGCAAATTGATTAATTTGCAGCTAAGTTTATTCATTTAGCTATAGTTTCGGTCTGTTTATTAAACAAAAGTTTGCCACAAACAATAACTGCTATTTATTAATAAATAAAGTCAATTTGAATGAACGACTTCTTTTCGCTTTAATATTTATTACTTGTTTATAGTTCAGTTTTTTTTTTTTTCTGGCAGTCAATTAATCAGCAGCAAAGTAAACCAGTTTGAATTTAAGTTTTCAGCTTACAAAAGCGGGCGGGGCAGTCTCAAAGTCAATGTCAATGCTTGAAAATTTCTTGGGATAAGTGACTCCAATTAAAAGTTGAATTGTGCAAGGCTAGCAGCGATTTTTACGTGACCTTCTGTAGGAGTTGAGAGATATTTTTTGCCAAGAGGTGCTGACAGCTGACAGCGTTCATTATCATTTTCTTAACATTGAAATAAACTGGCAGCCAGCAACAAGTCGTTTAGAAACTCAACTCCGAAAGCATATTTGCAGACTTTATGCGACAAGTTTCCTGTGCAATAAAAAATAGTTCTGAATTTAAATTTTAGCCAGAACACGTATTCGTTTCTAACAAAAGAATCGTTTGAGATATAAATGTGAATGACGTTACTTTTTTTTTTTATTACTTCAACCAGTTTAAACGTCTTTTATGTTTGGCAACATTTATTTATTTGCTAATACTTTAACCTTTATTTTGACGTTCGTTTAGAATAATGTTTTGGTGCTAAGCATTTTATTCAAGTTTATTGGCTTTAGTTTTGTGTTTAGCGTGAAGAAAGTAATTCATTTAAATTTAAAAAAATTCCATTTGCTTCATAAAAGAAACCACATTTGATAGCCTGTTTGCAAGTCAACATTGATTATTACGCATACGCCATGTTGTTGAATTTGCTTGTGACTTTTGCTTAACCATGTTGTGTAGCTGATTTTATTGCACACCACTTGCCCTACTTGCTCATCCATAAACTTTAAATCTTCCACAGATTTTTTTTATTATTATTGATATTATATGAACAAATTGACCCCGGCCTTCAATTCTATTTTATTTGAAAATTTATGCGCTTCTTTTAAGTGATTTGTGTGCTTTTTGTTGTAGATCCAATTTGCTTATGTTACAAATCTATAAACAGACAAAAACCAGAAGAAAAAAGAGCAACAACATCTGTACACACAAATTGGAGCGAGGTACGCTAATCAAAGAGTGATAAATCAATTCGATAGCTGGCCAACTTATGGCATCATATGTAAACAACTCCTTAATTAAATGCTAAAAGTAAATATCAATACCAGATACCAAAGAGAAAAAACTAAATTGTATAAATTTGAACTCTTTTTCGTTGTTGGCGCTGCGCTGCTGCCTTATTTGGAAAGTGAAAGTGAATTTTTGATAAGTTGCCCACTGTCCGGAAGGATGCGCCGTGAAGTGTTGCGTAATGGCCTGGCTGCCAGCTGGCTCAAAAAGTGGGCTAAATTTAATTGGGTTAACATCAACATACCAGCTATGGGTCCAGCTGTTTTACTCGGTGTCGCCAGTGTCCTATCCACGCTGCACAACAGCTGCACGGCAATTATCACAGACAAAACTATATATTTTTCCATGTTGTGGCTGTTGTTGGTTGTTTTTGTTTCAAATTTAGTTTATCTCTTTGTTATGATGATTTTGGAATATTTTATGTATATTTATTTTGTGTTGGAATTTTTTATTTTACAGTTATGCAAATTGGCACTTCCGTAAAGCTAGCAAACAAAACAACGCATTTTTTTGTCGATTACAAATTTATGATATTCCGCCGAGATGCACAGATATGATAAATTATAAATGCCGCGTTCCGCTTTTTGTATTGTAATCGTACGTTGTCGTTTAGCGAGATCTTGAAACGAAATCGAAAGTTGGCGAAAAAAAAACAAGACTCAACTGATTTGGAGAGTCGACTAACAATATTAATATGAATACCTCAAATCTCGAATACGTCGTGCGCATGCGCGCCCAAACTGACCGTCGGTTGTCGAAGAACTAACAATTTTGGTCCGCTTGAGCACCAACTAATGCTGAATCCCCTGCAGAGAGAAAACACAGCTGCCAGAGAGTTGCAGCAACTGCGAGAGAGAGGGCGACTCAGGAGATAGAGAGAGAGAGAGAGACTGAGCCGGTCGAACTGGTTGCAACCAACTTGTTTGGTCGGCGAGTTTTTTATCTACGAATTTTTTTTTTTTTTGTATATTTGGTGTGAAACGCTCTGCAAGATTAGCATCCGTTGAGATGCGACTGATGAGGAGCGAGGGGTACCGTGTGCAGCTGACTGACGGCTGGCTTGTCAAACACTTGCCGCAGCCTTTGGCAGCTGGCAAATGCTGACCAAGGTAACATCAGTGAAGCGTGTGTTGATTTGCAGACATGCCCACCGCAAAACAAGCCGAAATCGAGCTCAAACTCGAGCCTGAGTGAAACAAACACCCCAAAGTCGGGCATTTCAAAATTCTGGTTTCGCATTGCAAGTTCTAAGATTTTGCAATTTCACAAAAAAGAACAAGAAAAAAATTTATAACGAAACCGAATTCATAGCTTACTCATTGAATGCTGATGCTTTTGACTTCTATTCAAATTGCTTCACAGCTGTTGCTAGCTGACATTTGCAGCTGACCTTGAACAGGTGATACACTGCGTATACGTTATATGTTTATGAAGTTATCATTTGTTACGTTAACAGAGCCAGCAAAACAGACTGCAGTCAACGAATGTTCATAACTTTAGCAGATTTTCTCAAAGTGTACTCAAAGCTATTGAAAAATACTTCAGCACTCGCACATTCTGATCATATCTAGCAACTATACTCAATTCATTCATCTGCTGTCAACATTTTTACTAGGCAGTCATTAAAATTCGTTGCCCAAAACTTGTCATAAAACAAGCTTACTATAAAATAAAGAACTTGTACAGCAAAAAGCCGCCTTCAAAATGGATGCACAACCATCACGACTTTTGGACTCTGAAATCCGCACAATAAATGAAGTGAAAAAGTGGACACCTTTTATGGAGCTACTTGGAATTGCTGTACTCATATGTAGTATATTTCGCATAATCTTTGGAGTCATAGATGAGAGACACATAGATTGTAATGCGTATCAAAATCGTAGACTTTGAGCAGATCTCATTGATACTCTTGAGACTTCAAAATAAAAACTAAAATGTCAGCCGACGGACTAAACAAGTTGGAAGTTGTACTACGCTTTGAATTTTGTGCTGCGATTAGCATTTGCCATTGGAGTCGCTTCTAAACAAATACAGATCGAGCATAATAGCCGATACGTGAGTTCATTGCTACTTGGCCAGGGCTATGTTTTATTCAGTGTAATAAAACAGTCAAGTTTCGTGCATAACTTTAGGGCTAGCTCAACCGTTGTAGTTGCCGCTAGCCTAATCTTGATTTATAATTGGGCACTTCAAACGGTCCCAGTTGAACTAATTTCTTACAATTGATCAAATCATTACACAAATATTCTACAAGTTCTACAAGTTATTTATTGATTAGTTATCTATAAATTATTAATGGGCAGTTATAAGACAATATTTTACGATTGCCATAGGGCAATATTTATACTTAAGAATTTTAATTGTTTTCTTTGTACAAACGTGTTTTTGAATTGAATTTTGAAATGCATAAGTAAAAGAGTGGGCAGTTTCGCAAACGTGTCGCAATCGTTAAAAAATGTTTGCTGAATTTATTGATGGACTACAGCTAATGGATCAGACAAAGATACCATAAACAGCTGGTTCGACGGCTAAATGCCAAGTTGTGTTAATTTGATAGTTTGTTAATATGTTGTTGTTATGTTTCTTATTTAAATCATTCGATTTTTCTTCTACTTGGTAAATTTCGGGGATTTTTTTTAAAGTGCCCTTGATGAAGATTATTTTTTTTATAAATGTTTCGGTTCTTCCCCCGATGAATTTATGGATTTGCCTTTGAAAGATGGTCTAGAGCAAATGGATCAGACAAAACTACCTTAAACAGCTACTATTATTTTTGAATGCAAATTGGCGAATAATTGGCGGGTTTGGCTAATTTTATAGTTTATTAATTTGTTGCTATGCTATTTTTTTATTTCAAAAATTAGATTTTTTTCTACACGGCAAACATTTTGTGCTTTGATTGGCTTTGCCCTTGATGAAGATTATTAGTTTCGGTATTTTAATAATTCGGTTCTTCCCCCGAAGAATCATAAATTTTGTCGATGGTTAAGATTTCTCAGAAAAATATTATCTAGCAATTTCAATTTGTACTTAGTGCAGATTTTAATTATTTTGATTATTTTAATTGATTAAATAATGTCAATTAACTTGGCTTTTATATGCAAATGGCTTTTAAGATTTAACAATAAAATATTCATAAAATATTTATTAGTCTACATTATATCAATATTAAGGTAAATTTGCAAACGATTTAATAAAATCAAATCGAACGATTTATGGCAGAAACGTGTGAATTCAAAGTTGCAAATCTTTCGACTGAAAAGTACCCATCATTGAAAAGTTATTTCAGCAATTTTCTGTTTCTGTTGACTATTTAAATAAGATATAAGATAGAGATCAATCAAAAGTTAAATGTTAAATATTGATTGTACAATTATAATTCATGGCCCTGCAAATACAGTTGGCGAATAAAGCTTAAATTGCGTAAATGGGCTGAAATAGCAACGCATAAATTAAGTAAAATACACACAACTTTGGATGCTGGAAATGACGTTGAAATAAAAAAACTTCCATCCATCATACGCCTCGTGGGCCATGAACCGAATCGGCGTGAAAATGACATTTACTACAACAGACCCCCCAAGCAAATAATGGCCCAAACTTTGGTGGCAGATAATAACAAGAATAAACAGGTGGAGATATAATACCCTCTCTTTATCTGTGTCTAATGTGCGGGCTGATGTTCAACTAGGTAGCTGCATCATCAGCCAAAACTACTTAAAAGCAAGACCTGTAATATGAATAATACGCTTATGGGAGAATTATCTTTGGACTCCAAAAAAATCAAGTTTACAGCGCATCAAAGTCGCATGTTGTGAGCATGTATCGCTTTTTTACTGATTCCCCTCAGACTTCAAAATAAAATCGAAAATCTCGCCAGTAAACAAGCCGGAAGCTATTCAACTTTACTTTGCATCCAGCATTTGCCATTGAAAGTAGATCAGAGACGCTTCTAATCAAATTCACATCGAACTAATTGCTCAGGGCTATTCTTTATTCATTGTAATAAGAAACAAATAAATTCCGTGCGTTACTAACTCAAAAAAAAAAAATAAATAAATAAATAAAAATGCAGTAGGAAGCAGCTATTTGTGAAATGAAAAATTATTATTATTTTTTGATTATTATTATGATTGATGGAGATTACAATCTTTATATTTTAAAATTGCGGTTCTTCCCCAGACTAATCATATTTGTTCTTTGTCAGATTTCTTAGAAATCTTCTATCTAGCAATTTATTTAATTGTGTACTTATAGCTGATTTTAAATATTTAATTCGTTTAATTAGTTGAATAATGTTCTAACATGCAAATTGTTTTGTTTTTTTGCTATTTCCAAAATCAATTCCTTACTGCTGACTCGTCTATTTGTTGACGTTATCCCAGGCGATTGTCAAAAGTCATAAATTAAATAAAGACATTCGCTGATGCTGCAAATGATGTTGAAAAAAATACTCTCATCCATCATACGCCTCGTGGGCCATAAACCGAAACGGCGTGCAAATTACATTTACTACAACAGACCCTAAAATGTGGCATTTGCATGCAAATAAATGGCTCAAAAACAAGTGGAAAATAGCAAGAATAAACAGGGCGGAATTTAATAGCCTTACGGGGTATACAAATGTTACCATCAATACCCTCTCTCTCTCTCTCTCTGTGTGTGTGGGATGCTGTTAAACTAATAGCGATAGCATCAGCTGAAACTACTTAAAAGCAAGGTCATTAGCTGTAATATTGATGATAGTCTTATGGGAGCTGCAGCTACTTCAAATTTGTAGTTTGATTGATGGACAAGCTTCATTAAATAGAGCTGCCCCAAGCAGCAATTTCCGTGATCCATTAAATTGTACGCTTGATAACTTTATCGCTCTATGATTTGAAGACTTAATTAATAGTTTCTTTTTTCCCCCAAACTTACCGCTATCGATTTCGTTCTCACTGGGATCACGATGAAATATGTTGCCATAGTATTGATCGTGTTGCTCGGATTCAACACTCTGCAGCGACTCTTGCACATCCTCATCGAATTCATCCTGTGGATTACTGTTTGCCTGCAACTGCTGATCCGTCAGATCATCATCCTCCTGCTCATCCTCATAGCGAACACGCGCCCGATCCGAGCTCGTCGCCGTTGTTCGCTTTGCAGCTGCAGCTGCCAAACGATTCCGTTGCGCTCCGCCGCCGCTCCTCTTGAAGCCATCGCTGCTGGCGGAGAAGCCCCGGGGATGTGGACGACGACCCGTGGCGGGCTTTGGCTTGGGCAATATATCAGCGATGGTGGGTGCCTTCTGGCTGACGGTGCGATTGGGAAACAAGCGACGCTCCAGAAAATTGGCAAATATCTGTTGCGTTATCTGATTCTGGCGCGCCAACTCGCTTTGATCCAATTGAAAGTGATTGTTTGCACTGTTGTTGTTGTTGGTGCCTGCAATTACAATTGGGATGAAAATTGGATGCACGATTAATCACTGTAATCACATGTGGGCCGTCGCTCAATTGTGAAATCCCAACACACAGGTGGCTGCCACTTTGGGGCAATTACATAAACGCTGCCGTGCTGCGGCCCACACTCAACTCGATTTGGAGCCACATGATGAGGTGCAAAAAGAGCATCAGCAGAAGTAATTAAAAAACGTGTACAACCTGTACAGGCTGACGAGTTTTTAATGCTTCTACTCAGGGACAGAGTATTTATTGAGGGTCAAGTGTTTATCAAGTTTTCTTTTTAAGCTTAATTAAAATGCTTGAAATTATTGCGATTAAAATGATTAAATTAAACTGACAGCCCATCTACAAACTGGCACTTTTGGACAGTCGCAGAAGGATTCGATTTCATAGTGTAATTCCTCATTTTGTAAATGATTCTAAAAATAAGTTCAATGGCATTTTAAATGAGATTAATTGGAGAATCACTTTTAATATGAATTTAATGTTTAAAACGAGCTCCTGACTTGAAATTGATCTAAGAAGTGATTTCTCAAATAATCTCATGTAGGAATGGGGGTAAACCTTACACATCCATAACTTTGTCAGAAGCGATCACATTTCTAAACTCAAGGGCTATTTGATCATTGCTTGACCTTTAGATTAATATAACATTTAAAGTTTAAAATACGACTTCGCTTCGGAATTCATGTAAATATGAAACACAGAGCTTTGTCGAAACTAAACCGATTTTCAACAATCAAGTCTGGTCAATCATAGTTTGACCTCTAGAATAATACAATACTTAAAGTCTGACTCGAAAATCATGTTGAAATGATACCACAAAAAAGTGTTAGTAATGATTGGATTTTCAAAAGCCAGTGCTTATTAATAATGGTTTAACCTCTAGAAATTGTATACAAAAACTGCATTCCAAAAAAGGTCTAGATTTGCAACTATAAATGAGAAACTAAAAAACTGGCAATTCTATCTGAAACACACCTCTTTAATTACATTCTGTCTTGGCATTATTTTGGATTGACATCTGTCATCATACTGGCTGGCTTCTCAAATGACACACATCAATCAAATCTGTGACCCACAAAGACTGACTCACTGAGAGCGAGAGAGAGAGAGTATACCGTCTGCGTGTGTCTAGCCTCAGGGTCGCATTTCTGCGAAGCACTCAAGATCATTAGCTGGAGCTCCAGCGGGTTACGTTTATTTTTTGTTCAAAATTTGCATATTTTTCGTTTTTTTGTGACTCTTCCCGCTTCTTGTGCTTCATTTTTAATGAGAGATTAATCGATTGCCATTTGGCTAAAGTTGGAACCCCCTGCTTCAACTGCAACTGTGTCAAGGTTGTATAAAAGCATTTTACTGCTTAACATTAAAGCACATTCCAGTTTGCGTTACAGTTCCCGTTCCAATTGCCATCTTCCCCTTCCCCGCATCCCTCATTCCAGTTAATGAGTTGAAATTGCCAAATAATTGATATAAATGCTGCTGTAAAATGCGCAAACAAAACGACATTAAAGATTTTACTGCTCTTAAACAGCTCGCTAGATGTATTAAGGAAAGGTACACACACAAAATGTAATAAAACCTAAAGACAAAAAAGAAGCAAACCAAAAAAACAAAACCACAAAAGATGTCGCACACCCACCAAAAATTGTTGATTACCCCGTCGTTTTGGGGTTTGTTTCGCATTTTGAGTGCGTGTTTTTGCAACGCCTTTACAAATATGTTTTTTACCTTCATCAGTGTCCGTAAATTGAATTAAAATTGATTACACAATTTCGAATTATGCCAGCGGCAATTATATATTTTTAAAATTATTTTTGAAATGTTGGCTCATTATGGTTCAAGAGACATCATTTTTGTTTTCTAGGGCATCCCCCTTGACATTTGTGTGTGCGCTGAAGCAAATCCAATTTCAGTTATGGACACTCAAAGTGGGATACATTTAAAATTGGGTGTGTTCAGTGCGCTATAAATCATTGCACTGCTAAATTTGTACAATTTAAAGTCAGTGCAAAGTTTACTTTGTCCAAAAGAGTCATGATTTGATTAAAATTACATTAAAATTAACTCGTAATAAAACGATTATTGCCTTGTGTTAGTTAAACAAGATTCGTTACAAAGCTTTCCTCAGCCATAACTAAAAATCAGTTAGTTCTGAAAAGTGAAAGGGAAAGTATATTTTTCATTTTGATACAAACAAACAATGTTTTTTTTTCAACTAAAATAAATTTACAGAGTCTGCAGCATTTTAACACACAATCTCTAAGTGCAATCTAAGTGCAGCACTCAAAAACTAATTGAGAGCTGAATTTTTTTCGAGTCATTCATATTTATATTTTGACTTATTTCCGTGGCATTAATTATCGATTTCAAACCCAATTGCCGGGCATCCTTCAGTGAATTGTTGTGGTTTTTGGTCTGCTGAGGTCAGCCAGTTGCTACCATTAAACCGACAAAGAAATACAATGGGCTCTAATAGCCGTCACATTATTGGGCCCCTATTGTTAACAGGCCTAATTGTTCTCAACGAGCCAACAAATTCAAAACTAAATAATCCTTGAGATACTATTATGACCATTTGTCGCTCATTATGAGCCACATTTCAATTGCTGTTCGCCCAATTTACATGCCATTGTTGGTCGAATTGTTGTCCAATTGACCATTTGAAAGTCGGGCCAGCCTGTCGTGATGGCCCCAAAAGGCACAATCTATAATCTAGTTGCCCGATCACCGATCGATTTACACGCACCGTTTTTGTCGTATTGGATTTGAAGTTTATTAATTTCACGAGCGTGCAACGTTCAACGTGCAACCATGCAACGTAACCCAGTTCTGTCTCAAAATGTGATGTGTATCTCTCTATCCAGCAGTTACTACAACGGCATGACCACATTGGCTAATTGTCGTCTTGGCTGGCAGTTACATAAATCATGTAGACTCGACGAGGATGTCGACTGCAAGCTGCCTTGAACGACAACAACTGCAAATAACAACAAATAGTAAATCATTTTGACTTGCATCTGTTGCAGATAGCCGCCAGTTTCAACTACAACGCTTAATGTATTTGGATCTGTATCTGTATCTGTATCTGTAATTGTGGCTCAAAAAAAAAAAAAAAAACTTGCAGCAACTTCTGCAAAGAATTGAGGGCCGCTTAATTGCCGCTTGGCTGGAAAGAGGTCAATTAGCTCAGCACAGCATCTGCAAGTAGACTCCGCAACCTACTCTTACTCCTTCCCTCCCCCCTTACATCTCTCTCAACACTGCCCCAGTACTTACCCAATACAAGCGTTTGTTTTTGCAGCGTTGCGCAAACAGAAAAAACAAACGCGATGTGCGAAAAATATGTATCCAAAAATGTTTGCGATTTCAGCTTGAAACAAGACCAGATTTCGCACATTTCCTAAATAAATTAGAGTCTTAAAACTAAAATGTGCATTTATTTGGCACACAAAAAGTTTTTAATTCGTTTTTTAATTTTACAATTGTGCAATCAATGCGCTCGTAATTAAACCACAAAACGTTTGTCATACTTGGCGTATGCGCAATGCAATCGTAAAGCGCATACGACCCGTTGGACGTTTAGAAACTGCGCTTGTTTTTTATGCCCTGGCAATGGGTAAAAATGTGTATCATAAAGTTGTGCAAAAGTATGTAAAAGGCGGAAGATAGCCATAAGGCATATATATTCCTAATCAGGACTAATCGAAGTTTCGATCTAACCAAGTCTATCTGTGTGTTGGTCTGTTTGAACAAGTCTATCTCAGAGACTTCCAATTTGGAATGAGAGTTATCGCTTACCTCACACAAATCAAGTCTGATTCTTTATCGATATCGAAAACTTTCTATGTTTCGAGAATACCAATTATCGATCGCAATGAAATCTTCAATTTTAAATATACATCAAGATTGTAAATACCTTCATATTATATTGATTATCTGTAATAATTTCACTAAGATCGGTTGGGAAATCTATAGGTAAATATATGGATTTTAGAGTATCTTCTAGTTGAGCTCTCTCGCCAGAGTATTCTTATTTAGTTTTTACAGTTTGATTGACGTTTGGCAATTTGTAATATTTGGCAGATAACACGCATGTTGCAAATGTCTTTTAATGTCAAACGAGATTTTATACGAAAATCAAACAGCTTATTAATGATTTTTAATTGTTGATTAAGCTCTGTCGATTATTAACATCTTAATTATGCCATCGTTTTATTCTAGACTTTGCATATAAAGTGCGTAGTTTCTGTGACTATAAATTATTAATCAACATTTACATAATGTGCTGTAAATTTTCAGCCTAAGAACTGTCATTTAAAAAGTTTTAGCTATAGTTTTTGAGCCTATAAATTATTGATTATATTATATAAGAACTGGTATTTAAATGCTATTTTTAATTTGATAAATTTGCATCTATTATCGATGATTACATAAGAGGTGCTTGAACTTGTGAGGAAAAGAAAAATATATTAAGTATTTAAATAAATGCCATCATCATCTTAAGCCATTCAAGTTAGTGGCCATTAATCTTTAAGCCGACTTTGGAAATTTGTTTCATGCACGCGCTAAATATTTGCTTTGTATTCGATTCAAAAAATCAAAAAAAAATGTAGCAAAACGAGCAAAAGCAGAAATCAACTTTAAAGTAGCTATAAAAGGTGCTGGGACAAGTTTCACAACGCATTCAATTAGAATTTGTGCATATCTGTTAATTGTTAATTAGTTTAACGGTAATTTGTGAGCTCATCCACCATTCCAGAATTACCTAAATAAAAAATCAACTGTGTCTATATGCTGCTGTTGAATATTTAATTAGCTTGCCTATAAAGATGCCAATGACATTTAGAACAAGAAATTTGCTAGCTTTGCTCCTTAAACAATGGCCTCAAATGGGATAAAAACCCAGTTTTCGATTATGGATATTGATCTTAATACGATATATTTCGAAGAAAAACAAAGTGATCAAAATATTTGTTTTAATTTGTGCACTTAACTTTTGCGTTTTGTATATAGTCACTAATTAGATGAAGTCTGCTTGAGATGAAGATCTTATGCAATCAACTAATCAAAAGTTGGAGTACTGGATATGATTAGCATAAGCACTTAAAAAATAATATTCTGATATTAAGAGATCAGCAAAAAGTGATCAAAAACGGAATATTTAATAAGACTGTCTCAACTAACACCGTTATGCATAAACAAATAAAAGTCACCAGATCTGGTTTTTACATAAACAATTTAGCATTGTTTGACTGCCATCGCAAATTCATTAAAATGTTATGCATAGGTTAACCTTAAGGTCAGTTTGATTAAATGCTACTTTGACGCCTCAACAGCTCAATAGTTTGCCAAAGCATTTCCCATTGATGCATAATGAATAAAAACTATATAACGAATCTCGCTCTAAGTGCAATCTTAAATATTTGCACAACTATTGACGCGCAGCAGCCTCATTAACGTATATATCGATGGGATGACTACGATGCCGGCGACCTTGGCATGGATTTAGGTATTCAATTGCCACTCGAGCTATCACTTGTGGCTGGTTGTCTGGCGGGGGAGGTGGTGGGGTTAAAGAGAGCTCAAGAGCTTCAAGTACTAACCTCTTTTATCGCGGCCATTTGTGGCAGCTGCCTCCTTCTGTTGCTCAGCTGTGGCTGCAACTGGAACATTTCCTCGTCTGATGACTGTGCTGCTGCTGCTGCCGCTGCTGCCAATGCTGCTGTTCAAACTTCGTGGCACATTGCGAACGGTGACGATGTGTGGCACGTGCACATTTTGTGGCGTATTGTTACCGGAATCGACACTAGCCAAAAACGTAACGAGCACGGTGAATAATAGCGTTAAACGTAGCATTTTCATTGCGCGGAATTTGGTTTGTTAAGCTTCAAGTGGCAGCTGAAACTGAAACTATAGCCGAAGTTCACGACAGCGACACAGACACACGACTGAGCCGGAGACACGCCTCAGAGAAAGCCAGATGCAGGCTGCAATCCCCAACTCCCCCAAAATGTTGATATCGTTGACGCTGATGTTGATGATGGTGTTTTGTTTAGATATAGCAATAGTAGCTGCAAATTGTTTGTCACAATCCGGCCCAGGCAATGTTATGCAGTTCGGGGCGCTTTCTAAATTAGCAATGCGACAGATCTACATAAATGTTATGGAATATGAAAAGAGTTCACAATGGGTCGATCGAAATGTTGTTGTTGCTTTCTTGTTTTTGGTTTTTGGTTTTTATATCAGTGCTTCGGTTTTCTCCTCCTCGATGTTGGAATAGAGAGCGCCTGGCCATTAATCTGTGCCTCCGACATTCGATTAGATAATCGCACGAACTCGTCTTGTTTACTTTCTTTCCTCGATTCGGCAGCAACTGCTGCTGCTGCTGCTTCGAGAGAGAACTCGTATCAATTTACTCTCACTTTTTTGTGTGGTTGCTGGCACTCGTGAGCTGACCGACCTCAGAAGTGGTTCGCATTTATCGCTGGACTGTCGCAGCGTCCAGAGCCTCGGCTGGTTGCTCCGTGAACGTGTTTTTAATGTTTTTGCTGCAGTTGCGTTAGCTTTCGGCTTGCTTACTTACAGACTAAAGCGTTTGAACGCAACTAAAACACGTTGAGCGCTCGATTCCTCTCTGGAGCCGACGATCGGTCTTTGGATATTGACTCGGTCAGCTGCTTGCGCTTACCGCTTCTCTCTCTCTCTCTCTCTCTCTCTCTGTCCCGCTCTCAATCTCTTGGTCAGGTACTTCCCAGTTTTTCTCCACTCTCGCTCTTGGTATTCCAATCTCTCGCAACTTGTTTCGATTGACCAAGCCAAGCCTAAGCCAGTCTCGGTTGCATCGATATCTTCTCCTTCTTCGTTAACTGGCGTGAAAATAACCTTTTGCATCGAAGTCATCTTCTTTGAGCATGTGCAAGAAGCGGTTTCTAATTACATCTCTGATCAGGTGTGTGTTGGGTGCGGCTGTTAAGCGGCTGCTGGTTTTTAGTTGTCATCTGATTTAACCAGCTTGTGAGGCCAACAAGCGTTGATCGTTTGCCCTTTGCCAGGGTTGCTGTTGGGCCATAAATAAGTGGATTATCCAACCGATGTGTGCTGATTGAGTTAGCATATTCATATTTATGGTTTAATTATAGATTATGCACATTCCTTTCATTTTGTTATCGAGACTGCATAGAAAGCGATGTGCGGAATGGCATTAATATATATATATTAATGTCTCATATTTTGTGACAAATTTATAAATACTATTTACTACGACATCTCATTCATAGCCCCAAAATTAAATTCAACACAACAAAACAAATCAAAACTAAATTTCCAGTTTCCGGATTTTAATTTAAATTTGGCTAGAAAACATTTTAGATAATGGCTCGTGCTGCGAATTTTTTATACATGTTTCATTTTGCTGTGGATGATCTGGTTATCACACGCATCAATCGATGTGCACCGGTTGAGTATGCGACCTGTGTGGAGATCACGTTCCGCAACAGCGTCTATGTGGAGATTTGCACGCCACAGCCACAGTGTGGCAAGTGTTGCATCTTCGCACTAGAGTCCCCAGTGACACCGGATGATCGCCTGCAGATACATGTCTATAAGAAACGTTCCAATAAATGCAAATTTCTGCTTGGCTTAAGTGAACTGGAAATATATTCACGATTTGAGAAGGTTAATAGAGACTTTGATATAGAAAATGCGAACTGGTCGCTTAACCTACAGATGAATAAGTTGGAAATTCCCACATTGAAGGATTCCAATCATGGTGTGTTGGACAGATGCGATTGCTTCAATTCAAGATATCCACGCTTCGAGCAGCTGTCTCCCACATCGACAATGTTCAAAACAATGTTGCCATTGTTCAATCTCTGCAGGCAACAGACCGGAAATCTGGTGTTAATAACCCGTCTAGTCGCCCAAGGACCCACCATAGTATCCAGTTTCTGTAAACTTGGAAACAAGTATGTGCCTTCCGAAAGTTCTCCAGATCAGAATACCTGTTTCATAAGGTCGAATGATGTTCACAACCAAAAGTGATATTGCTGCTTTGCCTGCCTTGCGGCTAAGTTGAGTTACTGTACACATTTGCGAGGACACAGATACATAGATGAGTTCATTACAGATACATAGATTGTCCCACTGTGCCGTGTAAATAATATTTTAGCTTGAGCATGTGTATTCTTCCGGGTTCTCTGGTGATCTTTTCCTATTCCCCAAAATAGGAATAGGAAGTAGATTGTACTCAAATTTTATTGTGAAATATTGCTCGATATTCTACTACAGAAATCCAATAGAACTGTTTACCTTAACAAATATAAAAATAAATGATGTATTTATAAATTCTGATTAACTTTTGTATAATGGGAATGAAGGGCTTTCTATGAGCCCTAAAATTAACCTTAAACCATTTGGTAGTTGCTGAAAACGAAATAAGTCGTCTTCAATTTGAATATATTTTCTAAATGTCCGATTTTAGCAATCGTTGAACATTATGTTTAATTTGGAGTACATCAAAATTGGATCAACGCTTCAAAAGTCAAAGCAAAATTATTAAGGTTAACAAATTTCATTTTAGTTTCAACTACCGATTCGGCATTTTCTATTTTGTCTAAAAAGGAGAAAAATTCAATCGTAATTTTTTTTTGTACATATATATAGCCTTAATATATACTTGAATTGGATACAAAAGGTAATCTTATTAATTGCACTTTAAGCGGACTCGCTTCTCTAAAAGACGGATGCAAATAGCAATTCTTTTGTTTGTCCGCAATTTATATTCTATAGACTATTTTATATATTTTGAGCATGTTATTTAATTTTAGCGTACAGAAGAACTGTTGGGGGAAATTTGCGCCATTTACTGGTCAAGTGCAATATCCAAATTGAGTCATTAAATCTATTCATCTAAATTTAGCTAAGCGACATGGCCAAAAAGGGGAAGAAGGGCAAGAAGGGCAAAAAGGGTAAGAAGGTCAGCTGTCCAATCAAGATCACCGATCAAATGATAAAACCATCAATGCCGCGACGTAAGTACTACTTGTTAACAACTTTTGATTGATCAATCATCAATCATCGTGAACGACAGCGATTTGCGATGAGTGCTGTGATGATTGTTGTCAATGCCAATACGATTGCGATTGCAGTCCAGAGATCCAGCCATGCTTTATACAACCCACACGTCCGGATGCGGGTCCCGAGGCCTATGATGAGTTCGAGGCCTGTTTGAATGGAAGTGGTCTGACTATACGTGTCCTCAAGAATACGCACAAGGTGCAAAGTGTGAATGATGGCGCCGCTTCGAATTTGGGTGCCGACGATGATCCCTGCTACAGGCAGGACATTGATGATTGTCCCTCGAACGAGTGCCTCAACGATATACTGCAACGCAGCAATTTTGCCCGGAAGCACATACAGCGTCGCACCTGCGGACGGATCGTCAATCATCCCAGCATACCAAAAGTGCGTGCAAATATCAAATACTCTGGCAACGATACCTGCGAGACGGACAACTTTTATGTGCCCTTCTCCAAGATCAAGGAGGCGTGCGAGCAGGAGGAGGCCAAGGTCGACTGTTATCGATCGCGTGTCTGCGATAAGCACGAAGCCAAACTCGATTGCTATCGTCGACGCTTGTGCGGTGGCGGAGTTCCTTGCATTCCTGCCATACCGCCAAATAGGAATCAACGCAGCTGCTCCATGCAGGTTCAGGCCAAGGATATCAAGGACACCATGAAGGGCGTCAATCTGGATACACGCAAAAAGGGCATTGAGGTAAGCAAAAACAGCAGCAACAACCACAACAGCAACAGAAGTAGCAGAAGCAGCGTAAGCAGCAGCAGCAGCAGATAATAGCGCCTGGTTGCATGCCACATTCGGAACGTGTTGCAATGCGGAATTGTAAGCACCGCAAATCATGTCGAATGCTTCAATTGTTCCGTGACTTGCTCTGGCTAAACGCTTATAACAGCTGCAAGCTGCACATGCTGCAGCATGTGTATCTGTTGCATAACCACAAACTAACTGCTCCAAATATGTGGCAACCACAGTTTGAATTCGAATTTGATGTGGCTGTAAATCTGTCAGTAGTCGCTTTCTAAATAACCAATTTTTGTTTTGTTGTTTTCCCACTTCTTATTTAGGTCTGTTACAAAACGTGCGAGGAGACCGATAGCGATGTGTTCCTCGTCAAGCTGGGCAGCAAGTCCAAGTCGCAGCACAAGAAGAGCACCATCGAGATCGAGTTACGCACGCCCAAACAGCCAGTCACATTGCCCGTGAGCAAGGTGACCACCGAAACGTATGTGACGGAAGCATTGCTCGATGCCACCAAGGGCAAGAAGGGCAAAAAGGGTAAGAAAGGCAAAAAGGGTAAGAAGGGCAAGGGGAAGAAGAAGAAGGGAAAATAGTTGGCCAATATCGAAGGATATGAGAGATACCAGCGCCAGAGACAGCCTGCCGCCCATCGATAAATCCTGGCAAAAGAAATCTGCTTAACCCACTGCTGCCATTGCCTCTCCATTACCCTGACACACACTGAGCAAAAATATCAAAACAAATCTCTGTATCTCAGTGGGTTGATAAATCAAATTATAAAATATTACATTTTGGCGAAACCTTAATTGCCTATTAATTGACATTATATACTAAGTAACATATATTGTAGTTGGGTACCTTTTTCCTCCTTGTTGCATACCTTCAGCATATCTAATTGATGCTAGTTCATTCTGAAATAGGTAATCGTATAGAATATATTGAATAAAGAACCCTTTGATTATTAAAAACAAGTCAAATCGCGAAAAAGTTTCGAAAATCATTTAATGGACCAAGCTGCTGTGCTGCAGCATGTCAGGAATGAACTTATTGAAATCACAAGATCAGTTCGACGGCAGCCTTGATGCACACCTTTCAAAACTTCACAGTTTGCTGTTCCTTGTTGAAACCGGCACATTCGGTTGGCTATCATTACGGATGGATCTTTTGGGCAAGCTCTTTGGAGACGAGTCGCACAGCTTTGGCTTTGTTAAACACGAATTGTATTCGCTTTGGCATTGACAACACTCTTTACACTTGACTTGCTAAAAATAAAACCGTAGCGGATTTACGGAAAGATATAAAATAATTAATGCCAAAGTAAAGTCGAATTTACCTTAAGGTTTAAATATTTGATTTGATTGTACGATCGGCCTTCCTTGATGACTTTCAAAATGTTTTGACCTACTAAACCTGGATGTTGTATTTGACCAACAAGTGTCGCAATTGTCTTATTGCTCGATTGCGCGCTGTAAGCCAAATTGTGGTTATTATTTTATTGTCAAGTATAAGTTTAAACTCACCCAAGTCACAGCAACTTGTATAATCCGAACAGCAGTGGCCGCAAGGATCATTGGATCCGGCGCCATGAGCTGGTACCGAATTGCCACCAAAGATATCTTTCCCGTTTGGCAGCCAATCGTCATCGCAACCACCGGTCTGGCGACCCTTGCTCTTCTTCTTTTCCTTGTCCTGCGTCTGCTTGTCCTTGCGCACAGTCTCCATGTCCTTCTGTTTTTGCACCTGTATGTAACGAGGATGGGCAGGAACGCCGCTGCATGGACCACAAGGCTCCAAACGCTGCTCAATCTCCGACTTGCAACGACGCTTAGACGGCACAGTGGGACATTCTATGAATACACGAGAAATGAGATGGACAGCTGGACATACATGGATCAGTCAAGCTTACCGCGATCGAACTCATCCTCACAGTATTCGCAGGGACACATTTTGTCCAAATTGCAGGCAAAATAGCGCAGACATTTCTGCTTCATGGATGCTGGCGAGGGTAAGTAGCAAGGATCGGGCTGCACGCACTGTGGCGGTGGGCAGGGCGGACACCTGCCCTTACAGCACTTCTTGCTGGTGTCCATGGGACCACCGGTTGCATTAGTGTTACCAGTGGCATTGCAGCAGGGATCGCATGGATCTTCGGGACAGCATGGCGGGGGATCGCAACACACCTTTATCTTGCCACATGATGGACACGATGGAGTTGGACACGGTTTCGGTGGACATGGCTCACAGCATGGCGGCGGACATACGGGATTCCTTGAGCAGATCGAATGATTCAATGAAAACTGAGACACGATTACTGGACCATTGCACAGGAGCCGCATGATCAGCACCATGTTGCCCGTCTGCTGCTTGCAGAGATTAAAGAGTGGCAACAGTCGCTTCGTTAGCTCCGATGTGGGACAGAGTTGTTCGCGTCGCTCATAACCGGTATCATAGCAGGAGCAATTATCCAACGCATCCTTGTTGGGACCCTTCATTTTGGGCAAATCCTGCAGCTGTTCCACCCAATTCTTGTCCCAGTTAATGTTCTCCGCATCAAAGGATTCCTTTACACGATCGAATATTGGCTTCATCGGCAACTCAGTCAATCCGATGAGGAACTTGCAGCGATTCGTTTTCTTCTTATACACATGTATCAGCAGGCGATCCTTGTCGGTGATCGGCGAATCGAGCGCAAAGATTACACACTTGCCGCACTTGCACTGCTTGGGATTCACACAGGTTCCAAACTCGCGATCGCAGATGCTGAGGAAGACATTCGAACGGAACGTGATCTCCACACAAGTGGGATACTCCTCGGGCGCGCACAGATTCTGTTTCGTTATCAGCAGATCATCAATCACAAATTCAAACATATAAATCAAGCTGCGCGGCAAGGCCATCATGCGAAATGTGTTTCCCAATTAGATGATTTGCGATTTTGACTGATTTGGGGAAAAATTTTTCCAAAATTTTGTAACTAAAAAATATTGATGTTGTAATTTGGGCCGAGGCAAGAAACTGAACTGTTTCAGTTGAGCTTTCACAACAAATGCCTGCTGAGATGAGGCGACTGCTACAAATTATTAATTTGTGTCAAATTTTTGTATGTGTAAAAATTTATCCAATAGAAGATGATGATAATATCGGCAGATGCATATATATGCAACTTTTGTTTAGCACAAGATAATAAATGCAGCATTTATTAAGCTGATTATTTGTTTAAGAAATTAGTCACTCTAACGCTAATAATTCTAATTACTTTAATCAAGTGAAATACTGCTGCTTACTTCATCATTTTTGGATGCATGGCTTTAAAAATTACCAACTTAGTTTATATTTTTATCTATATCCCTTGACAGAATAGGAAGCAAGACAGGCTATCCCTTGACAGAATAGGAAGCAAGACAGGCTAAGTCATTTGTGAAGTACACCAGTAAAATTAGCCAGAAGAATTCATGTCCAATAATCCGCATTTCTTATTCCATTTATTTTTTTATTATTAAACCTTTAATAAATTGTTCAAACTTGTTCTACAAACTTTGATTGAGATACTTGTAATTTTAATTTTAATTATAATATGCCGTCGGTTAAGCTTAAGGTTTAAATATTTGATTTAATTATGCGATCAGCTTGCTGTGATTTGATATTTTTGAGCTGACTTTAAAAGTGCTTTGATCCACTAAACTTCAATGTTGTATTTGGCCAACAGGAATCGCAATTGTCTTATAGCTCGCGCTGTTAGGCAAAACAGTTGTAATAATTCATATATTGTGAAATATAGTTAAAGCTCACTCAAGTCACAGCAACTGGCAGATTCGGCACAGCTGTGGCTGCAAGGATCATCAGATGCTCCGTCATCAGATGGTAGCGAAATGTCACCAAAGAGATCTTGCCCGGTTATCAGGCGTTCGTCTTCGCAACCGATGCCTCCACCCCTCCGGCGACCCTTCTTCTTCTTCTTCTTCTTTTTCTTCTTCTTTTTCTTACCCTTTCCCTTCTTGTCTTTTGGCGCCACCTCCACGATCTCCTGCTTCTTCTGTACGTAACAAGGATGGGCTGGATCGCTGCCGCAGCATCTACACGGCTCCAAACGCCGCTCAATCCACGACTTGCTACAACGCTTACAGGGCACAGGAGGACATTCTATGAATTAGAATTAGATGGCTCAACTGATATCCAAACTTACCGCTATCGGACTCATCCTCACGGCATTCGCAGGGGCACATTTTGTCCAGATTGCAGGAGAAATAGCGCAGACATTTGATGGTCGGGGATGAATGGGGTACATAGCACGGATCTGGTTGCACGCACCGTGGCAGGCAGGGCAGACATCTGCCCTTGCAGCACCTCTTGCACTTGGACATGGTGCCACCGGTGGCACTAGTGGCACCAATGTGTATCCCAATTAACTATTTGCGATTTTGGTTGAATTATGGAATAAAATTCCAAAATTTTGTAACTAACAAACATTGATGTTGTTATTTGGGCCGAGGCAACAAACTGAACTGTTTTAGTTGAGCTGAGACGAGGCGACTGCTCGAAATTTTTCATTTTTGTCAAATATTTGTTGTATGCTGTGAAAATTGGTATGTACAAAGTCAGTAGAAAATGTTTACAATTGAAGATAATGTTGATGTCTGAAGATGGTCATATCTATACATATTTTGTTTAAACTATTTTCATAAGCATAAAATAATAAACAAAGAAAATACAATTCAAGTCAAGTCACCATTGGTTAACAGTTAACATCTTGGGCTTCCTCAGACAGAACCCCCATTATCTTAACCACAAAATTCGCATATCGTCTTCCACATTAAAAAACACGTTTTAGGTTTTTTGGAGGGTTTCTTCTTTGTTCTAGTAATGCATAAAACGCTTTATTCAATTTTTCGAAATTGTACTACAAACTTTGATTGAGCTACTCGTAATTGTAATTTTAATTAATTGTAATATGCCTCCTTGTTGCCCCCTTACAAATCTGCGCTGCAGCGGGAAGCTTATGCATTAAAAACGATGTCAACTATAAATAAAATATGATGTCCTGGAAGGGGAAAGGAGGTAGGGCTTGGGAAGGAAGAAGGTCTAAAAGATCACGTGTTGAACACAAAAATACACAATTGAGGGGAGTTGGGAGCATTGTAAACAGGAATTTTGTTAAGTATTTATTTATGACTGCGTGCACGATGATGTCTTTAAATATTGGCCAAGCATGATGAAGACTTTGAGGCTATCCATGGTAATCCTTGTGATTATTAGACGACACTAACGTCAGGCGGAATGAAACGACATGAGCGGAAAAAGCCGTGGCCATTGAACGAACTCCACGCCGTAATGCATAATGCCCGTGGCGCTAACCGCAATCATTGCGCCCCAGAAGAGCATAAAGAGCAGATTCTCTGTGCTAAACTCCGCCGGATATGTCATGGTGATAACGAACATGGCCACAGCAACGAGCAGCACCGAGGGGAAGGCGAAATAGCGCCAGCCATGTGGCGCCATCAGTGGCGATGGCAATACACTGCCCTCGTTCTCATTGATCAGATAGTGGCCCAGGAAGAGATCGATGCCATCCTGACGTATGCCATCAGCAAAATTGTTCAAATAATAACGGACTAACGAGTTCTTGCCATCCTGCATGGCGCCCGATTTTGTTCGTTTGCCAGTGCGGGTAAAGTCCGTTTTGAGGGCACCCGTTCCACTGTATTGCAGCGAGACCAGATCCGCATTGTCCGCCCAGACGCCCTTGAACAGCTTCTCAAAGTTACTCGAGGCATGCTCGACCCGCTGACCCACATGCAGAACGCCCAGCTTTTGCAGGACAACGGTCAGCGAGCGACGAGCGAGCATGCTCTGAACCACATTTGTTCGATCCAGACAATCGATGCAATTGGTGCGAAAGACGCCCGTCTGCGTGGACACCAGATTGCCATTGTCGAAGGCATGATAGTAACCAAAATCTTCTAGTTCATGGGCCAGACGATCAATGAGTATATTCAGACGATCCCATCGCATCTTCCGGCACTCGTGATGGAAATCGAAGGCCTCATATCGCACATTGGTATTGCCCAGTTCACGCACCAGTCGCGCAAATGTGGATGCCAGTTCACCCTCGGCACCCTTTTGATCGACCAAATTGACGGCCACCTGCTGTCCATAGATCTTCAGCTGTGCATTGAAATGCGCCGCACACGCAGCCAAATGATCTTTGCCCGGGATAAGTCGTGGACGTGGCTTGTAGCGTAGATTGGGCAACTGCTGCCAGAGGAATGGCATACTGCCACGCGTCTGGACGAAGCTCGTGTGCTGGCCATTGAATTCGACAATCTGTTCCGTTTCCACAAAGTTCGCCACGTGTCCCTGTTCGTTGCTGCCGCGACAGAAGAGTCGCGTGCCCGCCCGCTCCACCGATCGCCGGGTGACAATGCTCCAGAAGAACGTTTGTCCATTGATCTGCACCTGATTGATGGAGACAAAGCCGAGGATTAGCGGCAGCTGAAATCGTTGCATTTTATCGCATTTGAATTGCTCCAGCACATGTGCGTTCCACACAAAACGTCGATCCGCACGCTGCAGCAGACCCTGATCGCCATGATAGGGTCCCAGTAGCTCGCGCTGCCGCTGAAGCGTGTGTGTCAGATCGTAACGATACGAGAAATAATAAAATTTTGTGTCCAGCGTTTTGCGCAACATGTTCAAATACGATTGATTCTCGGAGCGTTGGATGGCATTCGGAATGTAGGGAATAATATCGTAGCCGGCCAGGCGCCAAACAATGGCATTGTTGAGGACGCCCACGAAGAGACGATGCGTGGCAACCAGCAGATAATCGCAGCTCAGCAAATGGATGGTGCCCAGCACACCGCAGATGCGTCGCGTGGGACGCAGATTCGTCAGCTGAGTTGTTTTGGCCTGTACACGGGTTACCTTATCGAGGCGGCCAATTAATAATAGCTCATCCTGGCCATTTGGTTCCACAATGAAACTCTCCTGTGTTATGTACAGATTCATGTCATTGTAGACACTATTGCCTCCCATTTCGACGTCCATATTTTGCAGACACCTGGAATATAATAAAACGCATTAAATTATCGGCTGATTATAAATAATTCACATTATTGTTTCCGTTTTTTTGGGCTTACTGCGCTTTATCTCAAGTATTGCACACTGTGCAAACACAGACACGCGCACACACACACGGAAACTCGAGCACCGGCAGTGTCAAAGGAACAACAACGTTGATAAACGGCTCTGTCTGATTATGTCGTCACCGCTGTCAAGCTATCGAGTCACCTTATGTGCGATGTGGTCGTCCTGGCGGTGGCAGCTATTCGTCGGCTATTTTTTTCTTATTAATAATACTTAAGCGCTGCTGCGAACATAACAAATTTTTATAAAACCAAAATTTTAGAACGAGGTGACGAAGGCACAACCACACATACAACAATGCTGCAAAACAATCGATGCCTTATCGATAATTGCACTGGCGCCAACTGGCGGACTTTTTTGGCAGCTTCGTTGCGCGCGATACTTGCGCTCATAAAATCAAATAAATAAAATATATGACTTAAAATGTGCTGTAACTTAAATGTTAATAATATTTTCGTAGTAATTCAGTGATATATTCACTATAAAGCGAGCATTTTTATTTAGGGCCACATTAACCCTGCCAGTGTATGCACACTTAACATTCAGCGTTGCCAGTGTGTGCACACCCGTAAAGTGCAAGAACACTTTTTCGCAGCATTCAAAAACGAACGGACGACGCGATCAGCAGCGGCTTTCAATAATTTGTCATATATACGTAGAAAAAGACTGCGCCCAATTTATTAATTAATAGAAAGTAACTTAATAAGATTGGCCAACTCGTGATCAGTGTGCAGTGCTTGAGAGTCACGCAATAACTGCACACACACACATACACACGTGTAAATAAGGAGACTACAGTTATTTGTAAAAAGTGTTTGGCGTCATTTTATTGTAGAAATGGATTTAACATCGGGTGCGAATGGCTCGCGAAACCAGCAGCAGCAGCCTCGCAAATCCAACCAAAACATTCAGGTCTATGTGCGAGTCAGGTGAGTTGATCCCTCCCCCACCTCTCTTTTAATCCTTTGGTGATCTTGTGCTGCTATTTACTGTTCCCTTTGCAGACCTCTAAATTCGCGGGAACGTTGCATTCGCTCCGCGGAAGTGGTGGATGTGATGCCGCCACGTGAGATCGTCACCAGACACACCCTCGAATCGAAGCTAACGAAGAAGTTTACATTTGATCGCACCTTTGGACCGGAATCGCGTCAATGCGATGTCTACTCAACGGTTGTGGCGCCCCTCATCGAGGAAGTGCTCTCCGGCTACAACTGCACGGTGTTCGCCTACGGCCAGACGGGCACGGGCAAAACCCACACGATGGTGGGCAATGAGTGTGCCGAACTGAAGTCCTCCTGGGAAGATGTAAGTGTGATCCAAATTAGAAAGTCTTATTTAGGTCTGCCTGCCTGCGTGGTACAGTTGCGTTTTATTAGACCGATAATTTTTTAATGTTGACCTGCGAGGATCGCAACTAAAACAAGTAGCTCAGAAACACAAGATAACCGCTAACAAATACCCTGTAGAAATGTATATAATAGGTTTGACCTGCGGATGGCAAGGAAATAAAAAACAGTAGAGCAGGTATCATATAAAAACAATATGACCGACTAACAAATACCCTACATATATATATATAGTACAGCTTCATGCCTCTGCCTAAAACACACACCACAAAACTAATATACCCCTTTATCCATTTGTAAAGAGTAGAAGGGCTTAACATGTTTGACAGCATATCTGAATTTCTAAGAATTTCAAAATCTAAACCTTTATCTAATTTTGAAAACACGCCCCTTCTGTTTAGGATTCTGATATTGGCATCATACCGCGAGCGCTGAGCCATTTGTTTGATGAGCTGCGCTTGATGGAGCTGGAGTACACGATGCGCATCTCCTATCTGGAGCTGTACAACGAGGAGCTGTGCGATCTGCTCTCCACGGATGACAACACCAAGATACGCATCTTTGATGACAGCACGAAAAAGGGTTCGGTGATCATTCAGGGGCTGGAGGAGATACCCGTTCACAGCAAAGATGATGTGTACAAACTGCTGGAGAAGGGCAAGGAGCGTCGTAAGACGGCCACCACACTGATGAATGCACAATCCTCACGCTCCCACACGGTCTTCTCGATTGTGGTGCACATACGTGAGAATGGCATCGATGGCGAGGAAATGCTCAAGATTGGCAAACTAAATCTGGTCGATTTGGCGGGCAGCGAGAACGTCTCCAAGGCGGGCAATGAGAAGGGCATTCGAGTGCGCGAAACGGTCAACATTAATCAGAGTCTCTTAACTCTCGGACGTGTGATAACTGCCCTAGTTGATCGTGCCCCTCATGTACCCTATCGTGAGTCCAAATTGACGCGGCTGCTTCAGGAGTCGTTGGGTGGACGCACCAAGACATCGATTATAGCCACCATATCGCCGGGGCACAAGGATATTGAGGAGACTCTGAGTACGCTGGAGTATGCGCATCGTGCCAAGAATATACAAAACAGGCCGGAGGTCAATCAGAAGCTAACGAAGAAGACGGTACTCAAGGAGTACACCGAGGAGATCGATAAACTGAAACGAGATCTGATGGCGGCACGCGACAAGAATGGCATCTATCTCGCCGAGGAAACGTACAATGAGCTAACCCTCAAGATGGACTCGCAAAAGCGCGAGTTGAACGAAAAGATGATGCTGCTCAAGGCACTAAAGGATGAGCTGCAGAACAAGGAGAAGATCTTCAACGAGGTCAGCATGAATCTGGTGAAGAAGACCCAAAAGCTAACACGTACCGAACAGCATCTAACCGACACCAAAGGCACCCTACTGCTCACCAAGAAGGTGCTTAACAAGACCAAGCGACGCTACAAGGAAAAGAAACAGATCGTAGAATCTCACGTAAAAACCGAGGAGCAGTTGACCACCCAGGCGCATCAAATACTCGAGGCAGCTGACTTGGCTGCCGGTGATACGTATCAGTTGCATGGATCCATCGAGCGACGTCGTCATGTCGACGAGAAGATTCGCAGCACATGTGCCCAATTTACGGAACGCATGCGTGATAATCTGGAGTTGCTCGATGGCAGCCTCAATCAGTATCAGGAACAACAGGCAGGCTCCACCCAACAGCTGACAGAGGAGCTGGGTAAGCTAAAGAATTATCATACTCTACATGGTCATCTAAACTACTTCCTTCCCCCTTCTAGCCAATTGTACCACTGTGCATCAGCGTCTGGTGGCGAATGCCAGCAAAAGCATTGACAACTTGCGTTCCATTTGCACGGAGGCTTTGACGGCCCAGGGGCAGCTGCAGGCGCAGTTTGCAACAGCTGTGGCGGGTAGTATGGATGCACATTGCCAGGCGCTAGTGGCGCAGCTCTTAGAACACATGCAGCAGTGGAAGGTGCATCTGTCCGAAGAGATCATGGCTAATCTGCAGGAGTTACAGGAGAATAATCAACGCCACCAGTCAGCGTTGGATAGCATGCGTGATGGCTTCTCGCCGATCATTGAGCGCAATGCCAAGGCGCTGCAGCAGCACGTTGAGCAGGTGCAGCAACAATTGCAGCAGTTGACAGCGATGCGGGCACCCGATGCGGAGCAACTGCAGCAGCTACAGGCTGAGCTGGCCTACGAGGAGGAGTTGGCACAGCAGGAGCAGGCACTGCTGCAGCAACTGGAGCAGCTGCAGCAGCAGCGTGCCAAGAATACGATCAGTATGGGCACACATGTCGGCCAACTGAAGCGCAGCCATGCAACGGTCATCGAGCAGATCCAGCTAACCGACAACACTATGCAGGCCTATGCCATGGAGGGATCGGTTACGGCTCAAGCAGCCCGCGATGAGCTTTGCAACCAGCTGCACACTGCTGTGCTCTGTGTGGATCAGGGTGTGGCCAAGTGTTCGACGCTGCAGGTGCAGCTCGAGAATCTCACCAAGGAGAGTGCCAAACAGGCTGAGCTCAGCACGCAAACAGTTCGAAACCATGAGATGCAACTGCGTCAGATGTGCGGCGCCAGCGAGGAGCGTGCCCAACAGTTGCGTCACGAGCAGCAGAAGCAGCTAATCGCTGCTGGCGAACAGATCCATCAGATCCTCACCGATGATGTGCAGCTGGGCAGTGGTCATGCGGCCATCACTGCCGATCTCATTGCTAAGCTCGCGGAGCAGACGAAGCAGCATGCCTTGGTGCAGCGACATCAGTTTCAGACTTGCCATCAGGAGCTCTCCAATTTCCATCAGAGTGAACTGAAAACTTATGCGCCCACAGGTACAACGCCTTCGAAGCGTGACTTCATCTATCCACGCAGCCTGGTCGCCACGTCGCCACATCAGGATATAGTGCGACGCTATCGACAGGAGCAGGACTGGTCTGATCTCGACACGACGGCCACCATTGATGAGGTAAGTCGGGTACTGATTGTATATTCTCCCTTACCATTTCTAATATCCGTTTGGATTCGCAGTGCAGCGAGGGTGAACTGGAACCAGACTCGCTGGTCTCCGTGGAGGAGCTGTCGGAGACTGAAACCATTATGAATTCGACGCCCATTGAGGCCGTCGAAGGTGCTAATTTTAAGCAACGTGGCTCTAACAAAGCCGCCCCGCCCATCTCACGCAGTTCTAACACGCTGAAGCCGCAGGTTGTCAAGCAGCGCAGCAGATCCTTGTCCCGTTCGCTGACGCCCAGTAAAGGATCGCCATACAATTCGCCACGGAATTCACCGCTCAGTTCACCAGCCTTTAATAGGGTGAGTTAAAAATACATCTGTTAAATATTATTGCAATCAATAAATCGTATTTTCTTTTCTCTTCCGGCCGCAACAGCATAACAAAGAGAATGTGGCCTGAATTACATTTCATACGGCATCCCAGTAATAAATATTATTATTAAGTCGCTAATTTGAGCATTTCTTCTCTATTTGCTTGTTCCTTTTTATTATTATTTTTATTTGTATTTTGTATTCACAATTCAATTCTCGAAATACTTATTATTATTTCAATTTGCACATATTTCTTGTTTCTATAATTAATAAACACATCTGTATTACAGAGAAACTTTCATCAGAGATAAATTAAATCAATACAAAAATTTATTTTTCAATTTTTGCCTCTTGAGAATATTGTGTGCACGCACCAGTTACATAAATTGGGTTGTGATATTGACTAAATTGCGCTCGAGTTAAGAAATTAAGGCATACTTTCAGCAGTACGCAAGCGAAAAGGAAAAGGCCTCTAACTCGACCAAATCTTTGGAAATATTCAAAGGATAAGGCGCATTACAATAGAAAGGACTTCCTCTTTCGAACTGAATTCAGGGATTTAGGTTTCTGCTCACAATCGAAAAGATCGGGCATACTTTTAGGGGCATACTGAGAAAAGAAGATAGGATAAGTATTTCCTGTATTTTATTTATAATATTCAAACCCTAATCTATTTAGCCAATCATTTTAAATACTTAAGATACGTAAATATAAAATGGTTAATTGTTTTAAACATTTGAGGACGCCATCAGTCGTCTTGGTCCTCCTCATCATCCTTGAGTATGCCCAGGCGTCTTGCCACCTCTTTCACATTGGCTATGAACTCCTCCTGCACTAGATTGAAACTCATAGCGAGCAAGGCAATGCCAAAGAGCAGATACAAGGAACAGTAGGCAATAGACTGCTCCGATTCGTCCTTGACACCCTTGGCGGGCACAAAATCGCCAAAGCCTGAAGAGAACGAGAGAGAGAGGTAGAGTTAGACTGAAAGAAGTGCGGCATCTAAAAGATACTCACCAATTGTGGTTAGCGTGATGAAGCAGAAGTAGGCGGAGTCCAGGAAGGACCAGTTCTCCCAGAAGGCAAAGAGCGCCGCACCGCCCAGAATATAGCTGACAACGAGAAAGACACACAGCCAAATAGGCACTGGTCGATCCTTGGGCATCAGTTCATATCTGTCGCCATACTCATCCCCATACATGGAATCGTCATCATCATAATCATAACTGGGCCGCCGACGAATCTGTCGCTGCACCGGAAAACCCATTGGCGACATAATACGAGGTGAGGGTGGTAGGCGACGTGGTTCCCGTCTCCGCTCGCGTTTTGGCTCCCGATTGCGTGAACTTCGACGCACTGGATAATCCTCGTAGTGATCGTTGTCCTCGCAGAGGGACAACTCATCGAAGCTCTCCTCCACGTAGTCATCATAGCGTGGCGAACGTCCGCGTCGATTCCGTTGCGGCTGCGGTGCTCCATCATAGTCCGGTGGCTCCAGATGATTGCCATAGCGCGAGGATTGACGTCCCAGGCTGCCAGCACGTCGTACATTGGGGCGTTGCTGACGATGCTGCTGCTGCAGCTGTTGATGCTGCTGCTGATGAGGGTGATGGTGATGATGATGATTCTGCTGTGGCTGCGGGGAACGCTCGCGTTCCAGTTCCCTTTGACGCTGACGCTGACGATGCGCTGATCTTGGCATAGATTGGCTACGCGGAGCATTCCGTGCCTTGTGCCCACTGCTGGCGAAATCCTCATCATCATCCAGTACATAACGATTGGGTATAATGGGCGTCTTGCGCACCACATCCTCATCCACATCCTCGTAGTGCGAGGACTGCGGACCATGCCGTGGATCCACAGACTTGGCGCGCCCACGACCAGGATGGGACTGCAGACGAAGTAATTCGCGTGAGGCACGCGTCTCCTGACGCTGCGGGGATCGCACCGATCTCACGCTGGCTGCCCGCTTGGCCGGTGGCTGCATATCACTGAAATCATCAATGGAGCCATGCATGTGTGACTTGGAGTGACCCACGTAACGTTCGCGCTCCACCGTATGACGATCTCGCATTCTGTCCCGCTGTCGCTGTCGACTGCTGTAGCGATTGGCGCGATTCATCGTTTGGCCCTCATACTCCGAATCACCATAGACAGTGTGACGCTGGCGAGGCTCATGCTGCAGCGGCACATGATACGGCTGTTGGTGACGCGAGCGTCCGCCATCTGCTCCTCTTCCTCCTCCCTTACCCCTATGCCCACCGAATTCACGATCGCGTTCGCGATCGTCATAACCACGACCATAGGTGCGCAGCTCTGGATCAGAGTAGGCGTGACCCATCGACGGACCCAATCCGGAATCATTGTTCGAACGCTGCGTCACCTTCATGGAGCGGCGGAACGAAGGAGGTGGTTGCGAACGTGACGTCACCCGCTGCGGACGCATGCGCATCGATCTCTGGCGGGAGCGGGTATTCCGCGGACGCTTCGCGGATCGGGTGCACACATAGCAGCAGATGCGCCAGTACAGGAAACTGCATGACAATTTAATAATTTAATAATGCGCAATGATTAAATACATATATATGTATGTGTACCCACCGAAACGATGTGGCCATCACATCTCCAATGTTTGATAGACAGAGCAGCATCAGCGGAATGCCAACGATAGCATAAAAGATCGTTGTCACCTTGCCCCAGTCCGTGCGCGGTGATATGTGGCCATAGCCTGTCCACAGTTCAAGTTGCAGTTGCATCGCCAGGTCATATGCAAATAAATAATGGAGGTAGAACCACTTAAGTTAGTATACCTAGGAATGAGCAAAATTTAACACAGCAGTTCACATAAATCACAAGAATCAGAGTTTAAGATTGGATTGGTGTTGAAGATTTCAGTGATGTTACTCGCTTTAATGATACACAAAATTTCACAAATATCGATCAATCTCAATCTGCTTTAGTATTCAAAGACAAAATTGTCAGTATATAGCCAATTTAATTGATATGTATAATATACCCAGATTTATTGCTGATCAACTGTAAAAATTACAAACAAATCGGAAAGGAAAAACAGAATTTTGTTAAACAAAGCGTATTTTGATGTCTTTAAACAATTGATTTGTGTTGAAATATACATATTGCATGGCCCCCCAATGGTCCCCATAATCTAGCAATGTAATATTCTCTAGATTTCTGTTCTGTTCTAGAAATACTCTTCGCATACACTTTGTAGCTGCTGTTAGATAATTTTGTTTGACTTAAGAACTGCCTTGAACCTTATCGAACTGTGTTAGCTAGCAAATAGCCAAAAGTTTCATGAAATGCTAATGGGCGCAACGTGTCTAATCGCTCCGGTTTGGGAAGTCCGCTAATCTATTATCGCCACCTACGCCAAGCAATGAACAACTACCAAAAACAAAACAGACGTTTCAAGTTTTGCCGCCTGAAGGCATTTGCGGAAATGCGGAAGTATTTCGCATAGACTCCATGATTGTTAATGGGGAATGGGTGTGTGGTGTTTGGTATTAGCACAGACCAAACAAGCGTCGGTCATTAAACTCACAGAAACTGAGCAACTAAAGCCAAACTAGACAAGTCAAGTCGAACTAATAACCAAATACAACCAAATGGGGAAATTGTGCAAAAAGTTCGCATCATCAATCTAAAATCTGGCAACTAAACACAACTCATCTGTGGTCAGTCGCATTTGACCTTGCGTTTGTTTTTTATTTTCAAATATAATTCAAATTTTTGATTTCGTTTCTAAGCCCGATATCCAAACCTCAAATCCGTATCCATTTTAGAGGTCATGCACGTGGTGCCCGTCCAGTGGGCCAATCAACCTGTGTGCAACAAAGTGTGTCCAAAAAAACAACACAAAACTATAACTGACCTATGACTGCACGATCTGAAGAATGATAAGCCAAAAAAATATATATAATATGCAATATCTGCACTTAATCAGTTAATGGACATTCATTTGGAACAATTAAGTGGTGGTGTGTAAAAATCAGTTAACTCATTAAAATTTCCAGGAAAGTTTTTTGAAATCAGAATGCGTCGGAGTCTAACGTGCAATTACAAAACGATCGTGCGGCTTTTTCATATTTATGCGTTTCGAACGTGACCATTGTCCAGCTGTCCATTTTGTCCAATCATCGATTGCAGCAAGTTCCTGGGCGGCACTGCATGAATCCGTTCAGTGAACACAGAACATGGGCCTTTCAATTTGCGGTTTGGTTTGGAAATTTCTTTGACATGGATGAATCAATGCTAAGTACGTGGACTGCCTGCCCGGCGATCAAACAGATCGCTGATCGCAGATCGCTGATTGCCGATTTCTGATTGCTGTTAAATCTGGCGTGTCTTGTCTGCGACTGCGTCTCCGTCTGCCACGACCGTCAATCTGTCTCCCTCACCCACTATCTCTCTCTCTCTCTCTATCTCCCTTCGACTGTGTTCCACTGTTGTTGTCTGTTTGTTTGTTTAGCTTGTTTTCGTTGATTCATTAGCTGTTTACACTGGGGCACAGTGGAGCAAAGGCTCATCTGGGTGTGTTCAGCACAACAATTTCTTTCCTAAACAAAAATGCAAAGTAGAAGGCTTTCGATTAAGTCATTAAATCAACCCATTAATTTATTATGGAAGAGCAAACAGCAACACATATTCAATTTTGTTATGATAAAAAGAAAAGAAAATAGATGATTAATGATTAAAACGTGCATACTTTAAATCCCACAGGTGTTATCGCTAGACAGTCTAGCACTCGATGCTGCCCTGCATAAATCTACAAGCTGAGTAAAAATCATATGCGCTTATAGAAAATGTTCTCAGATGGAATATAGTTTCTAGGATCTATGCTCAAGTGGAATGTATAGAACACAATATTATTGATATCTTCCATTTTCAACTGGGATCAAAGCAATTCCCTATAAAATCGTAGTTGACTTTATATATTTCATTTGAGCAGCGATCATAGAAACTAAATTTTATGGAGATCATTGAGGTATTAACAACAATACACTTCATATTTTTAGCCATCGCATTTAGAATATTTTCTTCTTTTGAACATTAAATTATTTTTTATGCATACATTAACCCCCTAACCACATTTGAATCTTTTTCTCGGAAGCATTTAGTATTAAATTGATAGGCATAATAAAGTAAAGATTGAGATTAGGGAGCAGAAGCACTTGCATGTTCTTCTGACTAAAGCAATGCGTCACTTTCAGCTGGTTCCACTGTGCCCATTGACGCACCTGCCTCACCTTTCGCATCTGCCTCTGCCTCACCCTCACCCTCCGCGACCCCGAGGTCTCTCAGTGGGCTCTGCCTCTGCCGCTGCTTCAGCCACAGTCGAGTGATTTTGTGCGTTGTTGTCGTTTTAGGCCATTGTTATATAAGTAGCGTGTGCCGCTCGCATTGCCGAATTATTCTCTTACCAACGCTAAACACGAGTGCAAGTCGCGACCAAGCGAGAAATACGGGTCAGTGTGTGAACCACTCACAGCAACAACAACTAAAACTAAAATAGGAAGAAAGGCCAATCTCGGCAAGACTGCGAAATCATGCGAAAAGATTGCCTCATCGCATTGCTGGCACTCGTCTGTCAACTGGCCCTGGCGACAGCGGACAGATCGGATGACGATCATTGGGTCTGGCGCACCTACAGCCGAAGACAGCGTGCATTCAAGGATGACGATATCGATCGCATTGCCAGCACATCCTCGAGAAAGACACACGAGCAGCAGCTGAGGCGAGAGCCCACGACGAGGAGACCGCTACCTGGGGAGCCGGAGAACGATGAGATCGAGGACTATGTGGATGTGCAGCCCACAGTGTCGCCTAATGTGGGCACACGCCAATACAGCCCGTATCCCAGTGGCAATCCCTATGGTGGCTTCGGTGGTGCACAGCCCAATGGTGGTCAGTTTGCAGGCGGCTTTGGTGGCAGTCCGGGAGTGCTCGTAGGTCCAGGTGGACCCACAGGTGTCATCGGTAGACAACCTCTCTATCCCAATGTCTATCAAAATGGTTTTGGTGGTGGACAAAATGGACTCGGATTCGGACAGGGACAGGGACACGGATTGGGTGGCTATCCCGGCAGCTTTGGCAGCTTTGGTGGCGCAACTTTCCCTGGAGTGGGTGGTGGTTACCCGGGCGCGCAGCAGGGTCAGTTTGCCGGCGCTGGCAGTCAGTATCCATTTGGTGGCTTTGCCGGAGCGGGCACCAATTACAACAGCAATCAGTTCGCAACGCCTGGAGGACAGTATGCGGGTGTCGGACAGTATCCGGTAGCCCAGTACGGTGGACCACAGTACACGGAGGGCTATGGCCTCGCAAGCTTTGGCCAAGGTCAGCCAGGTGTGCCAGTCTCTGGATTTGGTGGCAACTATGGAGCGGGCGGCAATTTCGGATCCAATCTATTTGGCTTCGACGAGAAGTCGCCAGCCGTAGCGGAGGGCAAGAGTGCAAAGTCTGTCGCCATTGCACCAGCGACTGTCAATGATAAGCTCAGCATGGATAAGAAGGCTTAGCTGCCGCTATCCCACACCTATCTACCCACCACCCTGTAGTATTCATTAGTGATCTAGGCTTAGCTATATGTTTAGTGCGAATAAAAAACTCCTATTGATTATTGTATTTATATTTTATATTTACCGATTGTGGTTATCACGATGATCGAGTAGAATAGTGAGCCGGCAAAGGTCCACTGGGATTTGCGAACATCCTCGTCGCCATCCCAGCCATCGGCCTTGATGGCAGTCAATATTTGCTTCTCAAAGTTGGCCAAATGTTTGCTCACATTCGCCATCCAATCGTTCTCCCGCAGCACCAGAGCATCATCGGAGAGCAGCCAAATGCGTTCGGTCAGATTGAAGCGCAGATTTTGAATGTCTCGCTTGACCTGCATGGGATGCTTTTAGCGGATTGACTTCCCTTCGGATGTTGGCTGCGAACTCACCTCAATCTCGTGGGGTCGCTCGAGATGTTGGAACAAGTAGGCACCGCCCACACAATAGGAGACCACAAGCGCCACGAGCAACACATGCGAAACGATGCAGGTGAGCACCTTCCACGAGAAACAGATGGCAGCCACACAGCGTCCTCGCTGCGGCTTCGCTGGCTCCACCATGTGTGCCGGCATCGATTGTGCGCGCCTCGTCGACATCCCAGCTCACCTCGCCGGCTACGTTTCGGGCGTCTTTCCTCGTTTGGCCAATTTCACGTTTCGCTGCACACAAATTATGAAAAGGCTTTTGAAATGGCTAAATGGGAGATGAAACTGCAACTGCAAACACCCTGTCTGCAGTAAAATTTCTAGGTCGTGTTTCTACAAGTCTAAACAGACAGAATAGAGTCGAACCAAACTAAAGTTCTACAGAGCAATCTTAGAAAACCCTCAAACAAATATTATAATTAAAGCACAGAATCTTAAAGTTAGTAATTCTATCGAAAAATTTATAATTGACACGAGAATATTCAATTGAAAACACACTTTCAATGAAGCTTGGAAATATCCACATTTTTGCTGATGGCAGTACATAGTTTGGATCGGAACACAATATTATATATGTAGCTGCCCTGGGGACAAGCAGTTATAAGATAAGTCTTAAGGTTGAAAGGGTTTCAATCCCATATCCTTTCCGATACAATATAACTACACAAATGTGGAATATTCAGCTCAAAGCCAGTTGTGAAACAGAAATCATATAAATAAGATTTGTGTGAAACGCACAAGAGCTGAACAATATTTTGAATTTGGGAAAAAATGCACATGTCAGCAGAAAAACTCTTGGTAATTAATCTTCGGCGTGCCTAGGACACAAGTTCTTTCTTGTCTCTTATATATGAATATGCTATATTTTAATTAATTTATGACCTGGTTCTTGAAGACCACACACTTTCCATCGCTAACAGAGTACTGACAGAAGGTCCGCAAATTACACGTGGAATGTGCAGGTGGCTGAATTTGGAGTGGGAAACCCTCTAGCCCCTATCTCCTATCCCCAATACCCCGATTCCCAAACCACAGACAAACATGTACATTAATTTTTGTCTAAATATTTATTTAGTCGACGCGCTGTGCTGGCAAGGTCGGGGGTAAGTGGCTAGGGAGGGGGGGAGAGTAGCTCACAGTATTCGCCTTATGCAAACTATTTTTGGGGGAACATCCATCCATCTCATCATCACCGCAAACAGACAGACAAACACACAAGGAGACACACAGACAGACAGACAACTAGATAGACAGACACAACAGAGAATGGACCGAGCAACAGAACTTTTTACTTTTCATAGTCTAAATACTAGCCAAGAAATAACAGATAAAACTATATACATATATAGATATAGAGACAAGCGTGTTCGATTTAAGAGCAGCACCAGCTATATAACATGCCAAAATAATTAGTTTCTTTGATTTCATTTGATTTTCCCTGATGGGCAATTAACTATGGACAGTTTATGAACTGATTGGATTCTTTATGGCAACTCATTTACATTTATGTTCACCGATCTTTCACTATAAAACTGTTTCTAATTTTTATTTTTTTTGTTAATATTTCCAAATTCGTTTCATGCTGTGCGTGTGTGTAGATTTTCCGAATATTTTCCGATAGCGGGTACACATGGACCGATCCCGACGACTCTCCAAAGATTACTGAAACATTTCTCGGATCGGCAAACGGTGCTCGAGTGTTTTATTTTTGTTTTCTTCTATGTTGAATATTTTGGAATACTTTTTTTTTGTTTACTTTTTGCATTTCACGTGTTCTCCCGTAAAAAGAACAATCCGAGCAGCTGATTTTGTGCACCTCTTCTCTCTCTCTCTCTCTCTTCAGTCCGATTATATCTGTAGTTGTATGCAATAAGTTTTTACTGCACATTTCTTAAAGAAAATTGCTGTATTTCGAATACGCTACAATTTAGCATTATCAAAATATGATAGGCATTATCTTAAGTTATAGATATAGATAAGAAATATATATATATTGCATATTAGTCGACATTTAGTTGCCTGAAGGAACCCTCGAATCCACATAGACTCTCGAAATCGATGGGTTTGCCCAATCGCAATCGCTCATCCGTCCCATAATTAGCCTCATCCACCCAGTAATTTCTGTTTGCATTGATGCGTTCCTCCCACTCCTTGATTAGCTCTGGCACAGAACCATTTTCGCCACCGTACTCAACGGGCAAATACTTTTGTGGTATCTGCTTGTACAGTGACTCCAAATTGTTGCCGTGCACATAAAGCTATGGGAAAGTATTGTAGAAAGTGTTAAGGATTTATTTCTACTTGGACTGCTTTCTTACCCTGCTCTGTTGTTTCTTGGACAACATCGGCTTGAACATATTGAAGATCTTGTCAAAGCCTCCGGGTGTATTTATGAAATGTGTTCCCACCGTGCGCATGGGTAAAGCCTGCTCCTGGAACACAGTCATTCTTTTAGATAACGTGGGCGTCATCTGTAGATAGTGTCCTGTTTTGAGGTTAGTCAAATCTAACAGGTGTATGCAGCCATTGACAATGGCATCGTCATCCTCATTGAGCATTATCTGATGCATTAGAGATCCAGCTCGATTGATGTCTAGGAAGTGATACATATCCGGATTATGGGCTCCCATGCGCAGAAGGATTATACGAGGACCATTGTCATTTAGTGGGCGTGGCAGCGCTATGGCGTTGCTTTATCAAGTTTATCAAATTCCGCATTACCAAATTCAACAATAGTCTAGGATAATAACTTACCCAATCCGAAACAGAACGAGCAACTTATCCACATCCACATTATGACCCAAGAAGTAATCCGGATATTTGGTGCGCAGCGTATAAAATCGATCCATTTTGGATTTGGTCTTCTCCAAACTGAACTTGCAGCCACGCAGAAAGTTAACCAAGGTCTGATCATCTGTGCGTGCCTTTAAATGTGGCTGCTGCTCGATCCACAGACGCAGTGCAGCAATATCCTGATCAAGGCGCTCCGGCACCTCATTCAGCTGCTCGATGGCATTTTTCTGTAGCTCTGCGCGAAGCGGACGAATCGAAGGCATGTTGACCAGATCTCGCTGTCGATTCACGAATGAAGTTTTCATTTTGGTGGTCGAGCAACACTAATATATAATCAAAAATTAAGATTAGATAAGTAGTCTAGACGGAGAGCGTAAGAAATTGCTAGCCGGAGAGTAAGTAGAGAGAGTCAAGCCAGTTAACAATGCATTCAATTTATTGCTTGCTTATAGTTTTAAATAGTTTGCTGAGTTCAGTCGATATCTAGCTTGCGGAATGAACCATCCAGGCCAAAGTAACTCTGGCAGTTGATATTCTCAGCATTATGTTCTCTCAGTTTTTCATTGGTGCCAAAGTGACGTGACTGCTCGAAGTAATCGCGATAGCTGAACAACTTGAGCTCCATCTCATCGATAATGTCCTGCATGGTGCCCTTGCTGCCACCATATTCCTGCGGCAAATTCTCCCGACGAACCCGCTCAAAAATTGCTTTCGGATCGGAGCTAACGGAGACCTATAAAAGGATTATTTTTGCAGACGATTCCTGGCTAATTATTTACTTACGCGCTGCTTGATCTTGTCGGGAAAGAAGGATCGCAGCGACTTGAAGCCACTCTCGAATGATTCCGGCGCATTTATGAAATGTATACCCTTTTGCCTGGTGGGCATTGCCTCATCCGCAAAGGCGGAAAACTTGCTCAGCAACATCGGTTGCAGGGCAAACAAATTGGCCGCAGTTACTCCGGCCATATCCAATATCTCGATATAGCCACTGACATTCGCATTGTCATCTTCCATCATCATAATCTCGCCGAACATGGAGCCCACTCGAATGATGTCCTGGAACTTGAATTTGTTGGTGTCATAAGAACCAGCTCGTATAATAGTTACCGCTGGACCGAGATCCTTCTCATCCAAGGGTATGCGTAGTATAATACTAAAAAAGAGCGGAAACTTGACTTGGGAAGGATTGAAAGATGAAGTCTTAGTACCCCATGCGTACGATCTCCAGTACCTGAGGATCGTCGGCGAGACGATGCTCGTTGAAAACTTCGGGTATAGCCACCTGGAGCGTGTAATATCGATCAATCTTGTGTTTGGCCTTCTCCAAACTAAATTTACTGCCACGCAGAAAGCTGAGCAGAAACTGATCCGTGAGGCAGGAGCAGAGATGCGGTTGCCTTTGGAGCCATTCACGCAGAGTGGCAATATCAGAGGATATACGAGATGGGACCTCATTCAACTCCTCAATGGCAATGCGCTGAAGACCCTCCTGGAGTGGTCGTATATCCGAGGAAAGATTGCTGTTGCTCATTGTGGTTTTCAGATCCAGACTAACATAAAATTATGCAGTTCGAGCAGGTAAATTGTACATTTTCAATGCGATAAGATACAAGCTCAATTGTTAATCCTAATCTGTCAAGCGATTAGTTCTTGCTAAATGCGTTACTTATCTTTAAAGATAACTGCTCATTAATAATAAATCAATCATTTATCAAAATTTACTTAGCGTGCATAATCTAAGTGTGATGCAATTATAACAAGTGGGCAATAATTTCGCACATTATTTAATTTTTCATATACATAACAAAATTGCGCTTAACTAAAGTTACCGATCAACCCATTGGGACCATTTAAGGGTTAACAATGCTTTGCCTTTCGAATGTTAACTAACAGGAGCAGTAAATTGCGTTAATTTCTGTTCGGCGAATGCTGTGAATGAATAATTCTTAAATCTAAATAGAAAATATATACGAGAAGCACCTAAGCTAAAAATTATATATATTATTTATATGCTTTATATATAAAATAAAAACAAGCCACGTTTTCTGTTAGATTTTCGCAGACGTGACTTGATATACACGATATAATTGTATCGCCATCATAATTTACCGATGAATTAATATCGCACATCTCTAGCGTATAGCAACAACATTGTGAGCTAACAGCACACACAGTGTAAGTTAACAGCATCACACTGTGAGTTAACAGCGCCTCTAAGCAGACGCACTCTTAACAATAATACATATAAATAGATAAATATCAAAATTAAAAGCGCTAATTCGTTAAAACTCTTAGCGCACGTTATAAACTATATCAAATATAATCAAATTAAGTACACCGCAAAGGTCAGCTCGAAACGCACTCGTGATTTACTTGTGAGACGCAAAATTGCACATTGCAATAACCCCACTCCAAAAATAGGAAAACAGCTGCAGCATTTTGGTTTCTAAAACCCTAAAAACAAAGTAAGTTGTGCATAAAAGTCAACGAAAACAATAGATAAAGAGAAAGTCAGCCATGCCAGGTCATGTCATGTTCAGTAAAGGCCAAAGTAAAGGGCGTTGCAAATGCCACATGCTAAGGCGGCGTCGGCAACAGCCCCGGTGGGTGGCAGCCGCCCTCCCCAGTGGGTGGCTGGCTGGTCATGCGGCCCCCCTCAAGGGCAGCATTTAACTACTGCAAGGTGTCGTAAGTGCCGCGAATTTATCCGAATTGCCATTCTCAACAATGTTGCCGCACTTTAAGCCCATAATGCCATTTGTTTACTGTTATACGCCGTGATTCATCCGCTAACAAATTACTGTATTGACGTAATTGTGCAAATATTCAAATTAACTTTTTATAGGTGTGTGTGTGTGGTTGCTTGTGTGTGTTAATCTATATACGTATATATTTGCAGCTAGTGTGAGATCAAATCAAGATGCAAAACAATCCCAGTCCACAGTTGCCCTGCAAGGGCATTTTAAAGACTTCGCGCAGCTTTGACAAGTCGGGCGCCAGGTAAAAACAAAACCCTTGATTAACTTTGACCTTTCCTAATAACAACAAAGACTAAAACAGTTTCTCTTTCCAATTTTTTGTGCAGTTTTCGCAAAAGTGCCAAGTTTGATGAGCTGAATGTGCTGCAAACGTTTCATCCGGCCGATAAGGATTATGGCCATATGAAAATCGATGAGCCAAAAACACCATACAACTACACGGAACAGGGGCCGAACAGGGACGAACTGGACACCGAGCTGCTGGTGGAGAAGTATTTAATTACACTATATAAGCATTCAGTTGAGCATTCACTCAAAGTGTCCTCTTTTATATGCCATTTGTAGACTACGCATTGCGGCCACCTCACAACAGTCTTCCCAAAGCATTGACGACGAAGGTTCTTCCGGCGATGACCAGCCCCTCAGCGAAGAGGAGCGACGTAAGCTTCAATTGAACATCAATTAAATATACATTTAACTCGTTTATTCTCTTTCAGAACGACGTCGTGAATTCGAGCGGCGTCGCAAGGCGCATTATCGTGAATTCGAGGCTGTGAAATTGGCGCGCAAGCTGATACAGGAGGAGGATGACTTTGATGTTGATAATGATGCAGCTCCTTCGGCTTCTGGGTCAGCTCAGGGCACCGCCTCCACTTCCAGCAGCTCGAAACAAGAGTCGAGTCCAAAAGCCACAACATCCGCGTCCGCCAGTGCCATTGCCCGTGCAAATGCCCCGAGCAGCAGCATCAGCAATATGGATCTGGAGCCAACTCAGAATTAAAAGCAATATGCAACTCAAGATGTACACGGGGCTCGGCTCTTAACTGACTTTGTTTGTTGATGTTAATGTTGTGCGCGAAACTTAATTGAATTCTACTGTCGTGATGAATTGAATTTAAACTTATCAGGCCAAGGTTCAATCGTATATATATATATTTCAATTTAGCAGCCTTCGCTAAAATGTGCTTTCCATCAAAGAATACGAAGAAAAACAAAATTCGAGCAACTTGTAGCTATATTTTACAACAATGATTGCACATGATAATTAATACATATGTATGAGTAAATATGAAAATTTGTAGTGTTATATTATGTAGTTAATGTCTATAGATCTGATTTTTTCCAATTGAATAACATTATAACTAAACTATTTGTCCGACCTCCTCCAACGCATAACGCATTCATTTGCATTTAATTTTCAATAAGTGGAAATTTAATTTCTAAACACCTACACACAAAAGTGCCACAAACATAAAAATAATAACAATAACAATAATAATACGAAACAGAAGAATATGGAGAAGTAAGCGTAACGAGAAAAACTACAAGGTGGAAAACTTGTTGGTAAAATTGTGAATGAGATGAAATGAAAATTGATTTGGCCTTACTTTTAGTTATTTATTAAACCAATATGTGCGATTTACTATTACTATTATAATTACGAATACGATTATTATTGTGAATATAATAGTTTTTAGCGATGCAAAAACGAAAGTTTCAATAAAGAGCAATGTGAAATCCTTTGTAAAAACCCAATAACCCAAAAACCAAGATAGAAAACACACTTATCCTTCTCTCGTCGTGAGTATTCAGAAACTTGCCATTTATTTTGATTTATCAGTGTTCATAGTTTTCATTTGTTATTGTCGCACGATTGTGTATACATAACGTAAATCCATTTCATTGTATAGTCAGTGTTATTTTGTTTTGTTTTTTTGTTTTAAGTAAGTCTGGGAGTCATCTGAGTGGACGCCTTAGAAACCGCACAAAACTCAAGTCCCCGCTAGAACCAACAGGCAAAGGCATCCTCATACTTTATATTGCCTGCCGGCGAGAAACTGGTTGATATGCGATCCTAAGGATATCCCCCAGAGATAGGAACATGTTGGGACATGTCTGTATGCGTGTATCTATGCTTGTAGTATGTACGATAAACTCACGATAGTATCTGCCGTGATTCTGTGTTTGCATATTGATATAGCTTACTTAACGGTTCATTGACATTTTTTTTTCATATGCTCGTTAACAATAAAAATAATCGTAAATATATATAGACAAAAAATCAAGCAAACTCAAACTAGTTTAACAAATGAGACACGATTCAAAGGCAGCGCCTAGAAATCTAACCAGAGGTCGAGAGTTAATATGATATGAGGGCATTTTTAATTTACTTTTATCGATTCAATTTACAGTTAATTAAACCACAGCATACCATACTAAATCGAGGCCTATGGGGCGTGATTCTAGGCGTGAATGCCCGATCGGTCTATATAGCAAAACATTGCGAATAAATATATAATAATAGTTTTGATAGATATGTTAGTTCGTTTTTTTTTTTTTTGTTTTTTGGTTTTTACGAATAATATAATTATAACAAAGTTTCATTTTCCATATCATATCCGTTTTTCATTTGCTAGGTCTCGTTTCTTGCTAGTATCATTCTAGTACAATTTTCAACTTAAAAATACATTTATTTATTTATAAATTTGGCAAAAACATAAAGGCATACTTTTCAAGTATTTGTGTATTTATGTTATGCATATGCTCCAATATCTATGCAGCATACAAAATAATATCTTTATATTATATTTCACACACATATAGCGCTCATATAAAACCGATTTCATTTGTCTAATCTGTGATATATGAGCTCTAAAGTGCTTGTAGAAGTACTGGGTGTACTTCGTACCCTGATAATCGTTTCGTTTGGCATAATTATATAAATAATAAGAGATAGATAGATTGATTGACAGAGTGATAGATAAATAGATAGATAGATAGATACGTATATAAAGTTGCTTTGTTAGTTGCGTTTTAAAATTAGTATAACAATATACATATTTAGTTTTGTATAGTATAAAGTTTCATTTCGTTAGTTTTCGTTTTAGTAACATATACATGATCGTTTCTTTTTTAGTATTATATGAAGTGGGTTCCATTGATATAAATTTTCTTTCTTTCTTCTTCAATTTTTTTTGTTTCTGATTCTCCTTCTTTGCGCAGCTATATATTGGGTTATAGCTGCAATTCCATTCAGACGCCAACTTAACCGAACATATGTTGAGTGCCTGGTGGCACCTTGTAGCTGGGATAACCGTTATTCAGTTGGTGCCTGGCAAAGAAGGTAGTGTAGTCCTGTGAAAGACAAAAGGAGTGGTTGGCAATTATAACAGTTATAGACATTTTAATGTGTTATAATAGGTCTGAGTTTATAGGACGTAACTGTAAACAAACAACAAATAAATAATGTATATTATATGAAAATTACTTAAATTATACGAATATTTAGCTAGTCTGATTCCAAAAGTCAGATGTAAAATGAGAGTTTTTTACTTAACTCTCGGAGGAGAAGACGGGAACTATATGAATAAAAAAATTTAACTTTTTTTAAACTATTTTGAGCTTAGCTGAGATAGTTGTGAATTATCAGAGTTCCACAAATATTGAACAGTTAGTATTATATAATTAAAAGTGTTATACCTCTCCATAGCGTGCCGTACTTACACGATTGACCCTTCGGGGACGGCAGACGGGGCCCAAAGCCAACAAGCGACGCTCCTCGTTTTCCTTAACAGCAGCCTCCTTGTACTCCGGCGGTGGCCATTTCAAATCTCCGCGCAATTTGCTGCCTCCTGCAAGGCATCAACTTGGTTATTAAGCTGCCACATTCAATATGGACAACTGCAACATACCCTGATAGCTGACGGCGGCTGGCTGCGAAGTGTAGACAGGCTGGGGTGTCTGTGAGACGGGTGCCTCCTTGCGCAGCGTGATGATGCCAGGACTGGCGCCACGATAGCCTTGCTGCTGATCTGTCTGATCCTGCGAGTAGGGCAACTGTTGCTGCTGCTGCTGGTGCAGCTGTTGTTGTTGTTGTGGTTGTTGTTGTGGCTGCGAATAAGAATTGTATTGCGGTTGAGCATAGTTAGCGCCACCATTTTGCTGTGGATAGGATGGTTGTTGTTGCTGTTGTTGTGGCTGATATGGCGACGTCTGATAGGGAGCCTGATATTGTTGCATCTGTGGTGGCAACTGTTGTTGTGGTTGCTGTTGCTGTTGTTGCTGTTGCCATTGCTGTTGCTGCTGTTGATGGCTATCGTTGGATGGTGCACGATATTGCTGCTGCTGCGGCTGTTGTTGTTGTAGTTGTTGTGGTACAAAAACATGCGAGTCATGGATTTCAGGTGCCAAGGTTATGGATGTATTTGTTGGTTGGTTGGTGGTTGGTTTGGGTGCAGGTGCAACAGATAAGCACAGACAGTTACAGTTACAGTTTGAGTAACAGTAACAGTAACAGTTTCAGTTAACAGAAATCACAGATGTCCAAGTAAAGAGAGAAAGAAGACAGTTGTACAGTTAAAGGTATAATGACTAGAAATGGAATAGTTAGTTAGCTAGGCAGTTGGGGATTAGGGCTTTATTTCTGTAAACATTCAATAAGCATTAGCGGCGTGTGGCGCAGTTTACAGCTAAAATTTATGCATAGAAGAAGCAGAGCAGAATATAGAGAGAGAGAGAGAGAAAGAGTGATATTTTTGGTTAATGGCAACTACAATGGATAAGTAATATTTACATTTGTATGAATATATCTATAAGCAAGGATATAATAAGGATGTAGCCTACGAAGAGTACACAACTATTTATTATAGTGTAAGGTTGTGCACTAAATAAAATGTTAAGGTTTACATGTGGCGTATTTAACGTGAATTGACAATCAAGTTGTAATGAGTCAGAATAAACCAGAAGAATCTAAATGAGAGAGCTCGACTAGAAGATACCCGGAACAAAAGTCGTTAGCTATCAAACCAACCAAAACTAATGATTTGGCTCTTGATGCTGTTCAAGAATATATACTTTATGAGGTCGGAGCTGCATCCTTCAGCCTGTTACATACTTTTGCATAGATTCATAATACCATTTTTACTCATTTTTAATTGGTACAGTGTATAAGAATGGTATCAGGTGTAAAGCAAGAGCTAACAAATTCCCGTTTAATTGTTAATGCTGTGTGTAACATAACGAAGGATCATCCAACTGCTGAGAGCAAGTAAAGAGAGCGAGAGAGAGAGAGAGAGAGAGCACAATACGAATACCAATAATCGTCAGCTGTCAGAATGCACTTTTCAGTCGCTGATTTTAACAAATAAAGCTAAGTCGCGCAATTAAAATAATTAAATTGTGTTCATTTTGTGCAATGATTGTTCGTAAAGTGTTTGAAATGTGTGTAATTGCCGTGTAATTGTTTTTTAAGTGTTTGCTAGGCAAGTGCAGCCAGCTGCATTAAAATTAAAAGGGAGAGAGAAAGAGAGACAGAGAGAGAGAGAGAGAGAGAGAGAGAGAGAGGGAAGAGAGAGATAAGCTCCCTTTAAAGTTGTTTTTACTGCTGCTTTTCTTTCTTATTTTTTGTGTGTTCGCCAAGTGAATGAAAATTGATTTGCTGCTGCTGCATAGAAAGTGCCAAAACTAAAGAGAGGATTACATGTAACATTGTTGAGTGAATTATTTCGCATTCTGCTTTGAATACATTTTAAATGCGATTAAGAATGCAATACGATTATTGCATTGATTGCATTTCTACTCTACACTTAATTGAATAAGTAAAAAGTATCATAAAGTTGTGTAAGAGAAGCAGCTCCTACCCCATATAGCATATATATGTATGTTCTTCATCAGCCACTCACTGTTTTTTTTAGTACTTTACTCAATTGCTTTTGTCAATTCGCGTATTGTGCACCACGCATAAACGAGTTTATCAACTAATTGTTAGTCGGTTAGATGGCGTGGGAAAAGGGGATTTTCAACTTTATGTGGAAAGTAGAGACAGCAGCAGCAAAAGTTTTTGTTGCATCGGGGCCAATGCCAGGCAAAGCCAGACAATAAATCCATACAGCCAAACTTGTACCTGCTGTTGATATTGTTGATGTTGCTGATGTTGTTGTTGCTGTTGTGGATATTGTTGTTGCGGTTGTTGCTGTTGCTGATAGTTCGGATATGCATTGGTTGCGGGTGCAACGCCGCCAGCAGTGAAATCATTGTGAGCCTTCGGCGCCGGTGCGCCTATATGCTTCCAGCCACCACCCACATTATGGGGGGGATGAGTGGGTTGATGTTGCTGCTGTTGATAAGATGGTTGATATTGCTGCTGGTGTGGTTGTTGCTGTTGCTGCTGCTGCTGCTGCTGTGGGTAGTGGGCGTATTGTTGGTTATCAGCAGTTGCAGTTGCAGGTGCAGGCTCCCTCGAGGGCTGTCTATTGAACTGAGCCTGTGTATATTGGATGGGTTGTTGTTGTTGTTGTTGTTGGGGATAGTTATAGTTATTAGATGGGTAGGTATTTTGGGTGGGTGCAACTGTTGCTGGTGCGTAACCATTTGTCGCATAGTTAGTAGTCTCTTGGCCATATACATTCTGAGTGGGTTGTTGCTGGTGTTGTTGCTGTTGTTGTATTGGTTGTTGTTGGTTGCGAGGCTGAACGTTGTTATAAATGGGACCCTGCAATGTTCGCAGTGAGTTTTCTCTGTTAGGTGGACTATGTGCATGTGTCTATGTGTGTGTGAGTGTGTGTGAGTGTGTTGTGTGTGTGTGTGTGTATGCGTGTGTGTGTGTGTGTTTTAAATATATATATACAGATGTGCGCCTCACCAGTTTACCCAAATGACAGTTGCAGTTACAGTTACAATTATATTTACAATATACACAATATTTACAAACTTGATAAATTCAACTAAAATAGATTGGTGTTTATTTGTGTGTGTGTGTGTGTGTGTATGTGTGTTTGTATATATACAAAATATCAAGTATCTGTTTGAGGCAGGCATCACAATTTACCTGTGGTGCAGCAGCATTCGATGGCTGATGCGAGGGAACGGGGGCTGTGGGGGCAGTTGCAGCTGACTGTGGATAGTAGCCACCGGTGCCTGGAGCCGGACTCTGCATTTGCGGCTGTGGCGTAAATTCACGCACGATTCGCTCCTCCGATGCTGGCGGCCAGGCGACACGCTTGTACCCTAAATAGAGAGCAAGAAAGACAGAAAGGGGGGGGAGAGAGAGAGAGGGAGAGAGATGCATTAGCAACTGTTTGTTGTTGCGTATATGGTGATGAATTATGTATATACACATATGTATATATACACGTCGAACTGTACATAGAGCTCTGGTAGACAGAGACATTCAACAAAATGCGGCCAAAAGAACACACGCGCACAGACGTGGGCGTTCTTCTTTTTTTTTTGTTGGCCTTGGTATGCAAAGAGACTCACACACACAAATACATAGAGAAGAAAAAGAAATATTAAAGATTGAGTGCAAGACATATAATTTTAAAATGATTTAAGCCAATTAAAAGTGTACAATTTGCAAATAAAACACACAAAGAAATTACATATTAAAGACAACTGAATAAGAAGAAGATGAAAAGTGCGAGAAATTTGATTTAATTTCGAATTGCAAATCATTCGCTGTTCTTGTTTTTTTGTTTGTTTCTTGGCTGTAGTCATTGCCTCTAAATTTAGACGAGCCGATTCAAAAACGAACTATTTGCAGCAACAGCAGCAGCAGCAACAATTAAAGCTAGAGAAACAACAACAAACCCCATCTTTGATGACAGCATTGCTTATTGGCAAAATACCTTGACAATTGTGGGGTTTGTGTCAGCAACATGTTGCAAAACTGCATGTTGCTACTGCATTGAGAGTGGTGTAAGGATTGCGTGGGTGCAGCTTGAGCAACATGTTGCCAAGCTGTTGTATAGGAGAGCTGATACTGTTCTGCAAGCAACATGTTGCCAAGCGGTTGCTGTTAAATGAGAGTGCTCTTTAAGCAACATGTTGTCAAGCTGTTGAATAGGAGAAATGCTATTGCTATTGAATCGACATGCCGTTTAATAAGGGAATTTCGCAGTCAAAGCAACAAGTTGAAAAGTTTGATTTTGTTGCATTAACATGCTGCCAATGTATGTTGCCAAGCTGATACTGTTCTGGATGTTGCCAAACTGTTAACTAAGGGCTGCTGCCCTTGAATAGAGCAGTTGGTTGCTGTTCTAGCAACATGATGACAAACACAGTTTGCCAACTGGTCAACAATGTTGCTAGTAAATGAAATTTGCACAAAATCCAGCACAATTATTAGTATTATTGTTGCTTGCTACAGTTAAATGTAAGGAAAATAAGTATTAAAGTAATTGGAATAAATTTAAAATGTTTACCCTCCATATTCTTGTAGTTTTGGTTAATAAGTCTCCACTGAGCGCCCATTTTGTGTGTGTTGGGTTGGAGTGTGCTGTGTTGTGTTGGGTTGTATTTTCTTTAAATTCTATTTAATAGCTGCTAGCTATATAAGCTGGCTACTTTATTTATGATCGAGCGCCGCGAGTAAAAATAAATTTTATTTTTCGTTCTGCTTATTTTTGTGATTTGAATTTTTTTTTTTTTTGTTTTTGGTATAAAATAACAACAAATATATAGGTGTGTGTGTGAAAAATTATAGATGCTGCTTGGATACACACACACACACACAGAAGAGACACAGAACGTGAAGAAACGCAAAGCGTTATGTAATGCAAATGCAAATTAATTAATTGATGCGTTTGTTTATCGAAGGTTGTTGGTTTGGAACACCACACGAAACTCAATTCGATATATATTTATATTCGTTAATTAATTGGCAACAAGAATTTGTTCAGCTGGCGCGCGTTTCGTTTCAATTTCTCGAATATATTTGATTTCTATTTATTTATAAGCTTCCCTTTCTTTTTTGACTTGTCGAATTTCGTATATTGATCGTTGCAAAAAACCAAAAAAAAATTGGGAAAGAAATGTTGATGAAAATCAATTTGAATTTAATTTGCTAAGTTCTAAGTTCTATGTCGAATGTTCGTTCTTCGTTCGCGTTGGCCGCGCCGATATCTTTGTGCCTTCGATGTATGCTACTAAGTGAGCCAGCCCCCCAAAAATGCTAAGGAGAATTATTCGACACGCCAACAAATCACACAATCCGAAAGCTAATCCTCACTAGTATGGGTGTCTCTATTTCTGCGTCTCTATAGAGAGTGCGAGAATAAAAACAAGTGTGTGTGTGTGTCTATGTGTGTGTGTGTGTGTGTGTATGAGTGTGTTTTTCGCAAAAAGAAAATTACTTGTGGTGTATGGTGAAAATCGCTGTGCGCTAAATACATGCAATTTAAATTGTTGTTAATGATGCTTCAGTATCTATCCAAGGCAGCTGTTTCTCTGATTCAGTCTGCCTCTGCTTCTGCTTTGTTTACACCATCGATTTGTGCCGCACCTTGAAATGCTGCACAAGGGTGTGGATCACGCAGAGACACCTACACCCACAAAAATACTTATTCTGTGTAGATGATGTTTTTCATTGCTTTTGTTCTGCTTTTCAATTATATAAATCGCTTATAGATTGCCGATTGTAAATCGGATCGTATACAAAGTACCATTCGGCATTATGGTTAATGTTCCCTCAAAGTGCAAATCAAGTGGGCGGTCAACAAATTCAAACTTGTCGCCAAAAGAGTCATGAGTCAAGTGTGTGTATATAGCTCACAAGATATATAGTCGATCCATAGCCATCTATCTATCCCGACTAGTTGGTGTGTCTAAAATTAAACGAGAAACTGTCTCTAACAATAATATGTTAAATAAATCTGTTTTTAAACGTATTCTCACAGGTGTACGACAAATGTTGGCTCATTAAAATAATTAGCAATCCTGTAAGAATACACACATTATGTACTATATACATATTTATCTACTGTATATGCCAAACAAATAAATGTCTAATGCGCTTGTTAAACAACATATTTATGTTCATGAATTACGTTCCTCTGGCTGCCAACGATCAGAGATAAGTGTAAGTCTGAGGAATGAGACTCATTAGCATGGATTTAACTTAAAAGATAAAACAAAAGGATTATAAAAAATAGAATTAATGAATGTATACAAATATATTAGCTGTGACTAATAGTTAAATGCGGGGAAACGGGAACAATACTCATCAGCTTCGATTTGTGTTCATATATAATACTTATAGATCACAGAATATATACATACATTGATTTAGAATGAACTTTTACAGCAAAACTACTTGTGACAAATATTTCAATGAGTTTTCCGAGTGGAATTCAAGATTTAGATTCTTTATAAACATTATTTGTCAGATTCCCTTTGATGTGAATGACTAACAATGCTATAAATGTATCTAGAGAAATACAAGGTGTTAAATTTGCATCAATTGAATACCTGCCAACGCTTTATTTATTATTGTATTTAGAATTGCAAAAGAAAAGAAAAAATGTAGAATTCGATGCACATTTGATAGCTCTAAAAAGTATTCTGTGCAACTCTAATAATATATCATACGGAATAACCTTTAATAACTATGTATATATAAATAGTTCGATCTTCGCATTTGAAATTCTTCAATCTGTGCGAGACCTAGTCTGTGCCTTGAAACCACCTGGCTATCATTGAAATTTGTCGTTTTTCTTTCAATATTTTTGTCTTAGTTTCTTTCTTTCTGTCAATTTCTCAGCCATACTATAAATAACAGAAAGAATAATTAGTTATCGCTCTGACAATTGGGTATATAACAAAGAATTTTGCAAAATATGCTCAGGTTTTCGAATATAAATCTTTTGAATTGAATTTAGTTAGTTATTTGTTGTTATTATAGAGAATTTTCTTATTTGACACGTGAACAAAAAGTTATTCAACATTAGAAATGCTCTTTAATTAAGGAAAAATGTCTAACTGATTTCAGATGAGCTTTAAATCTATTGAGGATAGTTAGTAACTTGAAGATATTGGTAGGGTTGCATCTTAAACAAAATTAGAATTTTGCCCATGGTGCATGAATAAAAAGTTAATTAAATATTAAATCTCAATTAAGTCACCAAGGAAATCCAATTAATACCTATAGAATCTAAAATAAATGGCAAATGAAATCTAATCAAGTCTTAAAAGATCTCGACTAAGATCTCAAATATCCTCATGGAATAATTCACTGTTTCATTCCTTAAAGTTAAACACTGTTCACAGTAACACTTTCACTGACAGAGGGAAACACATTGCGGGAAGTACTTCTCAGCATGCCACATAGAAAGTTACACATCACCTGGGGCTTTTTCAGACGCACCTTCGATGCCCAAATAGGGGCGTGGCGAAGCATTATCAAAGCAACGATTAACGCTGAAATCGCGAGTGGATTGCGGCAAATCTTCGGCACCTGCGAGCGGTTTGAAACCGCTCAGATCCACGTGGGAGCTGCTGTAACTGGGTGCTTCGGGTTGCATTCCGAGACCATGTTGCATGAGGAACTCAAAGGGTGGCGGCTGTGAGTTGCAGCGTGGCGTGGCAGGCGGGGTGGCAGCCAGCAAGGACGATGAATTGGACATGCACAGCTGCAACGGTTCGGTGGCGGTGCGCACGAGTAAACCAATATTATGCCCCTCCAGCTGTGGCACATGACTATACTTGGCCTCCACTGGAGCTGGAGTTGGAGTTGGAGAGGATCTCAGCTGCACGGCATTCAGTCCAAAAGGAGAACTGCAACGTTGCGCAGTGTCAATCAGCGGTGCAGGATATTTGCGCAACGGACAAGGACTCGGCGAGCGACTCAGTTGCCAATCTTTGGCATCTGGTGGAGCAAGTGCAGCAACTGTGACAGCTGCTGCCGGTGTGGTCACAATCTCAATTTCGCTGCGCTGACGTTGCAACGTCTTCTTTGAATCCTTTGACTGCAGCTCCTGCTCCTGCTCCGGCTGCTGCTGCTGCTGCTGTGCATCCTCCCAGAATATCTGGCGAGAGATGTAAGGACTCCGTATCTCATACGTCGATTTGTAATTGGCCAACGGCTCATTTTGTAGATTATCGAAGCGCCACTGATCTGCCTTGGTCAGCTTGCCCCAGCCGTGCGGCGAATCGCGACACTCGCCACAAATCGAGCAGTGACTGCTCCGACTAAAATCCGCACCGGCAACTGTCTCGTGTGCACAGCCAGGACTGCCCGTCTGGGTAGCTTGTGTTGCTCTTACTTGCTCCGGTTCCTTTTCCAGATTTCTCTCAATTTCCAGTTGTTGCTTGAGCTGCTCCCTTTCCTGCTCCTCCAGCTGCTCCTTGGCTGCCTTTTCTTGCTCTTCTTTCTTACCCTTTTGCTCCTTTCTTTGCTGCTCCTCCGACTGCTTCTCTCTGGCCTGCTCCTGCTCTTCCTTTTGCTGCTCTTCCAACTCTCGCTTCCTTTTATCATTCTCCTCATTTTTCTCGTTTGACTTTTGCTCCTCGATTCGCTCCTGCTCCTGCTTCCTCACCAGCAATTGTGCCTGCTCCAGATACTGCTTGAATTTGCGCCTCTGTTCCTGCCTCCGCTCTAACTCCTCTTTCCTCTCCTGTTCCTCCTTTCGCTTCTGTTCCTCTTTTCGCTCCTGTTCCTCTTTTCGCTCCTGTTCCTCTTTTCGCTCCTGCTCGTGTCCTAACTGTTCCTCCTTCTGTTCACATTCGACGCCAATTTCAGTTGCATTTATGACCAACCGTTGCTCGCTTTCCCTGTCTTTAAACAGCGATAATTCCTCGTGGCTATTTTGCTGCAGATTTTGCTGATTTGTGGCTTTCATTTTGTCTGCAGTCAGCAGCATCAGGTCCTGGCGATTTGGTGCACTTGTCTTGCCTAGCGTGGACAGCTGTTCATAGTTGGCAATTACATCCGACACATGTCTGTAGTCCAAACTGAAATCCTCGACTGCCTGCTCCGCCTCTTTCTCCGCCTCCTTCTCGTTCTCCTCTTTGACACTCACGTGCGAGGCTTGCTCACCATCCTCCCCCTCGTGCTCCTCCTCATCGATGAGTACGTGCTGTGCCCGTGCTGCAATTGGCGTTGTCTGATGCTCGACATGGAGCAGCGCGTGTTCATCGCCATCCAAAGCCACGGCAATCTTGTGCAGGTCCTCCAAAGCACGCTCTACAATCGGCACGTTCTCGGCGGGCACTTCAACCGCTTCGAGTGGCGTTTTCGCCTCCTCCTGATCCTTGGTCGACACTTGTATGCCAGCGGCGCGGCAATAAATCTGCCGTAGTATAGCCTGCAAGGGACTCTCCACGGCCAGGATTGGAGATTGGCGCGAGGCAAACATATCCCAGGACTCATTGTTGCTGTTAGTGCTGAGTGGTGCTTTGATTGGCTTTGCCGGCGCCGTTTCTATTGGTGTGGCCTGCACTGTCCGCTGCAGCGCCGTCTTTGCATTCTCCATGTACTCATCAATCTGACGCAGATGCTCCGTTATCGATTGCTGGATGTGCACATATTTCGCCTCCAGTTGAGCTATCTCCACATGCGCCTCATGCTGCAGATCCTGACCAAAGATGCCGCCCTGGCGTCGCTTATCCTGTGCAGCCCTCGCCTCCTTCGCATCCTCGCGTGACTTGGCGCGCAGTAGTAGAGATGGAGGTGGCAGGGGTGGAGGTGTGGGTATGCTTGGAGTATTACTGGTTGGTTTGGGTGCTTGGGGTGCACTCTCCTGCCGCTGCAGCTTGATGCCACTGGTGGCACTCACATATGTGGCAGGCTGATTGCCCTCATCTGAGCTGGTGTTGCTAGTTGTCGTCGTGATGGGTGGCGGCATCTTGCTCTGCTGCTGATCCTGTTGCAGATAACTGCAGGCGTCGTTGTACATCTGCCGAGCAGTTTCAACATGAACTGTTATGGGTATAATGTGCTCACAGCTTGCAGCTTGCTGTTGCAACGTTGCATTACCAATTGTGGCCAGCGCTAGAGCCATCTGCTGCTGCTGTTTAAGTGCCAGGCTGCTGTCAATTACCGTTGCTGGCTTTCTTGGCAAGCTCATCGACTTGGTGGCAGCTGTGCCAAATGCGGCAACTGTGGCAACTGTCTTCTTTGCTTTAGGTGTCTCGGGCAGCGGCAACGCTTCCAAATCGATGTCATCTGTGCATTTGGTACTCTCGCTGACCTTGGGCTCCTCCTCGCTGTCGCCGTCATAACAGATTTTCAGCTCGGTGGCCAATTTAATGCTGCGTCGTTGCACTTTGGGTGTACCACTTCCACTTCCACTTCCACTTCCATTTGCACTTCGATTTTGCCTTCCATTTTCCCCTCCATTCGCACTGCCTTTGCCAGTAGCACTTCCATTTCGTGGTTTGGGCGGTGGCAGCTCTGTGGCACCACTCAAGATCATGCCACGTTTGCGTGCCCGTCCACGCTCCAGTGAATACGATTGCCGTTTGAGTCGTGGGCGTGTGGGCGTGGCTGTTTTTGGGCGCTGTTGCATCAACTGTTCGTAGTACTCGCATTTGGGCGCCACCAAACCTAGATCAGCATCAGCTGCTTTCGTCTCAGGTGCAGAGAAACCTTTCGCTTGTGGTGTGGGATTGGCCTGCTCCTCCTGCAGCTGCAGCTGTTCCTCCATTTTGGGTGTTCTGGGTCGCTGCTGGCGCTGCTCTCGCGGGGAGAGCTCCACAATGCGTGTGGGACTATTGAATTTCTCGCGCAGCACATCGATGCTGTGCGAGGGTGATGCAATGACACCTGCTCCTGCTCCAGCTGCTACTGCCAGCTGTTCCACTGGTGGCCAGCTGTGATCCCGCCTGAGCAGATGACGTCGTGACGTTGACAAGCGATTGATGCGCAACACGGTGTCCCGATCTATGACAATATCATGCTGATGACTCAGATACTGTGTCTTGATCTGGTCCAGCAGCTGCTGATGCAGCGCAGGATGTGGCGCCTCCAACTGATTGCCACAATCCGTGTGCCGCTGACGCGAGCGACTCTGACGCACATTAGCGAAAAACTCATGTGCTTAAGGGTTATGGTTTAATTAAAGCGGTTAATATTTATACTAAGTCTAGACGGCAAACACTTGACGAAGGCGTCTGTGTGTGTGCGCGTGTGTGTGGGCGTGGGCGTGGCATAATTTTGTTGAATGTCTAAAACAAGGTTTCTCTATGTTGTTGTTGTTGTTTGTCGTGTTGGTTCATACACTGTAACAAAAATACAAACACCAATTGAGAAGTGGTTGTTGTTGTTGTTGACCTACCACATTTGACTTGCTGCTCCTCCTCCTCGACGGCACGCAGAACAGCCGAGTTGGCCAGATTCAATGGTTTTGTGATCTGATCGTCGATTTCAATCCTATGAATAAAAACAACAACATGTTTAGAAATGAGTTATTAATCAGCTTAAGTACACAAAATTCCATCAAGATAATGCCTCACAACAATTTCCACATGTGTCAACAAATAATTATGATAACCTTTTAAGAGCGACCCATTTCGAGGTTGACGTTGCCAGAGATAAGCCAATTAAGAATGCTTAAATTGAATTTCAGTACATTTTTGATTGAAAAACAAGCTTGCATTTTCTAAAATTCAATTTAGTAAATTGTAATCATTTTAATGTTATGCACAAATTGCAGACAACGTTGATGATTTTATATTCATTTTGTACATTTTCTACACTACAAAAAGTACAGGTTAAATTTATAAACTAAAAACTAGATGCTAGAATCTAAACCATAACAAAATATAACATAAATCATGAAAATCGCATGATTTTTGACCAAGTTCTGGCATAAAAGCAAAACAAATTTGCGCTTCTTCACTGTCCAAATTATAGCCATAGGCCAACCAAATTTATTTAAATTTAAACATAAACACTTTCCAGCTGCGGAGTACTCAGAGAGAGAGAGGCAGATACTTGAGTTTTAAAAGTGGATCTCAATTTATGAAAAAGATATTCGTGTCAACTTTCTAAAAATAGAAATTCTGCCGTCATTACAGTTGTGTGAGCACTGCCTGACAGTTTGAGTGTGACTGTTGTACTGCTTGCTGCGTTGTGTGCGCACTGCTTGCGCCAGCTGTGTATATAAATAAAACATTTTGGCGCGCTGTGAACCGCTTAAGTGCGCAACCAGACGAATCAATCCAACAAGACCGTGTGGCCTAATGGATAAGGCGTCGGACTTCGGATCCGAAGATTGCAGGTTCGAGTCCTGTCACGGTCGAAGAGAATTACTTTTTTTTCATATTTTTTTTGCTCATTCCCATACATTTCCATATTTATTTTGTTGCGTTTATTCCAAGGTAATTTGATGTTGTTGTTATTTTTGCATTTTTTGTTCGAGTCTTGTTTACTTCTACTTATATAAATAATTAATTAGCATAACTTAGTACGACCCACGTATGATTGACCCAAAACACGTGCGCCACAGGTAAAACTAATCGAGTCTGACAAGCGGCGGCAACAGCCAGCAAACTTGGATATAAAAGCGATTGCTGCTCTAGGAGAATATACCACATCCTGTGCAGCATTTAACCAGGCAACAATATCTCAACAATATCCAACAAGCAAAGATAATGTCGAAAATGAGCAAACAAACACAGCTGCAACAGTTGGCGGTGCTAATGATGCTACTACTGGTGCTGCCGGTGGCATTCAACAGTGTGTCGGCTGTGTACACGATTCAGGCTTGCGGCTCCCAGCTATCGGATGTACTCTTCGGTGTCTGCCAGGGTCGCTTCGAAACTTTTCGGTACCAAAAACGTGGCTCATGTGAGTAACAGCAGCATCAGCAGCTGAGGATTGAGATTAACCCAGTTTTTTATTCGAATTTGCAGTGGATCTCTTTGACTATGTGGAGCATCAGCAACAGGACGAGATTAGCAATGGCATTGATGGAGATGAGATTGGCTTGGGCTGGCCACAGAACTCCATAATGGCCACCAGGCGTTTGCCGCGTGGCGTTGTCGACGAATGTTGCCGCAAGCCCTGCGTCTATATGACAATACGCAAGTATTGCTCAAACTAAACGTTACAACACACTTATTCTCTGTATTCTAATTCATATTTTCTATATATATCTCTCTATATATATCTGGATATGTGTATGTTTATGTATGTAGTCCTATTAAAGCAAATGTTCAACAAAAAAGAATCTCTTCTTTCCACTCATGCAACGAAATCTAGGCACAAAAAAAATTGAAATTAGATACAGCTGAAGTGAGAGAAAGACTGGCTTTCAGAGATAGAGAGTGAGACAGAGAGAGAGATAGAGAGAAAAAGAGAGGAAGAGGGACAGGGGGAGAAAGAGATAGAACAGTAGAACAGCTTTGACTTTGTTTATATTAAAAGGTTTTTGATTTCGGCACAATAAAATAAAAGGAAACCAGATACAGCAAATTCTTGGCTGAAGAATTGGTCTGCGATTTAACATCGAAAGAAAATGAGAAATATATATATAGAGCGAGAGAGAGAGATAGCTAGAGAGAGAGAGGGAGAGAGAGATAGCTAGAGAGAGAGAGTTGTGATATCCTTGGAGTTTTCAGTTTGAATTCAGCTCAAATACTCTAAATTCGTATAGGGAACGAGAGAGATTGTGTAAGAGAGAGAGAGAGAGAGAGAGAGAGAGAGAGAGAGAGAGAGAGAGAGAGAGAGAGAGTGACAGAGTTCAACGTAGCTGAGATAGCCTATAGAAGTATAGAGTATCTTTTAGTTTACTTATTTTAAAGGAAATCAAATACAGCTCAAGTCGCACAACAAATGCTTAACTAAAGAATTGGTCTTTAATTTAACTTTGATGGAGAAAGAGAGAGAGAGAGAGAGCTGAGATACCCTGTAGAACTAAATAGAGAATACTCTGAACTCGCAGTAAATATGAAGTTCGTTCAATTCATTATGTTCTCTGCGGTATTTTAAAAGGTTCGTTTAATTTTTCACAACGCGCTTCGATTTGATTGATTTGACAAGAGCACTTCACTTCTTTGAAGCACTTGGATTGAAAATCAAGTTTGGCAGCTGGTATTTTATTTTATAGCCCATTTCCGCACTTGTTAAGTGTTGATATTTAAAACTTCCCCCTCAAAACAAGTTTTTATTTATTTTCTGGTCTTTCAAGTGGTTTATGGACATAATATCTGCTAGATTTTTGCCCTGATGTGAACTTTTTGAGTTTAATTACAAATACTTTGCGCACTTCGTATGCTTTCTATACGCTGTAGCGATGCTTCACTGTCCATTTTAGAGCAGCTACTATGAGTCACTTGCGCAATGGCAGCCAGTCAAAAGATGCATCACAACTTTTTTGGCTAGGCGCCTGCATTGTTGTGTTTGTTGACAATGTTGTTGCTGTTGTTGCTGTTGTTGTTGTTGCTAATGATATATCCCCCGCCAACCCCACCCCCAGCACTCTATCGAGTGAGTCATCGATCGTTAAAGTATTGTTCAACACTTATATAAAATGCTTAACCAAGTATCTTTTTAGCAGATACATATTAACATACATTGTGAAAGGCGGCGCTGGAGTTTTGTAGTTGTTGCTGTTGTTGTTTAATATTGTTGCTGTTGCTGTTGTTATTTTTGTTGGCCCAAAGAGCTAGCAGCTAAAGACTTGATAAGTTGTGTGCACACGCGAACGCGTTTAAAGTCTGTTTGCGTTTCGCGGGACGATTATTTTCACTTGCGCTCTGTAATTAAATTGTTAAGATACTTTTGCTGCGGCTGTTTGCTGCCACTGCTGCTGCTGCTGCTGCTACTTGCTGCTGCTGCTGCTTGCTGTTGCTACTCGCTGTTGCTGCTTGCTGTTGCTGCTTGTTGCACACGTTTTGTCGCACGCATAGACACCGTATAACTGAAAAGCTACTTGGCGCAGTTTAGGCCGGTTTATTCAAACAACACTAAAACTTTTGCTAACAACACAAAATGCCAGAGATAATAATGGGCGCTTGTTGTTGCCCATTTTGGCGGCGACAGCAACAACTACACACTCACACACACATACATATACAAATTTCAAGTACACAGCATCTTTGAGATAGACGTAGTTGTTGTTGTTGTTGTTGCTACTTATGTCTACCTCTTGATAATCACAATTAAAAGTCAAGCGAATTAAATTGTACGCTCTCAGTGTGTATCTATGTGTGTGTGTGTGTGTGTGTGTGTGTGCGTGAGATACAAATTGAAAAGCAACTGCAACTACAAATCGCCAACAGTTGTCGTTTTCGCTGCTCGCCTCGCTGCTGCCGTCGCTGCTTGCGCTACGCTGCAGTGCACAAAATACGCTTCACAGTTGCGCTATATCATTCACCAGATATATATATATATATATATATAGGTATATATATATATCTGTGTGTAGCATATTCTATATACTCGACACATTAATGTCTTTTCATGTGCACCTGTGCAGGCAGCCAGCTAGAAGGCAGTTTCAGCTTCAGCTTCACCTTCAGCTTCAGCTATAGCTATGGCTAATAGATACAAGATGTAATAGCTACCTAGGATGTCGAAAGAATTTTTTCCTTTTTTTTTATTTATGTGGTGGGTGGGGGGCAGCTAACTAAGGTTATGACTTGTGTCTTAGAGTCTTGGCACCCTTTTTATACCCCGCATCTATTCAAAATGGGTGAGCGGGTCTGCTGAAGTTGGAAAAAAGTATATAGCGACCATATAAAATATATATATATATTCTTGATCGAGTCAGTATCTGGTTGGGAATGTAAGTTGTAGTATGATGAATGCAGATCGAGTATATTCTTTTAACGATAACTGCTGTCATTCTGTGAATAGATTGTCAATAGCAATCACAAAGATAAAGTCTTCCAAATGATATATAAATATATTGATAAACTCTAAAAATGTCATTAGTAGCAAAAGCGAAATATATTTAATTTAGCATAAACAGAAAGACTACTCTCAGTAAGCCTATTATGGATTTAATAGCTGTTGAGCTCAGCGAAAGCATTCTAGCTATATTATTATACCCTGCAGGATTTTCAAAGCAATAATGAGGCTGTCATCCAATTGTGTAAAGGCAGAAGTAGTCATTATCGACTGTATATCTGCCAGCTAAAGATACTTAATATTCTTGGTTAACACTGCTGATATCTTACAGGATACAGGATAACTCTTAGTTGAGCACTCTCTCTCTTGGTCTATCTCTGGCCAGGAGCAGCTTTAGTTATTATCTTGACGGTTACTACTAGCGGCCTTTCATCTTTCACTTTCGTTTTCGCTTACGCTTTGGCTTTGACTTTGGCTATGGCTTTGGCTTTGGACCGTATTCTATGAAATTATGCATTTAAATGTATATGGGAATCATTAAGCTGAACTTACCCGTCGGCCCCGAAGGCCTTCAGTTCGCGATTCAACGTTGCCTTCACGTTCTCCTGGGAGTACAGGCCCATGGGTGAGTTGAATTGCTTGTGCACAAGTTTGCGTTGTACGGCAGCCATTTTTTGTTGTTGTTGCTGTTGTTGTTGTTGTTGTTGTTTAAGTTGTTGTTTCAGTTGTTGTTGTTGTTTGGCTTTTCTTCAGTTGAGTCTCTGCTGCTTTTCTGTTCAGCTGTTTATTCCCTTTTAGCTTTTGCTGTTTGTTGTCCGGCTTGTGTTCGAAAAACTTTTAAATTATTGTTGATAAAAATATTTTAAGATTTCAACTTTGGCGCGTGCAAGTTACTAAAACAGAGACTAGACCACTTATCGACTACTTAACAATTGACTTTCAATTTGTTGTTGCTGTTCTACTTCGACTTCTACTTCTAAAGTATTTCCCCAGCTTCTGCTTAATTTAAATCGTTAATCGTAGTTCGTTGTTCGTTCTGCAAATAAGAGAAAATTAAATATAACTTATTAGTCAAATGATTTGGTAAAATGAATTTGGTAATCATTTGAGAGTTTTGTGTTTTGTGTTTTGTGTTGAATTACTTATGACTTAGGGTTCATTGTGCGTTCACAGTGCGTACAGTGAATGTCGAAAGACTCATTTCCGGCTCATCAAGTTCCGTTTTACAATACACATATATATATATTTTAAATATTCATGTCATCGGCAATGTGCAACACACACAAACACAGAAACACACAAGGTTAAATATCGAAGCCCCTGTTGACAATTTAATCCCCACATTACGCTGAAAATTTATTGTCATGCCTTCAGGAGTTGAGAATTCAGAATTGAGCGACTTTTTTTTTTGGATATTAATAACAATAAGATAAGTCAATTTATTTAAGCTGATGGCCCATTTAATTGGTATTTGCATCTTCAATTATTAATGGCTTAAATCAGCGCAGAATAGTTATAATATTTATTCATAATTCCATTTATAAATTTGCTGCAAAATGCGCCCAAAATCTAATTGAGCACAAAAACAAACAACAATTTCGAATTGGTTAAATAAAATAAATGCATGCAATCAAAAATTCATTGTTTAAAACAGTTTGCTTAAAAAAAGACAATTTGGTATGCCAAATATATATATTCAAAATTAAATATGTGAAATATTTATTATTTCAAATGGTTCCCATGGTTCGGCAGCAAACAGCTTCAATGTCAGTTTTTTTTTAGCCGAATAGTTATATATAAAACATATATAATTCCACACATATATAATTATATGTATACAACATATATTCACTGGAAGCATTCTCAATCAGATATAGTCCACACTATGTGCATTTTATGTGTATTTTTCGAGTAGTTTTCTTTATTTTTGGGTGACATAAATCTTTTGTAATTATGATTCTCATTATTTGTGCTGGCTTACAGCAGCTGCAAGCAAATTACAAAATATTTCTGTCGTTTGTTTTTCAAATTTCTTATAGAGAACACTCACTACTGTCACATTTAAAAATGTATCTTAAACTAATTTGAAAAGCACTTTTTGGCCAGCTGAAATATTATTATTTTATATGTTAAATATTTGTGCTTGCTGTCTTTTTTCCTTTTTTTTTTGTTGGCTATAAATAGAGGCAACAACGTCTTCGCATTGAGATATGCTCACTTTTTTGCTATTCTAATATTTTCCACACACACACACATGGACTTAAATACTCATTCGAGTTGTGCTTTTCCTCTCCCGCTCTCTCCTCTCGTGCACAAACAAATTCCCGCCTCGTGTGTCACCTCAAATAAAATTAGCAACGTTGAGCGAATGGCATTATATAGATTTGCGTCATTTCTGTCTGTCCATATGGCTATATGTCTATAGTTTATGTCTAGCTGTGTTTGTCAGTTCTTCTTTTGTAGATATATAGAAATATAAATATGTGTATATATATATATATATGTGTATATATAGTGTGTGGACTGTTTACGTACATAATTCCAATTTTAAGTCTCGTTGCGTTTATTGCAATGCAGCTCAAATAAAATTATACAAAATATATGTATTTCGCAACAGCAAAATGGCCAGATTGTGATGCATTGGAAAATACCATTGAGTTGCTGAGAGAAATATATTGGAATTTGCATTCACACATTTTAGTATAAAATCAACAAAATTACAAAATGCATATACAATTCAGCTTTTGTATGTGAGTCAAAAAGTCCTTTAACACACAAAGGTGCAGACAACATTGCTCTCAATGTTACGTCAAGATCTCTGTATGTTACTCAACAGAATCGTATATTTCACTCTCCAGCCATGTTAATGGCATTTAACAGTGTGAAAAATTGTGGGTGGCATTATGTTAATGCGATTACTTATTTGATTGTCAATAAAATGTTCATTCTTTGCATATGTGTCTCTAAAATGTTTACATACAATACAACTTTTATACAGAAGTATGTAAGAAATCCTTTTGCCTACAACTGTGCTGCCAAAATTGCTCTCAATATTAAGTGATGATCTCTTTATGTTAGTTAACAGAAATGCTATCACTGTCGTATACTTGACTCTCCAATCATGCTAATGGCACTTTAAAGTGATAAATTGTGGGTGCTATTATGTTAACGTGTCCCTACAATATTTATATACAATTAAAATTTCTATATTTGTTTATGTTACTAAACGGAACTGTTTGCTCTCTCATAAATTGTACTTTTCAGGAATGCTAATGGCTTTTGACAGTGACACAATGTGGATGGCATTATGTTAATGCGATTAATTATTGATTGGATGCTCTGTAAATGTAATAAAATGTACATTTTATGCAGATGTGCACAAATAACATGCGTCAGACTTCACCAAATAGCAATTAAGTGGACAACTCGCCCAAAAGCCATTTGTCCGAAAAGAATTCAATAAATGTGCAAAATTCTTACAGCCGTATATATATATATATATATATATATATATATATATATATATATTGTGTGCGCATTGGATGTAGGGCAGACAAAATGTGGCAGCAAAATGCAATAAAATGCTTAGCTCGTATACTTGAAAATACCTAAAAACATATGCATACACACATGTGTGTCTGTGTGTGTGTGTGTGTGTGTGTGTTCGTTGATTCGTAATTTGTGCGTTTTAATTGAGCTGATCGCAAGCGTTGCCGGCAGCTGTTCGTTCAAATTGCGAACTTATGAGCCACAATTTTGCATATGTATGGATGCACCCAAAAGCACGCAACACTCTTTTCCTCTCACTCTCTCTCTCTCTCTCTCTCTCTCTGTGTGTGTGTGTGTGTGCGAGAAAATTAATCAGAATTTAATAAAATATTATGCAAATCACACACACACGCACACATTGTGCGAGGTAGCCCATATAATACATTTGTGCTGGCCACTTGATGTCCCAATTAAAGTTTTACATTCGCCCACACACACACACACACGCACACGCACACACACGTAAGGCAGGTGTACTTTGCATGGTATTAAAAGTGCACATGCATTGTGCGAGAAAACTCGCATAAAAATTGCAGGCGCAACATAAAAAAAAAATAACGTTTCCAAAAAGTAGCTGCTGCTGCTGCGTGCCTTGTGGGCGTGGCCACCCACTGAGCAAATACACACAAAAATACACACGCACACACAGAGAGAGAGAGAGAGAGAGAGTGAGAGAGAGAGAGAGAGAGAGGGGCTACAAGCTGCAGCTGGCATATGCAGTTATTATTCCCCGGAACCCATTAAAAATGTTTAAAAGGGTATAATGAAGTTGTGGAGTGGTGTGTAACAGGCAAAAATGCAGAAGAAGCAGAATCAGAAGCTGCGAGTCCATCAGGTATATTATATATTCCTGATCAGCAACAACAGACGAGCGTCGATTAGTTCTGTTGTCTAAATAAGTCGAACTCAGATAGAGTTAGAGACTTCAAATTCTGAATGGAAGTTCTTGTTCATAATAATTATATATATTATTGTCTATATATCTATTTATTATTTATTATATATACTTATTATTGTTATTATTATTTATTGATATTATTTTGTTAGTATTTAAGGCAATAGTCTCTAAATCTAACTAAATCTGATATTAATAATCTAAAGATTTTACAATTACTTTTAATCATTTTCCTATTTCCGATCTGATATTCATATTCTAAAGACATTAAAATCAGTTTCTATCATTTTTCCACTTAATTTTAGATATGTTAAATTCAATATTCCTTTATTTCAATTAATTTGTTTTTCCAATTTGTTTTTCATTGATAGATTTTCCTACATAGCCTACTAATATACCCTGACATGTTGTGCATCAACTGTAGAAATTTCTCATTAACTTATTTCAATATTTAACAAACAGTTACTGGCATAATGGTATATACACCGTCGAGCTCATCTCTGCATCGAGTGGGGAGCCTTCTAACTTGTTTTTTGCATGGCGCGTGTAGAAACAATAAAGACGAGCATTGCATTAAAATCAGGTGCAAATATTGTTGCTTTTGCACCGGAGCGCATAAATTGCACACATATATCCTATGTATCTATGCATTGTATCTGTGTCTCTATTTATGCAGCAGCCTGTGGTATGACAGACAGAGACAGTGATGTGGAGAGTAGTGCATATTGTTTGATTTAATTATTAGCCGAGAGTGTTTTGTTTGCGTTTTACTTTCGGTTGAATTGTTGAAATATTTCATCTAATTTGCTTAGCTCGCCGCGGGCGCTTTCAAATTCTAATTAAAACATATCATTAAATTGTTGCGATTGTTGCGTTTTCTGTTTTCTGCTTACTTACCGTCTTTTCCAATTGCGCTCCGCTTAATCCAATAATAATGCGCACAACAAAAAAGAGTGGACGGAGAAGAAGAAGAAGTTCGCCTGGTGTCCTTGCGCCTGGTTTGCCTTTTCGCCTTTTACATTGCTGGCGCCTCTGCAATTTTGGCTCGCGATTCGCAATTGCATTTCAATTGCAAATATGAACACGACGCAGCAAGTGGCACAAAAAACTTAAATCCCGGACACGTTTCATTTTTTTTTTTTGTAGGGAGGTGAAGCGGAGGTGGGATGGGTTGGGTTGGGATGGGGATTTGGGGCGCCACACGATTCTGGCGCGGCCAACACGGCCAACCGGCGTTTTATGAGCGCACCATAAGCGAACTGAACTAAACTGAACTGAACAGAACTGAACAGAATTGAACTTAATTGAATTGAATATAACACGGCGTCGTCGAACTCGACCGCAACTCAATTCAACTGGTCGCATGCGGCTGCCACTGCCACTGCCACTGGTGCTGTGGCAGCCACTGCGGCTACAATGGCGATATTGTTGGACGATTCCGAACACTAGACTCAAATTCAAATTCTAAATGAAAACGAAAATGAAAATGAAAATGAACATGAAAATAAAAATGAAGAAAAACTTTACGCAATGATCATGCGTTTTGAGTGCGAGTCGCTTTCCAACATATCACACATCCTCAACTATCTATATGCAGAAGCGTATGTGTGCATGTGTGCATGTGTGTGGCTGTGTGTGTGTGTGATGCTCGCACAGTGGTGTCCACAAATAAAGTGCCAGGTAAATCTATCAAAACTGTTGCCATTTGCAAGTACTTAAAATGTACAAATATATTACACATTATGTTTTTAGAATTCATTTCAGTCTAAAACTATCGATTCTAAGTAGTCTGCAATACATTTAGAAAAACGAATTATATTTTGCTTGCAGTGCATTCAAATCCCAGTTAATCCCCATTTAATTAAAAGCTGTACAATCGTTTAAAAAGAAGCTTGCCTCTGCAATGCTTAAAGAGAAACATTAAATAATGAACAGTGGCGTCCATAATTAATGTACCTGCTCATCACTCAAAAGCAAGCACATCTATCAAAGAACTGTGTCCATTTGCGAGTACTTTTTAAAAGTAAAATGATTGAAGATTTCGCTTCTAAAACTTGGCAGCTGTTTCTCTATTATAAACATGGCGCTTCTAAGAAATCTAAAAGCGCCCAAAAATATGCTCAATAGATTTTTTTTATTGCATTTAAAAGCTCATCTAATCCCAATTTAATATACAAGAACCATGTTTATGCGATCATAAAAAATAAACATGACGCTCTCAAAATTAGCGTTGATCAAATAGATATAGAAATATTTTGGCAAGGTGTCAAGAAGCATCTGATTAATGTTAGCAGATAGACGTATCCATGTATCGGTCTGCCACCTATGAGAAATGACTCAATGCTCAATTCTTTATAGCTGATTGTCAGCTTAATGCAGTGCACCCTCATCCCCAACGGACTGACTGATTCATATGTGATACATACATTTGTATCTTGGCCCAGTGCAACTTGTGGCGTACACCACTGTAGCCCTGTCAAAAGCACGCACACAGATAAATTAAATTTATATATATATATGTGTGTGTGTGTTTTTGCCACACTTCGACAGCAGCAAAAGCCGAAACAACATGAAGAACAACAACACAATTTCAGACACTTGAAAGTAGTTTTGGGAATATAGTTCACAAATGCGATGAAAAAAGCACAAATGAAATATGAAAAGGAAAATATGTTTTGCAGCAGAAGAATTGCGGTTCGTCAATGGACTTGTGGCAGGCAGATACAAATGCATTCAAAAGACACATCTATATGTATGTATATATCCATCTATCTAGCTATGCGTGCTCTGTATCTGTGTGTGTGTGTGTGTGTGTGTGTGTGTGTGTGTATCTTTTCTGTGGCCTCGTGGTCGATTACAGCAGTTTTTACTTGTGGGCAGCTCCACAAAAAAAAATAAAACAAACAACAAAAACACGTCTCTAATATTCTATTTTTGAGTTCAATTCGTTATTTTTGTTCTTTTCTTTTTCTGTCTTTCTGGTCCACGTCGCAACATTTTTTATTTTTATTTTATTTTATTTTTTTTGTTGCTTTTCTTCCACGTCCAACAAAAAACAAACACCATTTTGAAGCATTTTAGTTTTCTTCACAGTTTTTCTTCCACGTAAATAGAAATGAAAATCGTAAAATGTCGTTTTGCAGTTGCAGTTTACATATATTATATATGTATATATATATATTTAATATTTTTCTGTATCTTTGCTGCTAAATGGTGCCTTAAATGCTAATTAGCTATTTGGTTCATATTATGACTGTGCAAGTCTTATTTCTTTTCTTGCGCTTTTCTTATTATTATTCATTTTTTGTATATTTTCTTTTAATGTTGGTTTTCAGTTAATTTAATTAAATTTTGATTTCGGCACTTTTCAACAATGCTCGACTTGTTGGCAACGTCTGCTTTTGCTGCTTCGCACAGTAACACAATGCACAATGCATTTACACACACACACACACGCACACACACACACGCATAAGGAGTTGATTGACACACACATCACACACACACACAGACACACACCTGCGTTGTCAGTACGAGTTCGAATGCGAAACTACGAGATATTCTTCACAGCCTGCTGAGTTGATTCTCTGTGTGTGTGTGGTTCTGTGCAGGTGGTGCAAGGTGCAAGGTGTGTGGTGCTGTGTGGTGACCACGTTCGCGTTGCGTTGCGAATTATTATTCTTACTCGCCGTTCACCGTTCACCGTTCGTTATTCGTGTGGCAGTGTTCTCAAGCAGCATTCAACACTTTTGCCCCCAAGTCATTTCCATCCACAAAAAAAAGTTCGCAAAAGCAGCGAAAAAAAGTCGCTGCTGACTGCTGACTGCTGCTGCTGCGGCTTGCTCTTTTCTTCATGGAAAATGGAAAATGATGACACACACACATCTACACTGGCGAAATACACATGCTGAGACAACACCTACTTAGTACTTATACTACCTACCAAGAACATCATCCCCCGCCCACACACACACTTGCTTATAAATTAGTCCGAACGACTGAGGCTAATCGCGTATTTTGATATAGCCTCCAAACTAAAGAGCCTCCTGCACAAACGCAATAAATATTAGCCATTCACACATACTTACACACACTCACACACTCGCACACACAGTCATAAGTTTTCTATAGCACATACCTAATTAAGTACACTATAAAGCAGCGATATATGTACGATACATGTTTCTAGTTGTACACATGTATTTATATGCGTGCTTTTTTAAACATTCAATATTTATTTTTGGCCTTTGGAAAGCCATTTTAAAACTGATTCGCATACACTGCAAGGCGTAGGGTTTTATGGCTTACCTGAAACAGTTTGTGTTCCAGTTGGCAATTGCTATTCGATTTGATTTGTAGTTAATTAAATTAGGTTTACTTATTTGTAAATGTTGTCGAATTTATGATTACATTTATTATGAAGAAGTGCCACCTGAGCATAAGATTCTTTACTTAAGCATCACTGCTAGATGCTCTTTTAGAAACATTAATTTTTATTGATCAGATTTAATGTTCAAACGGAGCAAACTGAGAATGTTCAAGTAATTTTCAAGGTTGTCTTCCAGGATTATTTATTGATATCATATATACTACAAGGCTGGGCAAAGTGAGCTGGGAAAGTATCTTCTTGTAACAGGCGCTAAGAGTTCTATCAGATACTAAACTCAAAATTCCTTTAAAAGATTATGTATAAATATATATAGCATATAGAATGGATGAGGACCTACCAATAATAGTCAAAGTATAATCATAGTCATAGTGTATAATAAGCTAATTTCAACTTAATGAACTAGTCAACTGCTCTCTTTGCCAGGGCATCTGTCAGTCGTACCATGTCATCCACCCCCACTCATTGGGTTGTCTTGTTTTTCTATTAACACCCCGCTCCTGCCGCATGCCTGTCATATATTTAAGTTTTATGTCTTTATATATATGTTTTCTGGAAATATATTTTGGTTAAGGTGGAGCAAGTATAACCAAGACTTGTTGTTATGCTCAAATGAAGCACATTTCACACAAATAAACAAACAAACGCGCAAACACACAGACACACACACACAGATACACACACACATACACACACACACACACACACACACACACACACACATAGACATACATTTCAGTTTATTATGTGGTTTTGTGGGCAGCAGCTGAATATGCAGTGCGGTCAAGCGCATCAATTAGTGCATTCGAAATGTCTGCTATGCCTGTGTGTTGAGTGTGTAGAGGAACACACACACACATACACACACTGAAATTCATCGGTGGCACTCAATCGGCAGTCAGGTGATCAATCCCACCAGCCAAAGACCGAAAGAGCCACAGAGCACCTGACAGCCAACTAAGCTGCTCGAATTTTCATTTTAGTATTTCACGCTACAAGGCAAACGAAAAATACATATGCAAAAAATATATATATATTAAAAAAAAACACATACATATATGCTTAATGTTTGTGAATGATTAATGGGACATTAGAATTGAAATTGTTTTGCTCATGTGGCAGCAACGGGTGGCAGTGGAGCGGGGCACATTGCAGAGAGAGAGCAACTCTTTGCCAAGCGCAGCAGCAGCAGCTAAAACAACAACAGAATATACTACATTTCCCATAATATACAAATATTTATTTGCCATTTTTTTCTCCGCTTGCCCAGCCGCAGTATTTTCTTCTTCTTTTTTCTTTTTTTTATCCCCCTTTATGGCCAGCACTCCCCTTGGCCATGGCAAGCCGTTCCCAGGCAGTGCCAAATGGATGTGGCCTTCTATGAGCATGCTGAGCAGCTGGCGGCCAACAGGCAACCTGCTACCTGCTACCTGCTGGCAAGAGGCAAGAGGCAAGAGGCACAGAGCCAAACAGGTGAGTGTTTATAATATGCATGCCAAAGTGTGCAAGCTGAAAAAAATGCTGGTGAGAATACTAACGCCGAACACACATATAGCAAATAACACACACTTCCACACACCTTTCACTATTATGGTTAGTAGAGCATGTGCTTAGGGTATATCTGTAGTTATAGTTATTGTTTTGTGGTTGCCGAGAGTTGAAAGGTTTCTTATTGTTGTGCAAAACTTGCTAACAAGCTGCCTGCTCGGCTGCTTTTAAACTATAATCCTTATATATATATATATTCTTGATCAGTTTAAGCCACATGTCCACATATCCTAGGCATTGCTGGCTTTCTGTGTAAGAGGCTATCAGAAAAGTTTGCAAAACTGCAGTCAAACTTCAACTTTTGTTTTAATTGAGCTATAATGAAAAATTCACAAGATTCAAATTTATATTTATTAGCTGAATTTATAAGTTTTTTATTTCTCAATTTCAACTTTAATTTAATTTAAAATATATAATGGGAAATGCACAAAAATATATGATTTAATTATAAGTATTTTTATCAATGAAAATGGCAACATTTCTGGTGATTAAGATAAATCTGCAACAGAGATCTAACTTAGTAAGTAGCTTTAATTAATCAATTGCAATTTTGTACAAACATTCGCCACAATAATCTTAATATTCACAGTTTATTCACAGTGCCTTATCAAGAGCACATCTGCAGCTAAATCGAGCAATCATTTCTAATTCACATATGTATGCAATGATTGTGGAGCAGCTCATTAAAATACACTTAGCAAAGAGAACACTGTAATTAATATACGATTCAATTGTTGAGCGAAACTCATAATGTGGCATTTGAGCAAACAAACTTGCTGATTGAATTACTCTAATTAATATTTGGCATGCGAATTTAGTCGAATTTTGTTTGCACTCCAAGTTGAAACGAACTTGCTTTAATTCAAATGAATATGAATTAATAATTACAATTGAAAGTGTATATTAAGCCACAAATGAAATCTGCATAGTTTTGGCTACTTGCTTACAGGGTGTCAACAAGTCGGGCAGTCGCAATAACCACATCCTTAATAGTTGTTTATGCTTATGTGCGAGCATTTGCAAAAGTTGTCTGCGCTGTTGCATTACAAGTATTTGCTTAGTTAGGTGTTGTAGGTGTTGTTCCTGCCATTGCTGTTGCTGTTGCTGTTGTTGCCTGTGGAGGACCAAGAACTGTGCGCAGAAGCCAAATGAATGGGTAAATACGATGTGATGGGAAACCAAGATGGTTCTCAACCGAAAACCCCAAATCCAATCTCAGATGGACTATGGCAGGGGTCAGGGGAGAGGCGTTGGGGAATAGCAGAGAACTTTTGCCAAATTGCAGAAGCCGCAAAAGCCAGCAAACAGTTTTGTCCTCGACTTCTACAGCGAATTCGGATGAACAAGTGATTGGGATGAAGGACAGCTGGTGGAAGGATAGGAAGGGAAGTTTGCAATCTAAGATTGACTAAGAGTTGTTAGAAATTTCTTAATAAACTTTAATGACTGCGGGTTGTGTTGCAGTGACAGTTGTTGTTGCTGTTGTTGCTGCTGCTGTTGTTGCAAGTGCAACTTTGATAGACCTGATAAAATGAAGCGCCTGAAAGTATGCAATAAGGAGCCCAACATATATCAGGTGTGCTGTGGAAAGAGGTTGGTGGTTGCTGCTTGATGGTTGATGGCCGATGGTTGGTGGTTGGTAGTTGGTGGTTGGGGATTGGGGGCTATAAAAGCAGGCTGTCTAACAAATACGCCAATATCAAATGCTAGCGTAGATTTCGCCAATAATTTACTTGGACAGCACGTAGCACCGAGTGTCACGCATGCAGCGGGAGCAGCAACGGCAGCAGCAGCAGCAGCAGCAGCGGTAGTGGTTGGGCAAATTGGAGACAGGCAGTCGAATCGTTCGTTTGTGAACGGGGCATGCAACAAGCTGCGGCAGGGTCGGTTGGTTGGTTACAACATGCTCATGCATTACTCATGATGTGTACGTCAACGGACTGAAGCCCAAAGCTGGCCCCAAATTGTCTTTGCCACAGCCGAAACACACACACACACTTGCCACACACACACACACACAAACACACAGTTGCTGCTTTAATATGTACGCTGCGGTTTTTGCCAGTTTAATGGAGTTGGCCATAAAAAACAGGCATGCAGGCAGAACGAATGTTTATTTGACTGGCTGACTTGTTTGCGCAAATTAATGCATTTGTTTACAACATCGGAAAGCTTAAATATTTATCGAAAAATAAGCCCAAAATTTAACATTAAAAATTGTTTGCGTTTATTTTCATATGTTTAGTATATAATACATTTAATTATAATAATTATAGCAATAATAATAGACGAATTTTATCACACACACATATGATATGGCTGTACCACACAGGCGCACACAAGCACCCAGCACACACACACACACAGAAGCACACACATACACACACACACACACACAGAAGCACACACACACAGAAGCACACACACACACACACACAGAGAGACATGCACAAGTACAGCATAAGTTGAGTTTTGATTAGCGCATTATTTATTTGACATTAGGAAAAGTGCGCGCCTGCATGCAGCTTAAGATGGGAGTTGAGGAAACTTTCCCAAGTCGTCCTCTGTACTTTCTTTAAACTCATCGTTTCGTTAATTCACTTATAAATTCGTGATCGTTGTCGTCTCCAGCTGCTGCTGCACCAGTGAACAGCGGAGAAAGCTCAGCGTCAACAGCAGCAGCGAGATGACAGCACAGCAGCTGCTCAACCCTGCCACCGTTGCCTGGCCCTGCAACGGCAGCTGTTCCGTCTCCAGACACAGCCGGAACTCGTCGTAGTCCAGCCGAGTGATGGCGCAATAATGATTGAGCATGCAGTGACCCAAGCAGGCGGAACCCGACTGAAACCGGACAGCATTCGCACGTTGATATCTAAGTGGGTTGTGGTTAGGCGAAAGATAAGAGGGGGCATTAGAGGCGATAGAGTTCCACTTGAATACACACCTGCCAAACCAGGAGGCATCCCTGCCCGTAAAACGCTCCACAAAGTTATGCAACGCTATCGCCGAGATCTCGCCCAATCCATAATAGTGGGTCAGATTGTATTCGGGCTGCCAGAGGGGTTCGTGAACCCGGTTTGCCAACGGCAGATCCAACCAATACTGTGTGTAGTCCAACACCTGACCGCTGCCCGTATCAAACTTGTACAGTCGCAGTGCCGGATTGTTGGAGGCACCAATACCCTCCTTGCGTGGCACCACAGACGGCGCCGTCATCAGCCAAGAAATGGGTGTGCCTGTCCAAGCAAATTGTCATTAAACCACTCCAATTAATGCCAGTCTACTCTTGATCATTACCTTGCTCATCGTAGATCAGCCGAAAGGTGTCCGAGTGCAGATGACCAAAGAACTGACCCTGTATGACCGAGGCATACTTGCGCACTATATCCAAATATCGTTGGTTATTCCGCTCCGTAAAGATCAGTTGACCATGGTGTGGTGTGCCCAGGTAACGCTCATCCACTCCAGGCGGCATGTGACCCACTATATAGACCTGCAATAAGAAATGAATATATAAATGTACAAGTTAGCTACCTAAGATACTAATCTAGTATCTAAGAGAACATCCTGTAAGTATGCCTAGAAAGTGAGGGACAGGGTTAAATATGTCCATATCACTGTCAATACTTATAATTAAAGTCGGGAACGCAATTCTGGCTCGATTTCCATCTTAAAATGATGCCCTAAAAAATGCTTATGGAAAAATTTAAATTTTCCTTTGCCATAATTTAAATAAAACTGAATCGATTTTCAATTTCAAAAGCAATACAGTTTTGATAGTGGCTAAGTTTGCTTACCGTTTCTTGTTTATTCCTCGACTTGGTAAGGATCTCATCCAGCCAGAGCCACTGCTGCTCGGCCTGCAGTTGATCCTGGGCGGTGGTTGTGCGACTGGATGCCTTAGGTTCCGCATAGTATTCGACTGGCCAGCGCAGACTCTGCGCCTGCTTGGAGTCCACATCGTAGTCGTGTCGCATAAAGTTGGTGTTCAGTGCCACGATGCGCAGGCGACTCCTAGTCTGCTCGATGGAATAGTAGCCTCCCTGCTCGAAGGTGACAAGCGCCTCGGTGGGCAGCCAGTGACGCCAGAGCTCACCCATTTGTTTGTACTTGTGCAGACCGCCATCCTCGTGGCCCAGCACCGGAAAGATGAAGGGCGAGGAGAAGCTGCGTCCCAGCAGCTCGGTAATGTTGCGCAAAATCTCGTGCTGCCGCTGCTCGGAGAGCGCTTGAGCGGAATGGGAGAGGGCATCGCCTGTCCAGAGCACAAACTCCACATTGTCGCCCTGTTTGGCCTTCATGGTCTTCACCGCTGACTCGACCAGACTCCAGGGACTGTCGCAGTTGTAGTTGCCAAAGGGACCCGGTGACTCCAGATCCTGCACGGCGGCAGAGGAGGCCGGGTTGCGAGCTGCCAGCTGCCAGCAACTTTTGTAAATGTCGCCCTGTGTGGAGTAGAATGTGTCCAGATGCAGGTCACTCACGTGCCAGAAGTAGCCTACAAAAGAGAATTGAGAGTTGACAGTTGACAGCTAAAAGGTTAACAAGTCAGTCAGAGTAGGGATTAAAGGGGAAGCTCGATTTTCCAAATACGAGAAAACCGGGAAAGACCGCCACAGGCCAGCTGGCCGTGAAAACCCTGAAAAAGCCACAACACACACATTGCCCCGACAGACCTGATTTGCTACCTGGCCGGAAGGGAGAGCGTGACACAGATCAAGAAGTCACTGTGAGCCTTTGAGGCGAGTGTTGAACCGTTCCTGCAATCAGTTTGACGTTGGCATGCGCATTGATCAATTGGTTTACGAGAGTCGTCCAATCGAACGTGGAACGACAGCATATAGGATACAGGATATTCAGAGAGAGAGTGACGATCTGGGATCGGGGACTTGGTCGGGAGCAAGATGAGCTTGCGATTCAGTCTATCGCTGCTGCTGATGGTCGCCATGTGGCAGCTGGTGGAGCAGGTCGAAGGTCGCAAGAAACTGTGCGGAGATGCACTCAACGAGGCCCTTGATCTGATTTGTGTTAATGGATTCTCACGCAAAATTAAGCGCTCAATCAATTGTAAGTACAGATTGACAAGTCCACCATCCCCCACCCAACTGGTGCCTGAACTAACATGAGTTTTAAGCGGACAGAAGCCCCAGGACACCCGAGCAGGCGTTGCGCCACAAGTGGCAACTGTTGGCATTGAGGCAACAACTGGACCAGGACACCATCAATGAGGCGGGCAGTGATCGTGAGCTGCGACGTCCGCGTCGAAGGATAACCCATGAATGCTGCAATAAAGGCTGCTCCTACGACGACATCCTGGAATATTGCGCTTAAACTTGAACTTGGACGCGGACTTGGACTTGGACTTGGCCTGGCTCAAACCATTAACGGATTATACCCAAAACGGAAACTTTGAAACAAAACGCACGTTTTGCAATTCATTCAATAACACTTAGCCTCTGCCTTAAAAAAGGAAAATAACTAATTTACGCATATACATATACATATATACACATATATATATATATACATATAATTATATACATACTTTTTAATAATTCGCAATGTTTTATTGTAATATTTCAAGGAAGCAATAAAGTTACTCGATAACAATACAAAACAGCAAACAAAAGGCAACTTATAGCATCAAATGCCTTCAGCTTAGTGCTCTTCAGTGTCTCCCCCCTCGCACTGCTCCCTCCCTGCCAACCACTTTGGGCCACCAACTGGGTACTTCCCCGGCATTTTAGCCAGCCTCCCCCGCTCCCCGGTGAATGAGAAAGTGCTTGTGCCCTTGCATTCTCGCAGCAGTAATGAAAATTTTGAATTTTTAATTAGATGACGTTATGTTTTCGTGCGAAAAATAACAATGGCTTCAGTTGCAGCGAATTTTGTATACTCTCCAAATGCAATTAATAAATAAATAGAATAATTCTGAAAGAAGGAGAAATCACTTTCGTTGGCCAACAACAATTCCGCTTTGTGTGCTAGCAACGAATATTTGAGTCAAGTGGCGAGTGCTATTGATAGCAATTGATCTAAAAATAGAGATAGATAGATATCTTTTGTATACACAATTATTGAAAAAATATACAAATTGATGTTAATATTGTTTACTTGGCATCCCATATCAACTATATAGTCAGTGGCCTGATATCCAGCTGGGCATACCAGTTCGTTTTCCAGAGTATGTGTAAACAACAATAGCTGAAAGGATGAGGGGGGATAGTGGAGGAGACAGCACTTGACTTTGTTTTTCAACAGTTGTGATCTACGCGTTATTATTTTGCACGGCACAACATAAACAAAAGACGTCAGCTGATATGAGTAAACCCAAACCATCCGCACACCTCCGCTCCTCGCTCCTCGTAGTCTATGGCAATCTGGCTGTCTGGTTGGGCGCCTCAGCTAACTGACACAACACCTAACACACCCTGACAGACTCTTTGTGTGTGTGTGTTTGTGTGTATGCTCCGCTGTGTGTTCCTCTCGGCAGTGCAAACGTTATCGTATAAAGCGTTGCGTTGCCGCAGCACGGGGCACAGTTCTAGTTTGCCACGAATTCACAGTGGTTCAGTGTGTTGCGTGTGTACAGACAACAAAGGATTAGCAGCCAAAAATAGCATAATGCATTTGGAAAACGTTAAAGTGCAGTGTTTGATCTGCAGCCTGGCGTTTCTGGTGCTGCAAGTGGACGCGATTCGTCTCTGTGGCACCGAGCTGCCCGAAATGCTGGAAAGGATTTGCTCGTACGGCTACAATACGGAAATGAAGCGTGCCAATGGTAAGCACAACGAGTTCACCTTTCCCAACTGCTATAATTGAATTTCTGTGTTTGGCAGTGCCTCCTCCAGTACAATACAATGGCATCAGCAATGAGTATGCCGGCTCCTATTCGAATCTGGATTCCAATTCACAGCCAATGTTGCAGATGCTCCTGGGCGAGAGTGCCCATCGTCATCTGGTGAATAGTCGACATCGTCGTTTTGGTGTCTACGATGATTGTTGCGCCAGATCTTGCACCTATACGGAACTCGCCTCCTACTGCAGGCCGAGTCCCTTAATCTAGCCTACTCTCTGCTAGTTCTTGATTGGAAACCATTTGGATTAGCTTTAAGCCAGCTCATTTTGACTAGCTTCTAACTGTATAAATACTTATAAATAAAACATTAGCCTTAAGCATAGAAAAAGGAAATTATAAAATAAAAATATATGTACGTATTTATTTATGAATGTTATTTGTTTTATGTGATTGTTTAAATTACTTTAAGTTGCTTTAGACTTGTGAAATTTGTTTGAGAACTTAGATGAACTCATTATCTTTGGATGCGAATCAAAATAGTTCATTCTTTCAGTTCATCATATAAATATTGTTATTATAAGTTTATAGATATAATTTGTGTTTTAGATTAAGTTGCTATGGATTTTTTTGGCATTGATAATCCAATGTTCATACACCGGGTGTGGTGCTTAAATGTTAATCCCATCATAAACCCTCATCACTGTAATCTTAACAATCGTTTATGCAGCTTGGCTTTTTATTGAAAGCATCTATAATATAAATACAACACGTGGATTTTCATATAGGGGTAGGGCGTAACAATTCTAGGGTTCAATCAATTTCAAAATGTACTCTGATCACGGTGCTTCAAAAGGGATGTCTACTGTCCTATGGCTTGCACTTAGGCGGCACAGTAATTAGTCAGTTCTTCAAGTTGGCAAGACCTCCTGCAGCATTCGTCAACAATTCCCGCACGAGTGCGTCGTCGGGTGGAGGTTAGAGAGCTGAGGCCGTTATCCTGGAAAATGTTACGCAGGCGTCCGTTGCTCAAACGATAAGGAAGCAGCTCGGCAGAGGAAGCCTCCTTCTCCTCAATATATTGAATGGGATCGAGAGGGTCCATGTCCATGAGGGCTGCAGTGCATCCGAAATGGGGAAGTTTAGGATTGCCCATGAAAACTCTAAATTGGACTTACGTGAGCCGCGCTTATGGATGATTCGATTGTATCCTGTGGCACTACACAGTTTGCTCAACATATCGTTAAGATGTACGCTGCACAGGCGCATCGAGGGGGACGAGCTTGAAGATGCCACAACGCACAAGGCGAAGAGGAAGGCCACCGAGAGGGAAATTGACTTGCACATTGTATTAACTTGGATTAGATGCTTCGATGCGATGGAACTGATGCCGGCACACTCGCTGCCGCATGCTTATATACTCTGCAATGACACTTTGGGTTGAGGTGGCATGCCACATCTGTCCAAGTGGAACTACTTCGGTGTCAAATTGCGTTACAGGTTATTGGGACAAGTTGAGTGCATTTTCGAGTAGCTATAGCAGCTTGCTAAACTCATTCAATGTCAACGTTCACTTTTCGTTGGCTTATGCAAATTTCACCCATTGCCGAGGGTGGCACGTGGGCGACTACGCAGTGCCACGCCCACTACGGTTTGCGTCTTTGTCAGCCAATTAAACAATTTTGGTGTGAAAAGACAACGCAAGGTTCTGGCGTGTGCGAACCTAAGGCATTTCCTTGCCTTTCCTTGCCTTGCCTGCATTTATGAATATCAAATGAGTTGTTTCTCAAACTATACCCTGCAATCGCTGGAGGGAGAGGGGTATTTTTTTTACGAGCTTAACAATGTATTCAATTTGACTCTTCGTGATATTTAATTCTGTTTTCTGTATAGACGAAAAAGTTTCTTATTTGCTTTGCTAATCATTCTTAGATTTTCAACTAGTAACATCACCAAAAATTAAGGTTCGAGTAGAGCATGGAGTGTTTCTATATCAGGTACTACTTCAATGCTACACGACTGAACCGTACCCACTCAACACAATACAATGGCAACCATAATAAGGATATCGAAAAGGGCTTCGGCAACTACGGTTCCAACTTAGATCTGGACTGTAACAGGTTTTAATAAGTGAAAGTTGCTTTTAGATATGGGAAAGTTGTGAATGAAGAATTTCTCATTTCATTTTTTCAAAACGTTTGCGCTCGGAGATGACCCCATTATACTGGAATGCAGACCGATAAAGTAGGTTCTTGGTAAAGCTATATCCAAGTTAGAACTATTTTTCTAAATGCGTTTTTAAGCCATTACTATTGCCTGCCTAGACTTTTCCCAAAAGCTGTCATTAGTGAATCTTTTAGATTTATTGACTTAAATTGTGATGGCCTTCGGCATTTCCTATTATTGGGGGCGGTTGAAGATGGGCGTTGCCGGGCGTACTGAGCTGTAAAAACATCTCCAGCAATACAAACTTAGAATTTCATAATTCTAGCTTAAAAAGTGTGGCTTAATCGATGTGCATTTATCGATGGGCTGCTGAACTAAATGAAACAAGCATCGAAAGTCATGTTATCAACTTATATAGAAAGTATTTTTAATACAGAAAATTGCTCAAAGCTGGATCCTATGCTTTGCATATCCAGCAGAGACCAGTGTTCAAAACATTTCATTGATAGTTGCCAAGAAAATACGAATTTTCTGATTTCAATTCAGTGTTGGAGTTATTTTTCTTGAAAAGCAGTTGTGTTTGGATTGCGATTATTGATTTTCTGAGCAGAAATGTTTATGGTTTACCCTGGAAACATTGTTGTTTGATGAATATATTTAAGATCCATCAACCAATTTTTTTATGGCATCTTGCTTAGACACGAATACATTCATACCACCAGCCAGGTACTCAGATTGTAGTCCTCTTTATTTAGTTGAAGTCAATTGTTAAACATATGCAGGATGCTTCTGATTCGGTATAATTTCTTATCATAATCTTTACATTCGTGTATGCAGCTTGACTTTTATTAAAAGCATTTATAATTTAAATACAACTTGTGGGTTTGCGTCATGTAAATACAATATCAGGGGTAACAATTCGAAGGTTCTACAAATTCAGGACTTAGGCGGCACAGTAGTTGGTGAGTTCATTTATGTCGCAACTCCTTTTGCAGCATTCGTCAACAATTCCCTGGCGAGTGCGTCGTCGGGTAGAGGTTAAGGAGTTGATGATGTTGTCCTGGTAGATGTTGCGCAGGCGTCCATTTGTTAAGGGATATGGAAGCAGCTCGTCAGAGGAAGACTCCTTCTCCTCAATATATTGAATGGGATCGAGAGGGTCCATGTCCATGAGGGCTGCAGTGCATCCGAAATGGGAAAGTTTAGGATTGCCCACGAAAACTCTAAATTGGACTTACGTGAGCCGCGCTTATGGATGATTCGATTGTATCCTGTGGCACTACACAGTTTGCTCAACATATCGTTAAGATGTACGCTGCACAGGCGCATCGAAGGGGACGAGCTTGAAGATGCCACAACGCACAAGGCGAAGAGGAAGGCCACCGAGAGGGAAATTGACTTGCACATTGTATTAACTGGGATTAGATGCTTCGATGCGATGGAACTGATGCCGGCACACTCGCTGCCGCATGCTTATATACTCTGCAATGACACTTTGGGTTGAGGTGGCATGCCACATCTGTCCAAGTGGAACTACTTCGGTGTCAAATTGCGTTACAGGTTATTGGGACAAGTTGAGTGCATTTTCGAGTAGCTATAGCAGCTTGCTAAACTCATTCAATGTCAACGTTCACTTTTCGTTGGCTTATGCAAATTTCACCCATTGCCGAGGGTGGCACGTGGGCGACTACGCAGTGCCACGCCCACTACGGTTTGCGTCTTTGTCAGCCAATTAAACAATTTTGGTGTGAAAAGACAACGCAAGGTTCTGGCGTGTGCGAACCTAAGGCATTTCCTTGCCTTTCCTTGCCTTGCCTGCATTTATGAATATCAAATGAGTTGTTGCTCAAACTATACCCTGCAATCGCTGGAGGGAGAGGGGTATTCATTAACACGATTTTAAACATATATTAAATTTGACTCTTGGTCATATTTAATTCAGTTGTTTTGTAATAAATGACAAGCAGAGTTGAACAACGCATATTAAGCGATTTACATGTGTAAACATAGATTAAATGAGTATTCTTTTTAAGTAAACATTTCAGATACCCAGGCTTAGTATGTTCATTGTGTTTTGTTTTTGTAGAAATTAATGGTGGAATCTTGAAGCATTTCAGTCTCGGGGCTAGTTACATTTTTCAATCTCATTACCGTCAGTCGTCCTCACTTGGAACCTGTCTCCCTCCCCTGCCGACGACTCGTTCAAGAACATGTCGCTAGTCTTACGCACAATCCAATGATGCCATTATCGCAAAATTTAATGATTGTCCCTCGAGGGATAGATTTAAAGAATAAAATAAGAAGAAAAAATAACAAAAAACAAACGAACAGAAAGATACATTCTGGCTAACCGCCATTGCAAGGCGTAATGTTTTATTTTTATGAAGTACATTAATTTAAATTCTAAGTTTGGGAATTCCCATTTCGAGAGCACCAAGCACTTTAAAATCCCCGGGGCACAAATGTACATATGGATAAAATACTTTTGAGTATGTTTTGAGCGACATGCACATATATCTATTGAAAAAACTGGACACAGGGTAGCTGTTAGTTGGTCATTCATTGGGATCTCTCTCGATACTTACCGATGCGGGCGATGGCCTCATCTGGCATCCACAGAAATGGAAGAAGCGCGGTTAACAGCCAGCTGAAGCTGAAGCTGAAGCTGGGGCTAAAGTTAGTCATTTAGCTGCTGCTGATTTTGCTGCGTGTGGAGTATGGAAATAATGGCAGGAGTTGCTATTTGGGGTGTTGGGTGTTGGGGATTGGGGTTTGAGGGGAGAGGGTCTTTTACACTTTGTGTTCGTATGCAAATTTTCGTAGTAACTTTTGCTTTAGCTTTTGCTGAGCTGTGAAAGTTTTTTCCTTTGGTTTTTGTCTTTTGTTGCACAGTTCTACTTTTTATTCATTAGCTAAAATTTGTGCTGCATAAATAAGTGGGTACGATAACGATAACGATTACGATTACGATTAAGATTACGAGTATATGAGTACAATATCGCTTGCGAGTATGAGTATGTGTATGCGTGCGTGTGTGTGCTTGTGTGCGTGCGTTCGTGCGTGAGTATGACGATTACGAGCGGCAATAGGCCAAGAGTTCCGGATAGCTACATGAATTGACACAGCATTCATCATAAATGCCGGCACGTTGTCGCCGCAAGCGTCGTGTTTTGATGAGCACCTCCGTTCCATAAATGCTAGACAGCAATGGACTTAACGCGTAGCCATCATCACTGCCACGCGGCTGTTGTAATTGTGTTTGCTCCGCTGCCACAACACCAACGACATCGACGAGCGATGCCTGATTGGAATCCATGCGTTTTTTGGGTATCGTATTATAGCCATTCACACAGACCATTGACATGGCCTCATTGAGGGCGGGGCCGCACAGCTTATGTTTGCCCTCACGCAACGGATGGGTCATGGAAGCGGCTCTGAAGCCGCCAATGCCATCGGCGTAACATCCGCTGCCCATGATGGCTATCAGCAGAGCCAACAGCAACACCAATTGCCGGCCATATAGCGATGCGCTTTTGATAAACATTTTGCCAACTTCCAACTTCCAACTGCCAACTGCTGACTGCTTACTGCTGACTTTGCGAACGTTTGCATGCCTGCTGCAGGCAACTGGCGCTATTTATACGGCGGCAAACGAGTGCAACAACAGCAACAGCAGCAAATAACAACAAACCCTCTAGCGGCAGTTCAATGCACTTTTTGGGTGCATACATAATTACACAACACACACACACACATACATGCATATACACATATATGTAAGGATTGTCAAATGTTGTTGCTCCTTTCGTAAACATAACAACAACAACTCACACCATAAGCAGCTGTATTGCAACTTAACGCTAAAAGGCTGTGACTGCTGTCCCAAAGGATTAGCGCAAATGTGGCTTGACAACAAACACACACAGACAATGCGGGCGTGTGTATGTGTGTGCGAAAGTGACAGCTTCATTAGCATGCATGTAAGCAAAATGTATGCTTCAATTGGCTGCTAACGCGCTCTGGCGGCCGTGTGTGTAATCACACTTCGATCTGTCTGTCACTAAATCGATAAGTCGCGAACAGTTCGATTGCAGGCCGCTCGCTTATCGAGTCAACAGTTAGTCGCCAGCAGCGCAGCAAACGGTCGCAATTTCGGAGTTTCTATTGTTACTGAGAGAGGGTGTCGGAAAGAGAAAGAGAGAGACAGAGTGATAGTAATAATGGTGATCGATATTAAAATGTGTCGCTTTGATAATGTGCCGTGGGGCTTTCGGCTTGTCGGTGGCGCCGACTACGAATACCCATTGACTGTGGTTAAGGTTAGGGCCATGTTCATTACAAGAATAATAATAATAATAATATCGCTTGCAGCACACCTTTGTGGCATTTGCACCTGTGTGGTTGCCATTTGCCAACACTGACCGCAGTAGGGGCAGATGATGCAGCTGCAGCAGCAGCATTAACTTTTGCAACAAAATGTGCCGCAAATTAATTGAAAATATTTCATTGTTATGTAACACTGAGCGTATGAGTGTTTTTATTTGTTTTCCCTGTGTGTGTGTGTTTTTTGTGGGGATTATTTGCGAATTGTGTTAATTAAAATAAACTCGTAATAGAGAATGAGGGTATCGCTCGGTTATTTGTCTAATCGCCCGAATGTATTTTTCTGCTAATTGGCCGCATAATGTGAGTGCAATAAATTAATTTCAATATTAATGGTGCCTCATCTGCAATTCATCAGCAGTCGTCGACAAATTAGCAAATGTGCTGAAAGCCCAGCAGTAAAAACCAACAGCCAACAACAATATTATTGTATTTAAGCATTGGCGAAAATAGCAACAAATTGCAAAATTATAATTGGCAAACTAAGCGCAACACACTTGCACACAAACACACACACACGCACAGACACACACACATAGACACACACACACAAACACAGACACACACACACATAACACACCATGTAAAATCTAACGAGGGCTGCTGCATAATTACAGCTAGTTTCGGGCAATAAAATTCAATTTACGCAGTTCCCGTTAGTTTTGGGCTTTCAATTTGGCTAAAGTTATTAAACATGTATATCAAACTTTAAAGGCTGCAAACCGTTTCACATAATTCCGAGGTGTGCTCAAAAATACAGAAATTCGAATAAGGAAGAAAAACTGTTGCTGAAAATCGCATAAATTCTAATAAAACACGATTTTCTATCTTCCATTTTTATACAAAAATCCTAAGTAAATGAAATATGTTTTTCAAATATTAAAAGTTTCAAATCTTTTCTAAATGACATCATTTAAAAACACATTAATTCCCATAGAGAAAATTAACATTTTGAAAACCAGTTTCAAACTTGTTTCGAAATGTAATATTTCCATATTGAAAAACACAAACTCCATTAAATATTCTTCTGTTTGCTTGGAAAATTATGGAAGGAGTGGAAACTTTTGTGAACAGCAGAGTGTGTGGGTGGGGGGGAGTGGGGTAAACAACACGCGCATTAAATTGATTTCAAGAAACTTTTATTATTCCTATGATGCTGCTAGCGTGTTAATTTATGGGGCAACCCTCACGCAACGTGCCGCATTCGGTAGCATGTCTCCCTCTCCCTCTCTCTCACTCTCTCTCTCTGTCACTCACTCTTTTCTTGCTCGTTCCTGGTTTCATTTTATCTGTGTGTATTTTTTTTTTTGTTGACATTTTGCGCGCATTTTATTTATATGCACTTTGCGCGCGACGCCAGATAATTGATTTTTTATCCGCAACAGTTGCCATAGCTATGTAGCGTACACTCAGCGAAAAACTGTGTTCTTGCTTGTGTTAGTCTAGCAGAATATGTGTTCTTAAAAATCTATACTGTTATTTTAAAATGATAATTTATTGTTTTATCTTTTTTAAAAATAAGATTTGTATGCTTTTCATAGGCGCTTTTTAGCATTAAATTGATAATTGAAATATATATTTCTGCAGGCTCCAGCGAAGATCACATTTAACTTGTAATAATAATCGAAAAATGTGTATATTTTTCTGTATTCATTTTAGAGTACAGTCAAAAATATATTTCTGCTTCTCACATCGATTTTTTCAGAGTTCTAACGCAGATTTTTCTTCAAGTGCAGCAACTGATTCTTTCTATTTTTTCGCCATCAGGTCGCCGAGGGCAGCATCGCTGAGGAGGCGGGCCTGTGCGTCGAGGATGTGATTGTACGTATCAATGATACGGCTGCGATGCCGTTAACCCATGACGAGGCTCACAGCCTAATCCTGAGCAGCGGCAGCGTTTTCTACTTTGGTGTCTATCGGTAAGTTGTCGCCCACCGTTCCCCGCAGCGCTATTAATTATGGTTATAATTTCTGGTGCTGACACACATGGCGCGAGCAGCGAGCACGAGGAGCAGCTCGATGAAGAACCAAAGCGGTTTCCACTGCGGGTGGGCTCGTTGACCAAGTCCGCAACGGCATCGCCTGAACGGTCGGCAACCGCATCCGCATCCGCCTCGCCGCTGCCGTCATTAACGGAAGTAACAAAAGCGCTCATACCGGAACAGGAGCAGGTCGTGGTTGCGCAACTGGAGGAACTGGAATGTCGCAGTGCAGCAGTGACGGAAATGCATTCGCATGCCAACGACACTGAGCAGGGGCTGGCAAAGGAGGAGCAGAATGCGAATGCGAATGCGACTGCGACGGCGACGGCGACTGCGAATGCCAATGCAATTGAGAATGAGGACAACACCCAATATTTGCCCGAGCTGCCCGATCGTCCTTGCTCGGCGATGTCAGAGCGGTCGGATATGAAGCTGGTCGAGGAGGAAATTGCTGCCGTGCTGTCTGGCGAATCGGAGGTTCTCAAGGAGCACAATGTGCTTGGGTGCGTTCAGTCCAGGAGTCCAGGAGGCGACTCCTCTTCAACTAAACCATAATCTCTTTCTCTCTCACTCACTAAATCTCAAATATGTATATGTATATGTGTAATAGCGTTAATTTCTATAGAATCTTTCCCAAGCCGGGCGTCTGCATGACCAGCGATGTGCTGCGCTCCCTCAACGAGGAGGTGACCAAAACGAAACTCGAAAAGGAAAAGGAGAATCGCAAATGGTCGACCTTCCTGCAGCGACCCGATCGCCCTGTGCCCAAGAGCAAGCAACAACTGGAGGCGGAGCAGCGGGCCGCGAATGCGTACAAGGTGAAGATTGTCAAGTCTATGCCGCGGGATAAATCGCCTTTGGTGAGTAGCGTTGCATGAAACCCATCCCCACCCCAAACCCACCCCTCAAAAAAAAAAAGAACACTGAACAGGCACCAACTTAAGCCTGTGACAGCCGGAAGCCACGCCAAAGGAAGTCACCCCACCGCCCAAGGAGCCAACTCCGCCAACAAGTGAGGAGTCGGAGAAGCAGCCGCAGGAGGAGAAGGAGGTGGAGGAAGAACCGCTGCCCACGGACAGTGAAGTGCCGAATTTGGAACAATTGCCAGACAATGACAAAATCAACAGCAACAACAATGAGCTGCCCGAGGATGCGGAAGGTGAGCAGTTGGAGAAGGCTGATGCCTCCAAGGAAGAGCAGGAGGAGGAGCGACAGCAGCTGACAGAGTTGAAGGCACAACGAGAAGCAGAAGAAGAAGCAGAACAGCAAACAGGAGCAGCATCCGCAGCTGAGCCTAACGAGGCAGCCGAGCCAGTAGCAGAGAAAACTGATGAGGAACTGGCACTGGAAAAACAATTGGCCGATGTGCAAAAACAGCTAGCGGCTCTGTCGTCGCTACCCTCAACCATACAGTCAACACTGGATGCGGTGACCAAGCAGTTGGCCGAACTGCTGCCCACATTTAAGCTGCAGCAGAAAGAGGACTTGCCACAAATCGATGAGCAGCTGGAGAAGGAGCAGGAACTGGAGCAGCAGCAGCAGGGTGAGTATGAAGGTGCGCTTTGGTTGGCAAAGTTATGGCCGAGGTTACACTAATTAAATTTTTCTAATGGCACACTTTGCATATGCCTTCCCCACAACCCCCTCTCTCCCCCCTCTCGCTGCAGATACGTCCGACTCTGCGGAGAAACAGCAGCAGCAGCAGCAGCAGCCGGATGAAGTAGGAGCAGCATGTGAAAATAATGAGGATAAATGCGACGGCAATGACCTGCAAGTGCCTGAAATTTCTCTCTCAAATGGCGACAATCGCCAACGGGAGCAGAGCGGAGGCGGCCAGCCAAATGTGCCAAACGAGGAGCAATGCTTCAAGAAGCAAAAGGTAAGTCACAACAAAAAAAAAAAACTATAAAGAAAAACTATAGAAAAACTTAATGAAAAGTGTAGAAAAATGTTGCGTATTTATATTAGGCAGAGAGTAGATTGTACACCAAAATCTGACTTCTTGAAAGAGTCTCAAACAGAAGGCAATCAATTTAAATTTGTCATATGCAGTTGGGTTCCTTATCTATGCAAGATTGTCGATCTGCACAATAATTGAAGTTAACATCAACTTAAATTCCAGGCAATGCAAATTGAATTCTGTCCGAATGCCAGTCAGCTGTCTTTGCTCAAAATCGAAAGCAGAAAACATGTTTTGCCGACTTCAGTTCAAGTCTTCAGTCAAACAATGGCACAATTCTAATATCTATTCTCATTCCTTGGAGGCCAGTTCTTGCAACATGTGCTTACTCCAACTAAATGGGCATTTAGTTTGCCCCAAGTTCGATTCTCAACATTTTCAGACAGCCAAACAAATTAAATAAATCATTGAGCATTCAGCATACAGCAACGAGTGAATATGTATTTGGCCAGCTTAAAGTTGTTGGCCCTCGAAAGGGTTTTGAGTCGCTTTGCAAAACCTGAATGGTAAAATCTGTTAGTCATATAGACAAACCGCACATTTTGTGTTTGCTTAAGCCATGTAGCTTGCTGGCAATTAAAAAATAAATAACCAACTTTCTCTAAAGCCAGCCAGCTTAAAAACCTTGTAGTTGAAAACTAAAATGGCTCAAACGAAAAAAAGGGGGAAAAAAACATACAACTTGCACTTGCCACAAGCGAATACAGTTGAAGTTCACTTTTTGTGTGCAGTTTCTCTAATAATAAGCAGCGATTAGTGAAGCATTTGAAAACTGGGTCATATTTAGTTTATTATTTACGTGTCAAGCTTCTGAACGGAGCCACTAACAGAGTAGTTATTAACCATAGATTCCTCAATGTCTAAGCCAGCTCTGCTTTTGAACTTCAATCAAGTCGAGTCTAAAACAAATCAAGTCTTATGCAAACACCAGCTGGAGTTTTTTGGCAAATTATTCTGAATCAAAGACGAAACTCGACTTTTTTCCAAACCAAGACATCTTAATCATCTGCACAATTTTATGTGCATGAGCAACTTGAACCGTTGCCAAGCTGTTTACAATCCAGCTCCTTGCCAAGAATTAAACCTTTTTTTGTAGGTCTAATATTTATAGGCTTGGGCTCCACAATTTATAGGCTATCTGTTAGTCGTTCAGCATGAACCTGGTTTTGAGTTAGAGTTCAATTTATTTTTTGCTGTTTGCTGCTGGCCAGCTGAGCCCCATCTCAAGTCTCAGTCTCAGTCTCAGTTTCAGTTTCAGTTTTAGCTTCAGTCTGCTTTTTGCTGCTGCCGTCTGCTTCTCAGTTTTCTTCTGTGTATGTGTGTGTTTGCTGTGTGTGTGTGTGTGTGTCTTTTTTGGGCTCATTGCTGGCTGCAACATTTGCCGTAGCCCAAAACTCCACAAATCAAATTAACTAAAACGCCATTTGGTTTTTGTCTTTTTCTACTTGCAGCATAATGTGCGCTTTCAAGACTAGTTCGCTTAGTTAGCTTAAATCGAGTTTAAATTTTGATAAATTGCCACCAAATTCTTCTTGCTGTTGTTCACACACACACACACACTCACTCACTCTCACACACACACACACTGGCAGACTTCAATATGTGTGTGTGTTTGTGTGCCTCACTGCCAGTTAAATAAATGAGTCCAAAAAACACCAAAATCACAGTGGAGTCTTCGTGTCTTATTTAAAGTCACAGTTCCAAGCGTGGACGTTGCTTGGCGTGGAAGGCGTGTTTTGGGGGGCGGGGCAGCAAAAAGGCAGAAACCAAAAGACAATTAGTAGGCAGCAGTGACAGTCGAAAGACCAACGCATGTAAACCCGAAACCATTGCATAATTTTTACTATACACTCAGAGAAAAACAACTAAAACTGCTCTCAACAACTTTTTTTTAAGAGAACATCAATCACTTAATCCAGTTTAGCTATTTCTTAAGTTAAAAATGTTTATACTCGTTGCAAGTTATTTAAATTTGATTTCATTGCAACTAAATCAGTTTTTTCACTATGTATTTAAGTGGTTTTCATATATTTTAAGTGCTTAAAAGTCTTAAAATGAGTACATTTTCAATTTTCCATCAAGACAATTTTATATTTGGCTCAAAAAAAATTCACTCGTGATTTTTCAACAATATTTAGAAGCGAAGCAAGCACAAATAGTTACTAATTCTCAACCCTTGCTTTTTCTCTGAGTGTACCAAAACCCACATCCCTCCCTCTCTCTCTCTCTCTCTCTGCGTGTTTTTCTGACACGGTCTCTTTCTCTTAACATTTTCTCTTGTGTGTTTCTCTGGGCTCTGGTGTGTTTCGCTTGCGTTTACTTTGCGTCGATTGGAATGGGATGGGATGGCTATGGTGCTTGCGACGATGATGACATGCCAGAAACACAATGTCATTGAGGAGCTCGAGGAGCATTTGGTGCGCAAAAACAATCCGAGGCGTTCGAAGCGCGCCTTTGGTCCCCTGACGCCATCATCGGAGCGTCCTCTGGTGCTGCCCGGCGGCAGGCGCTGGTATCGACCCAAGGATGCCTACAATGATGAATTCATTGCCGAAACACTCAGCGCCCAGGCGGAGCTTATAACCGGCAGCACTCTGGGGTGCGTATCTATCTATCCATCTATCCATTTATATCTACCCATCTCTATCTATCTATCTATCTATCCATCTAGCCACTCAAAAAAAAAAACAAAACAAAAATCTCTGTGTTGAAATTGCCTTATGAACCGCCTCCCTTCCCCAGTTGATAGCACCTCCGCCCTGACAGCTCATCAACAGCATCGCAATTGACATTGCTAAAAACCATATTGTGTCTGTGTGTGTGTGTCTGTGTGTGTGTCTCATAATGCCATATTGCCATGGTCACAGTCACAGGCACAGGCACAGACCCACTCAGCCATATCCCCACTTGCTCATCCCAGGCAAGCAGACCAGCTCATCATGCTCATCATTGTCATATACTCATCCGCATTTCTCATTTTCCATGGGCTTCTCATCAACGCACTGCACGAAATCAACGGGGCCAACAACAATCATTTTGCGCATTAACAGCTGTCCATATGAGAGCCCGTTGCTGGGCTACGATGCCAGGTATTATTATTGTTGCCACAATGCTGCTCCGCCAGCAAAAGGAGCAAGCACAAAAGGATGCACTTTCATTAACATGATCATATTGAGCGGACCCCATCTTGTCTCTCTCTCTCACTCTATCTCTCCTTGTCTGTCTGTATCTCTGTCTACCTGTCGCTTTGTCTGTCTCAGTTCATTTCGGTGTCTGTTGGCTTGAAGTTGATTTGACTTTACCCATTTGGCCTCACCCCCAGCACTTAATATGCATGCTTACGTTTTGGCTTTCGTTTCTCGTGTCTTCTCTCGTTTCTTTCATAGATTGCATTTTGGAATCGTTTGTTCAAACCCGCCAGCATTTCAGGTAAGTTGCCAACCACAGCTCTGGCTTTGAATGCGCCTGCAACTGCCACTGCCACTGCCACTGCAACGGCTAACAGCAGACCAGCAGCGTGCAGCATGCATTCTTTTTTGTTCGACCGCCCTTGTCTTGTAGTACTTAACAAGTGGCTACCTTGATTACATTCCCTTCGATTTTAGCAGACCTTAGCTCTTTTTGTTGCGCTCTTTATACACTGCACTTGAGCAGGGTAAAGAATTGTCTCAACTCGGTAATTTGAATTTAGTTTACATTCCCATTGGACAAAGTATTAAGGAGATCAAACAAGTTTGTCATTCAATCATATATTAATCGCTCTTAGCTGACATCTTTTGGGCATCGACTTAATCATGTTGCAGCATTCTGCTACATTGTGAATAATATAATTTTTGTCAAACATCCACTGACAAACGCAAAAACGTACAAAATCCGTGTCAGTCGCAGTGTCAAAGGTAGATTTCAGCAGAACTTATTTAAAGGTCGACGAAACAATTTCCACAAAAAAAAAACAAAAAAAAACACTGCACAACATTTTCATAACATCAAAAAAAGGAAAAAAGAAAAGAGATTGCGAGGAAATAACTTGACTGTCACTGAACAGCACATTTTTTTGTGTGCACAGTTAAGGCCCAAAAGGTCGAAACTATTTATTTTTATACATTTTTATTAAAATCAAGCAAAAAGCAAAAGAAAAAAAAAAGGCAGCTGTCACAATGTAAACAAATGCCATTCTGCTGTTTGCAGTTTTTTATTTATTTTTATTTTTTTGCCTTCGTATCGATAGACAGTTAACTTAAAGTTGAATGAAATTAAGCAGCTTAGCGCTTGCTGGGCATTGAGCAAAAATAAACTTTGCAATTGAAATGTTGCTTAGCACTTTTTGTTCTAACTGCCCTGGTGAAAAATGAGTTTTCTACTTACAGTTTTAAGCTATTTAGTGAGCGAAATTAACTTGGGGCCCCATTTAATAATGAGCAGAAAAAAAGCAAAGAAAATCTGTCAAAGTTGCACAGTGACTGGAAACTAATTTCTATCTTTAATTGTACTTCGTACAGAGTATGCCACTAACGTTCAACTGCTCAACTGAAATGTTCTTTCTTGTTTCTGTTTTTTTTTTGTGTATCTTTTTTTTATTCCTTTGGTTTGGCTCGTTTTCGGTTCAATACATCGCCCGCAGGGAGCTGCAAAGCCTCAGCGTTGCAAAGGCAATGCACAGGTTAGTTTGTCACATGGTTCATTGCATGTTTCCTTTGCCCCAGAGAGAGAGACAGAAAGACGGCGAGAAGGCGAACAGGAACAGGAGCGGCAGCGGGAGCAGGAGCAGGAGCTCCTGTATGCCCAAGAGCTTCAACGTGACCAGCAGCGCTTATTTAAATGCACTTGCATGTCCACCCTACACGATATGCCCCAATTCCCTTCAGTCTGCCACTGGCACCCTAGCTTGCTTGCCTCGTTGCTGGCTAACGTTGGCTATTCGCTTTCCGCAGGGTCAACTTTATGAAGTACCAGAAACCGGAGCGCAAACTCGACTACAATCGCAGCGAGGTGTACAAAGTCATCCATCATCTGGATCGTGCACCAATCCGTGGCATCGAGGTGCGTGCCCCCCTTGTGGCAGCCGAGTCAGATATACGCCAATCGTTGCAATCATCATAGTTTAATATATATACAATATATATAGATAAACCATCGTTATCCATCCAGCGTTATTATTCTGTGTGTTACAACAAACACTCGAAATGATATTACAATGAGCAGCTCAAGATGAAATATAAACAACAAACTATGAATATATATATGTATATCGAATAGGTCAACATCATTATGCTTATCGTCATCATTATCATTGTTAATGTTGTCGTTGTTGTTTGTAAGACGCACCCTAATGTATGTTCTTACATAATTTGTGTGTGTGTGTGTCTGTGTCTGTGTCTGTGGGGTACGTGCAACATGGCGTATGTGTTATGTGTAATGTGTGGCAAAGTGTCGAGGCGGTCTTTCGAAGTCTCCAAGTCGTGTGCATTTCACAGCCGCAGGGCTGCAATTTTCTTTTGCATAAACACGCGGCACCAGCTGTGTGTGTGTGCGTGTGTCTATGTGTGTCTCTGTTGGGTGTCTCTGTGTGTGACTTGGGTGTGTGTGTTGTGTGTAGGTTGGGTGTGTGTGCTGTGTGTGTGGTGTGTTTGTGTGCGACAAGTTCTTTTGACATTTGCATATGTTAAAGCAAATGAATTTGTCTTGTAAACGAAATGAAAACGAAAATTTGCCAAATGACAGGCGAGGCCAGCATAATGTAATGTAACAATAAACTCGATTTTAGTTATGAGCAAAAACACCACACACACAGCACACACACACTCACACAGCACACACTGGAAACACATTAAATTTAGATTGGGAATGGTTGTCACGTTATGCCGGATCGCTGGGTGTGCGCATTTCACTTGCCCCCGTATATAGATACGCTCATGTTCACGTTAACTGTTACGAAATTATTAGCCATTTTGCAAAGACCAAGTTAAAAGTCGTCGCTGGCTGGCCATAAAAACGCGCCAAGTACGCCGCGTACTGCTTTCGGCCCGAAGCGTCTTCTTTATCAGTTACGTAGTTTTTCCCGACCGTTTTAGCTTTGTGTGCTTTTGTTCGCTGAGCGAGTTTTGCGCGATGGGTGTCCTCGACGCGACGTTGATGGCGTCTCGTCCTGAACTGTCACTGTCACAATATTGTTGGCATTTTGACTTCGCATTATCATTGCTATCCCAGTCCTCACCACACTCGCACTAACACCAAGTTGGCATTGTCCTTTGAGTGGAGTTGGATTGCTGGCGAACTCTCGAGTTTTTGGGACAGCTTTCGAGCTTTTTCCACGCATCGAGCTTGAGTCAAATTTGTTCATCGAGCTTTGGTTTTGGCCAACTGATAAGCGGCGACAATGAAGTGGCAGTATTGCTGCAGCCTTACGGTAAGCAGGCTGCTTGAAAAATGGGGAATATGTATTTATAATATTTATTTACTACTCTAATATTTATATAAATTAGATATGCAATCAATCTAGCTTAAAACCGTATTAGTTTTAGGTAAATTATTATGCTTGATATTAAGTAAAAGATTAATGCAATTTGTAGAGATCGAATTTCGACAAAATATTAGGTTTTCAGATTTAAGCGAAATAATAATCTAGAGGTGAAATCATGTTCAAAAGTTAATGCTTTTGAAAATTGGTTTGGTTTTGACAAGTCTCTGATGGTTGTGGCGAATTTGACCCCATGCCCCAAGGAATCTGTCTGGCGAAAGCGGCTGTCAACTATGCGTCGGACATCTTGGACACCATCAGCATCAGATTGGGGCCGTTAACCAGAATCAGCAGCTGTTGCTGTGGAGTCGCGACTTTTGAAATGCCCACACCAGAATATAGCTCCCATGGACCGCATGGTCTGTGCAGGACATCGTAGCCAACAGGTCACAGTCAGCCAGGGTGGCTTTGGTAAGCCACGGACGGTTGATGGCAAACAGTCTGGCGCTTGACAACTACGTGGGTGGGACCCTGAAGTCCTGGCTGAAGCGAAATATAAATGCTTCGCTTAAATTCTGATATTAAATCCACAGCGGCAAACCAATACGATTAAGTTGTACAAATAATATAATAAATGTTAAATCATTAAATGAAGCGTTTTACTCTTGGATCCCATTTGGAAATCTTTTTCTTTGGGTTGCTAATCCTTGAATGCAGCTCGATAGAAGAGGTCCTTGCGATTCTTCGAAAATTCGCGAGGATATGCCCAATTTAGAGCCTTTGATCCCTTTGATTGTCCGCCCCCAAAAGTATGCCACAATTTTTAGCCAATGCATCAACCATAATGTTGTCCTTGCTATTCGATGCAAGAAAAACACATCAAATTTGATATATTTATTTTGATATAATTTTTATTTGAATTTCAATAAAACAAACTAGACAACAACTACTTAAGTGTAAGTATCGTTCGAGTACAATTACATAGATACAAGTTACATAAAATTAGGTTAGAATTGCTCCGAACGGATTATCTAATGAAATGGATTATAACTAATACAAATATCTCGTAAGTGTACGTAATTTCAAAATAAAGGCAAAAACTTACAGCGGCTACGTCACAAAGGAGCATTCACTTTATAAGTGTGCGCGCAAACATTTTCTGTATTATTTTAAACTTTAATTATATAATTTTGTGATTTTTTTTTTTTTGATTTTCTGTTTTTGTTATTTAGGATTTTGGGATTTGTTTTGTGTGTGTTTGACACTAATTATCACTACGTCAGTTTGAAGCTAAATAGTTTTATGATTTTCTTTTGAAACATGCTTCTTCTGCTTCCCCATTTTCATTGCTCTTTCGATGAGACTAAACCGATTCAATTATTGTAAATACACATATATATATAAATATACATGTAGGTAAGATGTATGCATATGCAAAACTATTTATTTATTGCTAATAATACGCGCGAATCGAGAAAATATTCAACAACCGAACCAAATTAATATATACTCCATTTTTTGTTTTTCGTTTTTTTGTTTGTGTTTTTGTGATGCAAAGTTAGTTTGTGTCTTTGTTTAGATATATATTTTCGCTAAGCAAACATCTTGTCATAAGGCATAATGTAAGGTCCTAGGTGCTCACCCTAATGCTTAACGAATTAAGAGTCTTTTGCTTGTATATATATATTATCAGGATTAGAAACGGAATCGGTTAAGGGTAATCGCTTATCATTTAACGATAATACACGAGTAGAGTTTTGTTTATATATTTTGATCATATACAGATTCTGTATAGATATATATATATATTGCAAAACATATATATATATATATATATTTCTATTTCGTTACTTTTGCTCTACCAAACATCATGTCATGTTTCATTTTAGGTACAACGTTTTCATTCATTCATTCCTCTTAACTTTCAGCTTTAGTTTCAGCAGCTCTCTCTGTATTCAGATGACTGCTTCAAACTCTACTTTCTTTAATCTCTAATAGGTTTTCAGGTTTGTTTTGTTTGTTTGTTATATATGCTACATCTTTGTCTCTAAATACTATTGCAGGTAGTTCGTTAACACGATCACCAGAATTTTCGTCACAAACATTTTCGTTATGCGTTTCTAGATTAGTTTTTTTTAGTTTTTTGTTGCTGTTGTTGCTGCTGTTGCAGTTGTTGTATTTGTTGGGACGCGGCTACTAATACTTTCCATACGACTAAATTTATATTTAGTTTTGGCCAAAATCCGAGCCTGGCTAATTGTCGGCTCCTATTGATGGTAAGTCACTAGGCTGGTAAGTTTGTTTGTGCGTAGAAATCGGGTTCATCCTCGCCATCAGTTTTTACCTCGTTGCCATCCAACTGCAAGGGAAAAAGTCGATTATATTTAAAAGTTATATTTCGATTTATTAATTATATTTACCGCTTGCAATTCCTCTTCGTTGTAGAGAGCATTCAATTGAAACCGTATCGGCACCATCATGATCAGGAAGAAGGGGAAGGCCAACGAGAACTTGGATGACTTGACAGTCCAGAGGATGACGAGACACAACACCTGAATGGTGGTAAACACGTGCAGTTTCCACGGTCGCAAACGTTTCACATAGTTCGTGGGCGGATAATGCTTCACCGGCATAAAGTACAGTCTTATGCTATAGAGCAAGAGTTGATTAGTGATTGATTGATTAGTGATTGATTATAAAAACACTGAATGCCTATGTTTGTTTGCTTACCGTTCAAAGAACTGCACGCCACTCATCGACGCAACGCCCATGTAGAGAAAGACGCCAAAGAGCACCGCCATGGGGATGAGGCGCAACAGTGGCGACATCAGCACCGACAGCCCAATCATGACGCACACAAAGAAGCCGGACAAACGCTGCTCCTTCACATCAATGATACGCGCCGATTCACCGGGTGCATGTGTGCTGTGCACAACAAAACAAACAATTAACAAAGATAATAAATAGTTTCAAGTTGACTTACCGTGACATAATCGTGACGGAGGACACATGGGTCACCGATCGGACTGTGGCCGCACAATGCCAGGGCATTCCAAAGAGACCGCAGAAGGTGTTCAGCAGACAGAGGAGCACAATGTCCCAGTGCAGGCCAGAACCCTTCTTGAGGCCACGATCCGGCTTGTCCACGATCAACTCCGATATCTGTGACTCCATGAAGATGAGTATATAGACGAGCAGAGCGGGCACCACACAGGCGAACGGCACCCAAGTATCCAGATTTGTGTTGAAGCCAATAAACCAGCCACGTCGCGTCGGATCGCTGGGCGAGAGACCCTCTGGCACGACCAGTTTCTCGGTGTACACCGATGGCACCAGGTAATCCACAAGCACAAATATCGCTATGGAAATGGGCACACCGAAGTCACCCAGCGCTCTCCTCGCATTGCGGCCCAAAAAGTGCGAATTACGGAATAGTTTCAGATAGTAGGCCACAACAAAGGTGGCCAGGGTGAGTATGGTGCAGAAGAGAGCCGTATTTGGTTGATTGGTGGGCAGCTTGTTCGAGGACGCTGGCGGTGCAAAGGTCGACGAGATATTCGCAAAACTAAGACTCATATTAAAGTTGGTGGCATTCTCGTATTCGAGCAATGTTGGCGGCGGCAAATTATAATCGGCTCGTAGCGGATTCATTTTGTATATCGAGACGAGCTTCATCAGTGTCTCCACGATATAGATGAGGGTGATCAAAGCGGAGAAGATCTCCTGGGTGAAGCGCGTCAGGAGACGCACATAGACACTGCCCTCAAAGGCGGAGACACACAGCGCAATGATGATCAGCCAGATGCCGACATAGACACGCAACGATAGGAAATCAAAATTGTTCTCCGTACAAAAGACCATCAGAGCCTCGTCAAAGAGTAGCAGTGGACCCGTGGTGCCAATGATGACCAATGGCTGGCAGGATAAGCAATGAAAGACGATGCCGACCAGTGAGCAGGCTATCAACGTTTCCGATATGCCAATCCAGCTGTCCGTCTTCGCCGAGACCAGGCCACCAAATGTGATCGCAGTAGAGAGGCAGGCAAAATACATGAAGATGGTGGCAGCCAAGGTCTCCGTGTTGAGGCCATCGAATATATCACTCTTGTACATGGGCATGCGTCGCTTCAGATCGTTGCGAAGTCCGCCCCACAAGCGATGCGTTTTGTCCATGGGACTGGGTTTCTTTTTCTTGCCATCGGAACTATCATCGTCGCCGCCATCGTCACCCGGATCACCGCCGGGTCCCGCTCGAATGGCACGCAGCACGGCCTGCTTCTCGAGCAGTGCCTTCTCCTCGTCACGTCCGATCTTGATCATTTCGCTGTCGCGCTTCACACGCAACGCTTTAATCTTGCGCGTGCGAATCCAGTCTTTCTTGGCCTTCAGCTCGGCGAACGGCAACAGATCGTGACGATCCCAATTGCCGGGGGGCAGCACAATCGAATCATCGAGGAACTCATTGATGGCAGAGAGAAGATCGCGACGATCGTCGGCCTTGTAGGCAATCGCATGAAAGTGCTCGTTGGCCATCAGTGTGGAGATGGAACGACCCACCTCATGGTAGTCCAGATCAAAGTTACGCGGACCCAGCAGCACAAACATAAACCTCACCGGCACCGGCACCTCCGTCAGTGTCGGCATTAGCACACCCTCCGACAGACGCACAAAGGCAATCGTTGGTTGTTCCAGGAACTCAACGGCACCGACCTGTAAAAGGAAATTGATGGATTAACTTAATATAGGTACGATTGGATCAGATTGATGGCTTACCAAGACAGTGGTTGCCTCGGCGCCCGCTGGTATGCGCTTGAGTATGGTGTCATTCTGGAGCTTCTTGAGGTCCTCTTGGGACGAGGAGTACATGTCGTCCTTCATGTCAATTTTGAGCTCATTGCTGCGCTTGCTGCCACCAATGTCATTGGCTGGCATAATCCGGATCTTCTTGTCATCGGTGCCAGATAGATTCTGTGAAAACAATCCAAGCAGCTTAGCATCAAAGAGTTCCGCACAATTACCGACAGAGGTTAGATTAAAAATTAACAAAAAGCACAACATGCTCAACATTTAACGCAGGCGTGCACTTAAGGGTTAAGAAGATTTGTTTTGTTAGTGCATTTTATGTTTAAGGTTAAAGGAGACAGCATTTAAACGGGCTAACTTACGAGTAAGGTTTTTGTTTTTTTTTTCGATTTTTCTTTATCTATTTGTTTTCTATTATTTTGTTTTGTTTTTTTGGTAAATAAACACAGACAACACAATTGAGAACTTGCCAATCGTGTAGTTGGAGTTGGACAGCATTTAAAGTGGTTCTAAGAGGGAGGAGGTCTACTTGTGGTGGTGGTGGTGGTGGCTATAATGTGGACTAGGTGGGCTAAAAAGAAACGGCTTGTATTCTAAAGCGCTTTAAACCGCGACAGGGAATGAAACCGATCCACTAACTGATTAACTCAATGATGTCATTGTTGGGTTATCTATAAAATCAAAGACAATATTTTCAAATTGTTGCTGGTATAACTTATAGTAATACTTTATAGTATAAAAATAAATGCTCAGATTACCTAAACAGAACATATTTTAATTATAATAAAAAAGATTATTCAACAATAAATAAACTACTTTTATTTTATTGCACATTTTGAAGAGTTTCCTCAGCTAAACCTAACTTTAGTTGGCCATATTCTAACCATGAATTCATTGCTTGCTTAAATAAGTTTTGAAACTAGAAAAAGGTGAATTCAAATTTAATATAATCTCTCTGATTTATTCGATTAAAGTATAAACATATATTTCACTCGTTGTATGTGCTTCATAAGACACGACTAATGTGTTAGTGACAATGTTATTGGTAGTAATGAACTCTTCTCATGCTACAAATAATCAGGGTGTCAAAGGCGTATCGCATTTCGGTTACGCATCCGCAAAGTTTAAAGGTCAAGGTTACGAATTGGTTCCACATTCGAACCGTATTCGGTTTCGTTGTGCGCCAATATGGGACCAATAATACAGTTGCCTGCTGACTTTAAGCTTTTTTGAATTTCGGCTCCGTTTCAGGTTTCAAATCGATGAATCTGCGTTTCCGGTTCGACACACTGCTTTACAATCTTTAACTCATTGAACCCACATAAATATTAAACATTTTGATTACATTACGCATATTAAATATCAGATAAGGTAGATGCTCATATATATATATACATATATATCTGTATACAAAATATCATTCAGTTAACACAGTTTCATTCCCTGACTTCCAGTTTGTGGTTTGAATGGGGGGGAATTTGTTGGAATTTGTGTGTGGTCAAAACTAGGGCTATGAACTTATTACACCCAGATACGATGTGGTCGAGTGTCGCCGATGATCTGTGGCACCCACATTGAGCACTGCCGCTGGTGGCACACTGGATGTCACACAGATGCTGCGTCTCGCTTTCGAAGTTCGTTGCAGGTATTGTTGTTGTTGTTGTTGATATAGTTGTTGTTGTAGTTGTTGCTGCTGTTGTTGTTGCTGCTGCAGCTGTTGTGTCGCCTCGGTGCCCATCCAAAGAAGCTTTTTTTTTGTATTTTTGGTGTGGTGCGCAATTGTGTGAGACACATTGTGTTCAGTTATAAATATATCTCTCTCTCTATATATATATATATGTGTGTGTATATGTATATACACTCAGAAAAAATCATCACCCTAAAATGAAACTCGCCCTAAAAATGTATAAAGTTTCTCGTATTTTTAGAAATAATTTCTAAAAGAAGAAAACATTTTTCTTACCCAAAAGAAAAATATATTTTTAGAGATATTTTCTTTTATTAAGATGCTAAAAAAAATAACTGCAGACTCTAATTCTAAGAAAAGAATTCATTCGCAAATTCACAAAAAATAAAGTTGAAATAAAGTTGTGTAAAAATCTTGTATATGCAAAATCTATTTTATTTATATATTTTTTATAAAATTTAAAAAAAAAATACACCCCGAACTTAAGAAATGCAAATCCTGGTTTATAGAGAGTAATTTAATGAATTAAACAATTAATTTTCAATTTTTGTAATTTACATTCTGAGCGCTTGGCGAATTTCTGAAATTCTTGGCGATTTTTTTCTGAGTGTATTTAAACGAATGTTGAACAAATAACAAAACGATAGAAAAGAAGTGTTGAAATGAAACGCAGAACGTTTTTTTTGTTGGTGGATAATAAAAAGCAGAGCTCTGATAAGATATGCCTGTGTTATGCTAGATATGCTAGATAGTATATCTAGTATAATAGTATGTATCTATATATATATATTTATATAATTGTCTATATAGCCGTTCATTACCGATTTGGGTATTAGATGCTGTTGGTGGTGTTGTTGTTGTTGTTGTTGTTGTAGTAGTAGTAGTTGTTATTCGAGTTGTTAGAGTCGATTTGGTGTTTAACGAGAATGGTTGATGAAATGTAGCACAGTTATGGGCGCAGAAATAGACAAGAGCATAATATGAACACGATCATAAATGATTAACAAACATTATTTTTCTATTTTTCTTTTTTTTTGTTTTTGAGGGGAAAAAATAAACCACATTATATATTTAAAGCCAATTTATGTACACGCAGCACTGAAGTAATGCAAGGGGGACTGTAGACTGAATAGCGTGCCGTGAATGAATCACTGGAGATCAGATGTGGGAGCGAGTGGAGATGTGGGCGTGGCCAGCTTACCTGGAGACTGGTGTAGCTGCTGTGCTTGCGCTTGGTGAAGGGCAGCACGCCCTGATGCTCGTTCACATGGCGATGACGCAACAGCAGCGAACGCATCACCGAAGGCTTATCATTGATATCGATAAGATCATCGACGACCATCTGTGGGTAACATTAGATTAGATTAGATTAGTCATCGGAGCAGATACAGAGATAGGAGAGGAGGGGGGACAGAGAGGAGATGCAAACCTGCTCGACTACGCGATAGGCAACTGCTGGCAGATCCTTCTCGTTGAGGTCGAGGAGCACAACGCCCGTTTCCAGGCAGCGACGCAAATTGAGCAGCGAGTGGAATGAGAGAGAGGCAACATGCGGTTTGCCCCAGCGATCGGAGCCCTCCTCCACATCCTCCTCATACTTGATCCAGCGTGCCGTCTCCTTCCACTCACGATCCTCGCCAACGCCCGTAAGCTCATCCAATTGAACGAAGATCTAAAAAGCAACAAATCGGAAACTTCAGAAGCAGTTCAGAGTCAGAGAATTCTCTCTTAATACACACCTCATGTGGACTGTGATCGATCTCGGCCTTCTTGTTTAGAAACGGTGAAATTGTGATTTGCGGCAGATCGCGCAACTTGATGGATGAATGATGGATTTTGTGGCGTCGCAAGGCGCGCGGATCATCCGAACGATGTGATCTCAGCTCGTTGAGATCAGCTTCCTATGTGAGTAAAAAGATGCGCATTAGTAAAACCCAAATCCAAAACAAATTCAAAGCGGGAAGGGAAACTAAAGACTCTAAGGATTTGGGGGGAGGGGGTTTGGCGATGCTTCTGTCTTAATTCTGGTCAACCTGTGTGGCCGGCGTTTCGGCATTTCTCTACAGGATGTGAATCCGTGAGCGGCAGCAAAGAAAAGCAAAGGTATTTTTGACTGGTTTAGTTTCTTTGTTGGCTTTACGTTCAACTAAAAGCCTTGGTCAAGTTTAATTGTTTTGATTTGGTTGTGGATAGTCTAGCTAGAGTTACGGCTGGCCTACCTCCAATGCCGTGTCCTCAGGCTGCACAGAGATCCTACGCGCACCTGCATCACCATTCTCCTCGAGTGTCTTTTTGGCTTCCACGCTGTCCTGATGTGAGAATTTACGTTGTCTATAATACTGATGTCGGCTGTTAATGTAAGTAAAGGAAAAAAATCAAACAAAAATTGTAAATCGAATATTTTCAAAATAGTTTTTTTTAGGGTTAACCTTTTTCTGCGTTTGCGTTCGTGCGATTGGTCCGTCGGCTGCTCATCATAGGTCAGACTGGGCGGTGTGATGACAATCTTCTTTTTGGCATCACCGAACTGCACGTGCTTCTCATCGGCCGAGTTGTCCGAGTGATCGCCGTGTCCGGCACGCTCCGAGACTAGTGGGAAATCTTCGGGTATATCATCATAGTTTTGTGCATTATTATTTAACGGCTCTGTTTGGCTCTCGTATTCCGAGTCCTCCTCTATATTAAGATCATTTGCGCGAACTGCAAAGAAGCCGAATGTTTAATCGAAATAAGGATTGTTATCTGGGTAGAAGTGTGTCTCATAAAAGCAGCAGTTAACATAAGTTAAGATAAGAAGGCAAGTTAGTAGGGAGACTAGGAGATATTGGCTTGTGCAACATGAGAATTCTATTTGGTTATCCATTGGGAAGCTATAACTTAACAATTGTGTACTTTAATGATATCAGAAATCGATTTGTATCGATTATTTATCGTTAAAATAAAAGAAACTTTATCTATCTATAGTTTATGAGAAATTATATTTCAAATTTAAAGTCTCCGACACTTAAGCTCTCTAACGGACATGGCTAAGTCGACTCGGCGGTTGCTGCAGATCAAGAATATATATACATTATGGGGTAAAGATGCTTCCTTCTGCCTGTTACGTACTTTTGCGTAACTTCATCAAGTACTTTTTCTAATTTTTTATACACATCTAAAGAAACTAAAAGTTGGTTTGTATCTTTGTTTGATTTCTCGATTTCTTGCTTAACATCTGACAACATCCGTGATTGTTATAAGATAGTTATTATATAAGCTTTAATTTGTTTTAGTGTTATTACATAACAAATTTTGATCTTACCGCTTTTTTTACGCGAACCAATCGGCTGCTGGCTGTTGTCTTGGAAAGTGTTTACATCGAACTTCTCTTTGCGCTTACTTGAGCCGGCAAAGACCTTGTCCATTTCCGAGTCCAGCAACACTTCATCGGGATCCTCATTGCCGGACTGCAAATGCAAGTAAAAGTGAAAGATGTGCAAAGGTTACTCAATTGCTTCAATGTATCTATATACACAACACACACACAGAGAACTTTTTCTGGTCACGTTATGTGACTCAAGACAAAATACTTTTCAATTAAAAATCTATAAAAACAAAACAAATAAAATAACAACAAATAACAACAGAAAATGCAGTCATGTGACTTGGCAGCGACAACTTTCAGCATCATGCCGCTCATCATCATCAGCATCAGTGTGGTTTTTGTTGTTCTTATTGTTGTTGCATGACGTCGTCTTCATCTTGAGTTGTCTTGTCATGTGTAAATATAATTCTCAAAATATTGACATAGGCTAAACTGGGTGCGGGTTTACGTGCGGCAAACGCTGCTCAACAAATTCATCATCATCATGGAGTGGCGATCACCAAACAATCACCCTGCCCCCTACTACTGCCACTGCCACTGCCCCATGCCCCATGCCCCATGCCCGTGCCCCTATCCACATCCCCGGCCAGTCTAAATAAGTGATCATGCTGTCTACGCACCAGAAACACTTGAAACTTAAACGAGATGGGGGCCATGTCCCATCGCCATATATCAAATATCAAACAATCGTTGGATAGCGGCCAATAAGTATATATATAGTATAGTATAGTATATATATATATATATATATATATATATATATTTAATGGCGTTATTGTTGATTGCTTTTAATCGAAATCAATTGATTTCCATAGTGACGAAGGCATTGATTGCGCCATTTAACATTTGACGCTTCTTTCTTAGTTGCTGCTGTTGTTGTTGTGAAATATTCACAATTCGAAATCAGTGCGAAGGCTAAAGCCAGTTCATAGCCAGTTTGATCGAGTTACAAATATGATCTACGAGACAATATTCAAATAACGAAGGCTTTTCCTGCAGCATGATTTGAAAACAATAAACTACAAAACCAGGATGGCCAACCGGAACCGGAACCGAAACTCAACTCTTTTTTAGTTGGCCAGTTGAAGAACCCTTTATTTTTAGTTACTACAAAATTCAACTCGACTGTTGGAGCTGATTATGAATATATAGTTAATGGAAAAGTACCGTAAAAATCAAGCTATGCAAAACGAAAGCAAATACAAATTTAGTCAAATTTACACTTTGCGTACGAAACGAATTCCGATTCGTTTTGATAACCGGTACAAAATATATTATATATACATAATATATAATATTATCTCAAACTCTGAGCTAAGCCAGTTCGCATTTTAGTAAGACTATAACCAAGTGCCTCATAAGATCCAACATTTTAATTGATTTCAAGTAAGTTTTTACCTGTCAACTTTAATGTCATATAAAATGTGCTTAGTTTTCATCAGAAAAATTGTGAATTCACAAATTAATAGGTTATATAAGCATATATATATAATTAATATCACGAAAAGATATGTGTTAAATAATAAGAATAAATATTTTTGCTTCCAGCAGTGCTGTAAGGCAACTCTATTTTCTACATCAATTCAAAAATCGATTATTCTTTGTCAAAAAGCAACTTTAAATCTGTTCTTCCTCAACTTAAAGCCCAATAACAAACAACTATTAGTCAGCAAATCCTTAAACATATCTCATATATGTATATATGTTCACTCTCCAAGCAAGCTGGCTCATTTAAATAACAATTCCGTTCACTCTGTATAAATTGAGGCCCAATTGAAGCCAACATCGCACACACATCAAATACAACTCATGTGACATATGTAAATGCATTCGTCACAATTTAAGTCTACATATAATGTATTTGGGGCCATTAGCTGGCTACATCCTGTGTTGAAGCCAATGTGTTAGCCACGTGTTTAACATTTCCTCAATTTCCCCTTGACTTTCATTGTCCTACAACTTGCTGGTTGTTTGCAACTTCTCTCCACTCTCTCACTCTATATATATATTTGTATATATACACATCAGGTAACAACATGAAATCCATCTTCGACTAAGCACACACATAAATGAAAATGAGAATGAAATTAACTTTCTACCAACCACTCACCCACACTGCCCCGCCTCGTTTTGCCTTTGTGCACACAATGAGCACCTGCAAAGGGGCGAACAGTCAACCTGCCACGCCCCTCAATTTATACGCCCCCACCCCAGTTTATGCTAAATTTCCCTAATAACTTTAGAGCGTATCCTTGACAATGGCGCAGCTGATGATAAACCAGGCATGATAAGCGACCACAGACAACGCCAAATAAGCGTAAACAAAATACAAAAAAAAAAATTGAAAATATTATAAAGAAAGCAAACAATCGCCGAGGAGCCAAAACAAGAAAATATATAAAAATATTAGTTCAATTCAGTTTGCATTTATAAATAGCAATTTAATAACGCTGAGAGCAGACCACGTGGGAATATCAAATGTGTTTGCGGGCAAAAACATTGCAATTGTCCTGCCAGTGTCTACTGTGGTGTGTCTGTGATGTGTCTCTCTGTGTGTGTGTGTGTGTCTCTATCTGATAAGTCTAAAGCGTAACACGGCCCGTTACATTAATTAATCGATAAGCGCGCAGCGCATACAAAATGAAATTATAATGATGATGACATTGATGATAATCGAGTTGATGTTGTTGCCATTTCTGATTAGTATTTTTCTTTATTTTTTTTTTTATCATCTGGCCATTAGACAAGGCCATCATTATGAGTTAAATGCGTTTCCAGGTAGGTAACAAAACCACTCAGCCACCCAACCACCCGAACCACCCGAACCACCCATCCAATCAAGCAGCCATCGCTTATAGCTTATAGCTGATAGCTGATATCGTTCGTTGGAGCGGAGAACGCACTTTAACTAAATACGGTTGTTGCTGCTGCAATGTCAGCTTTGCCGTCGCTCCACTGCTCGCTTATCAAAATAATCGATGGTTTTTGCCCACCTGCAACACGCCCTACCCATGCCCGCGCCCCGACGACACTTGATTGTCGACCACGCCCACAGCTGTCTGAGCTGTCAGTTTTCATTTGTTGTATTTTGTTTGCTACGTTGCTGTCTTCCCAAAATTAATATGAAAATGCCGACAACACAAGTCATTTGCAATAAAAACAGCAACAACAGCAGCAACAACAACAATTCCAACTTGGAAAATCCCTTAAGAATTCAACTCCATAAAATATCAGTTACTTGATGGATGCCATTTTTGGGACTGCCGCTAGCCTTAAAATAGACGTGACAACGTTTTGGCCACTTCTTAAATGGCATTTGGCAGTGCAGTCCTTTCAAACTCAAAGCAAATATTTATTATTATTCTAATGTGGAATTTGCAAAGAAAACATTTTAAATTATTTATGGTAAGTAGGCATCTTTCATGTTTTATTGCTGTCTAAACAACTCTGCATATTAATAAGGAATTAACCTTGGCTCTTAATTTAAGGCGAATCAAGTTAGAATGCTCGACTAGGCGGTATACTGAGCTCAACTATTAGATATATATAGATATTATTGGGTTACAACATCTTATATAGTATAAGAAATGGATAATAGATACTTATGAATAATATGTCAGTGTAGATATATATTTATTTACATTGTAAGGCTATATGTTTGCAATTGTGTTCTTTATTGCTATCGGAAATCGAACAGTTATCGATAAAAATCAAAGTAACTTAATCTAGTCAAGGCACTCGATAACTTATATTTCTCTGGCTCCTAAAGTCTCTTAGACAGACAGACTAATCGAGAGTATACATATATATTTGATGGGTTCACAGATTATAACCTTTTATCATATTTTGTATCCCTATTTCTCTTTCCCAAGTCAAATGGCCTGTTAAAAAGTCATCTCCAAGTAATCCAAAATGGCAAACAACTTGAATTAGCTGTCGCATCGAAAACTTGAACGTACAGTTGTAAAAATGGGTACAAAATTGCAAATTGGGTATTGAGCTTTATTTGACTGCAGAGTTGAGTGTGCAACATTGCGTAAGCACACACGCTGAGAATATACGAGGCAGTCGAGACTCTTGCAGCTTTAAGAGCCAGTCATGTAGTCGTGTGTGTGGCAGTTGCCAGTTGGTTGTTGAATGTTTCTGATGCGGTTTAACAAAACATTTAACTGTTGAGATCGAGTGCCCCACGAGGGCAACGGGGAAAGGGTAATGGGAGGGGAGGGGTGTGGGATGTGGGACAACAACGGCGGCACGTGACTTATGTGTCAGCGTCAAGTTTTGTGGTCGTGGGTCTAAGCAACTTTTTGCTGCCACATTGCATGTTGTCGTCAGTCAAATTGAATCAAATTGTGGCAAACAACTTGAAGAGATTCAAGTGTCTGATGCCACCGCTGTGGCATCCAATTGCTGTTGTGTTGTTGTTCTCGTTCTGCTATTGCCACAAGTTTATATAAGCAGCTGGGGCCAATAAGTTTTCAAGTCAAGCTCGAGCCAGTTGGCTTCGAGCTTAACTTTTCATCACCTCCACAGCAATAAAAACGCCTTCGTCTCAAGTTCTTTGGCACTTTCCACGACATGGCACTGTCCGTGTCCGTGTCCATGTCAGCGTCACATTTCCAGTTGGTTTCTCACCCCCTCAACAGCTCACCGCCAACACCAACACCAACACCTGCCCCCCCGTTTGTGCCACAGCCATTTGGCTTAACTTCCGCACAAATTTTCCGCCCGAAATGGGCTTGTGTTGCAAGATAAAAGAAGAAGCATATGCAGAAGCGGCAAGCTTGACTAAAAACTCATTGAAAATTAAATATAATTTATTATTATTATTATTTTTTTTATTATTATTATTATTATTATTATTATTATTATTATTATTATTATTATTATTATTATTATTATTATTATTATTATTATTATTATTATTATTATTATTATTATTATTATTATTATTATTATTATTATTATTATTATTATTATTATTATTATTATTATTATTATTATTATTATTATTATTATTATTATTATTATTATTATTATTATTATTATTATTATTATTATTATTATTATTATTATTATTAT